AGTAGGTGAAAAGTTGCGAGTGGTGGGTTTTGAGTGCAATTTGAAAAATGTAGGGTTATGATCAGAACACAGGCTTTCTGGGCCAGTATTTTTAGTTTTTTTTTATTGGTGATTACTAAATACAAGGCTTCTAAGGTCGCAGAGTGAAGAGTAGTATGATGGTCAGGAATCAGTAAATAGACATGGGTCGGTAAAAAAATGCATACAATATTTCACCAGCTCTTTTCGAAGACAAAAAGGCCAAGCTTGATCTAGAGATCAAGTCCCCGACTACGGTAACCTTTGAACCCTGCCAGGTTAATAAATTTATGTCACTTTCTTAGTGTAGAGTTTTATCAATATATATGGATATTAAAATCACTTCAGAAGTTGAAAAATATACTTTAATTCCTACTGTTTCCATTGATTCTCACTTTGGCAAAGCAATAGATTCATGTAGTAGAATTATTTTATAGTACTTTTTATATATTATTTATTTAATATTGTTTATTAAATGGCAAAAACTTTCGTGGAAAGTCTTGGAATGTCCGTGACCAGTGTGAGATTAGTGATCAATCCTTCTGCGCTAAAAATGTCTGACCGTCTTATTTCGAAAAAGAGCTTGGTCAATGTTGGTTAAGCAGAAGCGCTCCTTTCAAGGGGATACGCTTGTTCATTTTTCTTAATCCTGAAAACCAGTGAATTGGATGTCTATTTTGCTTGGGTTTACTTTTTATACAGTTTAGCTAACTGTTAGTTTCTTTGTTTGTGTATCCTGACCTCTTACCACTTTGCGCACCATGATCAATATTGGCCTACTGTGCAATCTCCATTGTTTAGAGCCCTTCCAAAAACTTAAGGCTTTCTGTCAGATCACAGAGCTTTGTTAGGGGATCCCGCGTATATCCTTCAGGTTTCGGTTTATCCTCTCCCAGGAGTAAGAATCTCAGCCTGTATAACGCTTGTCCAACGTAGGACAAGTGTCGCTGTTTCTTCTTCTTCTTGGCAATATCAGTACTGGCTTCTTTCTGCCTTCTAAGTATATACATATGCCTCCGTAGTCTACGGTCAGCAATAATACATCATTCTTGTGCTAATAGAGTTGTAGGTTTAGTAGTTTCTGAGAACGTCTTGGAATACAATCCCCAACAGGACTTATTTTTGATCCATTGTTTGATGGCTCTACGTTTTTGGCAATTTTGTATGCCGCAAAAGCGTTCAACGCCAACGATTGTCCTCAGCGAACTTTCCTTGGCAAATTTCTTGTCCTTTTCGTTGCCCTTTTGCACTGTGTGACCTGGTACCCAAACAAGGGTAATTTTTCTGTCGTCCCAAATGTCTCTGGACTTTACTACTGGGATCTCCTAGTCTGCTCTATCGAGTATTTAAATTTCAAATTTCTAATAAATTCCGGCTTTTGCTATAATGACGTAGACAGATCTCCCCAAAACGTTGTCTGCCTGTAGAAGCTTTGTGTACCTGGTATTCAGACTGTTCTTTTAAGTTCTTCTTAAAAGATATTGATTAAAGAACCCATAGGTTATATCTTAGTCTTGAAATTAAATACTATCTCCCCAAATCTTCTTGCATCTGTTAGTATATTCCTTCAAAAACTTTCCTGAAAGAGGAGGTTTTCCCTCGTCTACGCTATAATTGACCCTACGTTGGAGTATTGGTTATACATCATTGTTTGTTCTTTTTGGTGTTTTATCTTTTTTAGTTTTAATCATCACCAACCAGAGATTATTCTTTACTTATGTTAAGAATGGTTTTCTATACATTGTTATCGTTTATCGTATAGTGGAAAAGAGTCCCAGTACATTAACAATATTGGATTTGGGATGTTCTTCGCCTAAGAAACAAGAGAAAGACTTTAATTTAAGTCTCTTAAGTTTAAAGTTAAAATAAGACTTTATTTTGGTAAATCGTATCGGAGCTTTTTTATATATATGTCAAGTACGAGTATGGTCGTGGTAATTGAAATTCTGTAGCAATGGTAGAAAACTGCGGGAAAATTTGCATTCAATTAAATTGAACATTACAGATTCCGTCATGGTAACAAGTAGAATTCAGGTTTAGCGAGGAACAGCAGCTATATAATGCCAGAAGGAAGTTGATTACACACCAGGCCGGATATTAAACCAATTGAGAACTTTTGGCATTTGCAGAGGACGAAAATTAGCAAAAGCAATGCGAATAAAAGCTCCACTCACTGTACAGTCAATATGTAAGTAGAATTGACAATGCAATAAGTGGAATCAATGCCAAGGCGTTTACAGTCTGTTATCGACAATAAAGAACACAGTATACAATATTAAATGTGTTATTGACCTAGTTGTCTACTGTTTTTATCGTTTATTTATTTGTGTTTTGTAAAAGTACCTTTATTTCTTTACCTTAGGATTGGACTAGAACATTTAGGAGCAAGTATTCAAATTGTTAAAAAATCAGAAAGATCTCTTTCATTTATTATGTACTACATTGACAAAATATAATCAACGATGATTTTCTCCCAATTCCTTCTAAATTTTTAAGATGTTCTACTTAACTATTATTTATTTTACTACAGACAGACGTAATTATATACTAAAACTTTATTACAGCTGTACGCATTTCAGTTAGACTTTACAAACAGGAATATTCTGGTATCGGTGTCTATGATGGTTCCAACGCCCTTCCTTCAATGAAATATCGATTTGGTGACTCACCTGCTTAATAACGTTGTCCCTTTCTTTTTTTCAGTTTAACTTGACCGTCTCACTGAAAAATCTATAAAGGCAAGTCGTACGAGGCGTCTTTGATTGAAACATAGACATGTTTTAATGTTTGTTACATTTGTTTTTGTGTACATTTTCTCGCTGACAGTGTATTTTTACTGTTTCTATATTATTCTTAATTAATTACCGAATACAAAACGGGAAATTACTAAGAAGTAATTGCCAAAGAAATCCAAAAAGGCACAGTAACAATACGAACAACTATGATGGCTACACTATTCACGATGGTATATGATATGAATGTGCGATGGCTTTTTTTAGGAAAAGAAAAATTCTTCAAATCGTATCATTCGAACGAGGTGTACACAAAGGAATCTGACCAAATGATTGGATTTGCTAATTTTTCTGAAAACTAGCGAACATGAAAAAGAAGGCGTACGACCAAAAAAAGGAAGGAGAGTCAAAAATTGTCAATCTTTCAAGCTGATGTCAATGGGCCTGTGCTCAGGAATACTCAGAAACGTGTATAGAAAACATGGTGCCTTCAACTAAGTTGACTAAGGGTCTGTAGTGCCCGACTGCAGTTCAAACGGGCCAGTGAGATCTAAGGAAAGGAATTAGTAAATCAACTCGAAAAAGTAGTTGCAGCACATACCCATCTAACCGGAACAGTTAGGTACACCGAAAATGCGCTGAAATTAACTGATCGGGTTAAGTGCTCGGTTTTAAAATTAGCCAATCGAGCCTTTCACGGTCAGTAGTAAGCCCAGTTTTAAAACAATTGGTTGAAACATAAACACGTCCCCCAACACCTAACAAATATGCACATCTTATTAACATTAAATGGCATTTATTTTCAAAGGTTGTCAGGGTGTGGCTAACTATCCAATGACATGGAAGAAGAGACCAGATGGTCCTAATACACCAGGACATGTGGGTGACGAAAGAAACGAATTACCTGATTAATATGCAAAAGGTGCCGCATTCACACCCATCAGAACGACAAACAACGCGCAATATGCAAAATATATGGTGGAACTGAACAAGTTAAAAAATAAGTTTGACAATGCCAAAACGTAAAGATAAGATGAAAATCTTCGTACAGTATTTAAGGAAACTCGGTTATTGCTTATTTAACTACATCTTTAAAAAAGTGGGTTAAGCTGAGGCACGTCAATCGATACTGTAACGTCGGTGTCTTTGATGTACCGAGCTACAGGTTAGTCGTAATGTAAGCAGTTTATCGATTCTACGAAGAACAGTCATCCTGTGTACTGCATTAGTCTCCGATAAGGTAGTAATAAAAGAAAGGCCAAGAGAAATGAGATGGAACCCAGGAAATTGGTCAAATTCCTAAAGGGGAATGTTATTTAAAAAACGTCAACCAACATTGCGTCTGTGGTCAGGTCATCAGACTTGGTAAAAAGAAGCAAAATATTTCTGTTTACGCCTCCATCTAGGAAAATCACAAGTTTGCCCAGAAAAATCCACTCGTTTTATAATGAAAAGACGACATAAAATCATTATGAATAATTGTTACGAGCGTTTCTTCTCTTGATGAATAAACTCCATTTTATAAAGAAAATTGAACATTCGGAGCAAACTTTTGGGCACATTTCAGACCAGAAATTCGGGAATTCTTGTTTCATTCATGAAGAAATGAATTTTGTCGTGCTAGACGAAGTCCAGTACTAAGTCGATGACGCATCCAACCAGGCAATCGATGAGTCATACTTCGACTTTTTCCCCTTCTGGAGCACGATTTGCAAATAGCCGATTGTAAAGATTACTCGCACGAAAGATAAATATAATAGCCATTTATTGCAAAATTGGACATGATTACTTTGTAATTTTAATAACCCGAACATTTATCCTATTTAACAAAACTTAACTACAAGATTTTTTAAAATTGATTTTGTAAGCTATAATCAACATTTTAGTGGTTTCTGTTGTGATACTTAAACCAATATTTTTTTTATCATAATTTTATTATAAATATGTATTTATTGGACAACTAAGGAAATTGCATCATTTTTGCTGTACAATAGGAAAACAAAATAGGTGTGAGAAGGTTGATAACTGAAAGGAAAAGTTGTCTGGACAAAATTTGCAATAAAAAATTACTACAGGAAAAAATAGAGCATAGCCTCAATGCATGAATTACAGCAATCAATAACCCTTCGATTGCTTGGTAAATTATCCAAACAAACCCTTTAAAAAAACACAAAGGTCATAAAATAAAAACACAACATTGATTCAATAATTAAGTAGTATATTTCTTAAAGTAATATAAACATATAAAACAAAAGACATATAAAATGAAGAAGGAAAGGCAGGCATATCCTATATGATCCAAGTAAAAAAAATTATTCTTTGTAAAATAGTCTTGAGATTCAAAAAGTGGCGTTTACATTAACTTTCTTCTCATACACATTCCTCAAATTTTATGTCTGTGAACAATAACATGTGGGCAAACAAGAAAAAAATCGACCCTTTCTACAAGTAAATTGCTTCCACTTTTTGAATATGCTAGCGAAAGGGGAATAAACGGGCATTATAGAGAATAAAGCAACTGACTTAATTTTCATCAATTTCTTGTTCTTGTTCCTCGTCGAACTCTGCGTCTTCATCGGCAGTAGCCTCTTGATATTGTTGGTATTCGGAGACGAGATCATTCATGTTGGATTCGGCTTCAGTGAATTCCATCTCATCCATACCTTCACCAGTATACCAATGCAAGAAAGCCTTAAGAGAGAAAGAAAAAAATTATTACAATAATTTATATACATAATATATAAAAAAATAATATAACATTACCTTGCGTCTGAACATGGCAGTGAATTGTTCAGAGATTCTCTTAAATAGTTCTTGAATGGCGGTTGAGTTGCCAATAAATGTAGCGGACATCTTGAGGCCTCTTGGTGGGATGTCACAAACAGCAGTCTTGACATTGTTAGGAATCCATTCAACGAAGTATGAAGAATTCTTATTTTGGATGTTCAACATTTGTTCATCTACTTCCTTCATCGACATTCGTCCTCTAAAGTAACCCAAAAATTAATACCAGTCCTAATACAAGACATTTTATTTTTCAAAACCAACCTGAAGATAGCAGCAACAGTCAGATATCTGCCGTGTCTAGGATCACATGCTGCCATCATGTTCTTAGCATCGAACATTTGCTGAGTGAGTTCTGGGACAGTTAGGGCTCTATATTGTTGTGATCCTCTGGAAGTAAGAGGAGCGAATCCGGGCATAAAGAAGTGGAGCCTAGGGAATGGCACCATGTTGACAGCTAACTTCCTAAGATCAGCATTCAATTGACCAGGGAACCTCAGACAGGTAGTGACACCAGACATGGTCAAAGATACGAGATGATTCAAATCTCCATAAGTCGGTGTTGAAAGTTTCAATGTCCTGAAGCAAATATCGTACAAAGCTTCATTGTCAATACAGTAAGTTTCGTCAGTGTTTTCAACCAGTTGATGTACTGAAAGAGTTGCGTTGTAAGGTTCGACAACAGTATCGGACACCTAAAAATTAAGATTTATTAAAATATGTTCAACCGCATAAAAATTTGAAGGTAATCAATGTCAAATTACTTTTGGTGAAGGTACAACGGAGTAAGTGTTCATGATCCTATCTGGATATTCCTCCCTAATTTTTGAAATCAACAAAGTTCCCATTCCAGAGCCAGTACCACCTCCCAAAGAGTGGGTCAATTGGAAACCCTAACAAACATTTTTATAAAATTAATTAAAATAACAAATTATTTTTAAAAAAGTTTTAATACCTGTAAACAGTCACAGCCTTCAGCTTCTTTACGAACAACATCCAATACACTGTCTACAAGTTCAGCTCCTTCGGTGTAATGCCCTTTGGCCCAGTTGTTGCCAGCGCCGGATTGTCCAAATACAAAATTGTCAGGCCTGAAGATCTGTCCAAATGGTCCTGATCTGACCGAATCCATGGTGCCGGGTTCAAGATCAACAAGGATCGCTCTAGGTACATACTTTCCACCTCCAAAACAAATATAAAATTTCCCAATTACACAGTTCTAAGTTCGACCAGTACTAGCACTGAATGTGCAAGTAAGTGGTTTATAAATATACCAGATGCTTCATTGTAATAAACGTTAATCCTCTCCAACTGAAGATCGGAGTCGCCGTGGTAGGCTCCAGTAGGGTCGATACCATGCTCATCAGATATAATTTCCCAAAACTGAAATTGGTCAAAAATAAAATGAAAATCACATTACAATCAACAACAGAAAAATTACAATTAATAATAAAGTTATAAAAAAGATCAACCAAAGATCTTAAAGAAGGGTGGAGAAGGTTCAATATGCAACAATTCAAAAAGTACTTAAAAAGTAATTATAATCAATAATACAAGTTTAAAAGAAATTAGGCCAGTATGTAATTTTCGACCTACTGCTGTATCAAGTTCATCAATAATGGTTCAAGACCTGAACAATATTGTGTAACTGCAGGAAATGAAAAGTAATGGCAGTGCACTACTGTAAAATAGCTGACAAGTCTTTAATGCATAATCAAATATTCTCTCAATAAATGACTGCCTTAAAAAAATTTCTATTTCGTATTTATAAAACAACAGGTGAGTGCAAAAACTTTAAAATGTAAAAAAGAAAAGAAAAAAAGAACAGGGATGGAAAAACGTTTATGCCGTTAAAAGAGGTGAATTGAATTAACAACTGAAACAAGTTGACACAACTAACAAACTAGAGCTGCTAGTAAGCCCCTAGAAATAATGCACTCCCCTAGGATCATGTCTAACTATTTTTATCTCTTTACAGAGGGCCCCCTCAACTTTCTTGAAATAAAACTGAAATCATCAGGGGAGATCTTACTATGAAGTGGTAACGAAACTGAATAAAGATTTAACATTTATTCCAACTGATAAAAACTGTTGAAAATTGGTGTTCAAAACAATTATGTTACGTTTATCTCTATTAACAGCATAAAAAGTTATCTAAATTTCTTTTCTTTTTTTTAATTTGCGAGTAATTATTGATAACGATTTAATGAAAAAAGTAGAGCTTTTGAAACGGCCTATTAATTAATCGGGAATGTGAGAGTAGAGAAAACGACGATGTCTCAGAAAACCTCATTAATTAATACCAAAGAAAAAAAATGCACAAAAGAAAAGTACAGATTTACACGAGAAAAATTCTCAATACAATAATTAAATTTCTTTAATTAAACGCTTTCCTGGTTATATAATGACTGGAGTATTTTTAGCTTTTTGTCATAGAGAGGTCAGAATAATGGGCCGGAAGCACTTGCAGGAAATCGGTACACACAGGGAGTAGTGCTTGTTCCTGGAAATGACGCATCAAGTGGATGAAGTTACTCCAACGAAAATAACTCCTTGACAAATAAAAAGGCCCACAATATTTTTAAAATGAGACAGGTAAAGATAAGGATGGTGGCGAGATAAAACGGACCCGGTTCAATTTTGAATTTAATCATCATGGATACAATATAAACTACCAATAAAATTCAATCACTACAATTCACTTTGTTTTGAGATTTGGAAGTGCTTCAAACAAATTCTCAAATATGCTAATCTTGTGTTTAAATAACCTTGAATGGATAAAGATAATCACCGGAAACTCAATTAAACTACGCGCTTAAGATTAGGCCATCCTTCCGTAAACCTTTTTACCTAATATAAAACAATATCAATAAAATCTGTAAAAATAGGGTCGTGAAAAATGGCAATGTATAATAGCCGAGCTATGTAAAACAATTTTCAAACATTACTACATGTGTTAAGAAAAATGGTATTAAAAGATTTATCTATAAGCAAATTGTTTAAATGAGCATTCGTTGATTGTACCATCAGGGCTATGCAACTTATTAATCTTGATGTAGGTGATATCAAAATTTTAAGGAAAAACCGTACAAGTTCTAACAATAGCTGGGTTTTGCATTTCCCTTGTCCATTTCACAATGATCAAAAATCTTAAGTTTCTTTAGGTTGATTATATTGCCAATCTTCCATCCTGTATTATTATAAAATACAGATTAATCATGAATGGACACACAAATTGTAGAAAAGGGATGTTAAAACAAAAATATCGTGTCGTAATAATCAAGAATCAGAAGCATCTTTATCCGACTGTATCACATCATCAGGGCTCTTGGGTTTCTTTACATTGTCTAGTATCAATACCGTCAGTAATAGATATAGGCGAAAAATAGGTGGATCAAAGACTGGACAAAAATTGTGTTAATGGAATGTTTAAGATAAAATATTTTTGTCTTTTTTGGTTTGTGTTGCAATCGTCAAGGATCGAAAGCTCCTTTACGCGATTGTACACCATCATCAGGACTCCAAGTTTTTTTTTTCCTTCTTGGCGATTATAACGCAATAATCAGGGCTCTCGGGTTTCTTCAGGAGAAAAACCGGCAGAACAAAATGAATGGACAAAACTGAACTGTAAAAGAGATGAACAAAAAATAATTTTGTTTTTTATGGCTTGTGCCGCAATCAGAAGGGACTAACTAGAAACTTCTTTAGGCGATAACACAATCATGCGGGATGGATTTCTTTAGATTCTCCTTATCGGTCATCGGAAAAAGGTTAAGTTTCATCAAATTTTGTTCAGACGATGTATCAATCATGTCAAAGTTCTTAAGTTTGCGATTGTTAAGTTTTTTATGTCTTGTGCCGCAAACAGAAAGGACTAACTAGAAACTTCTTTAGGCGATAACACAATCATGCGGAATGGATTTCTTTAGATTCTCTTTATCAATCATCGGAAAAAGGTTAAGTTTCATCAAATTTTCTTCCGACGATGTATCAATCATGTCAAAGTTCTTAAGTTTGCGATTGTAACCGGTAAGTTTTTTTAACGTTGATCATTTTGTCAATATCTTTAATATAAAAACAACTGAATAAAATAAACAGATCTAAAAATGTAATAAAGGGAAATGGCCAAAAATTATAGTAAATGGGTGTTAAAACGAAAACTGTTTTAGCCTTTACGGTTTGTGTTGCAATCCTCAAGGATCAGGCGCTTTTACCCAGACTGAGTCACAATCATCGGGGCTCCTGAGTTTCTTTAGGCGATTGTATCAGAATCATCAAGGCTTATAGGATTCTAATTGCCTTAAGAGTTACAGGATCGTCATAAAGAAAGGGAAGTTTCTGGTTCTTTCCTTGGATATAAATTTAATTAGGCCAATTGCATCAATAAGTTAATTTATTTTACTGAAAATTATTTATATACATATTTGGTTTAATCTTGTTTTAACGCCGATTTAAAGTTGGCGAACGTTTTGAAATATTTTCATCTTGGCTGTAGGTTATTTCATCACCTGCGATCATTTTAACTATTTGGCTATTTTGAAAGATTATGAAATGTTATGCATATTATATATGTTAAAAATGTTTAGATTTCAAAATGTTCTAGATTGGAGATCTTGTCAGATGAGTTATTAAACTAGAGGACAGAAATGTGAAATATTATTTGATGTAGAGATAATCGACGGTAAATGTTGTGTTAAAAATGTAGATAAATAATTCAATAATTGAAAACATAAGATGATGTAGGAGGGCGGAGTTTAAATTTTTGAACTTTGCAACCGTTTTTGGCCGTAACGGTTGCCAAAGTTATTAAACTCCAAGGGACAACAGAAATGTGAAATATTACTTCATGTAGAGATAGAAAATCGACGGTAAATGTTGAGTTAAAAATGTAAATAAATAATTCAATGATTGAAAACATAAGATGATGTCGGAGATTAAATTTTTGAACTTCGCTACTGTTAATGGCCGGAACGGTTGCCAAAGGTCAGGCCGGCCGGCGGGTCACACCCAACGGGCCTCGAGACCTAAAGGAAAAGAAAAAATGAAATGTGCCCAACGTGAATCGCCTTTAAAAAATGTATTAATAATTTTATTACAACAACCAAATTCGCCTGTGAAAAGACCGTTAACACGGGTTCCCGCAAAAATCTCCCACCCGATATGCCGGTTATTAACGGCTGGTTCGTTGGGGGGGGGAACCGCGCCAAAATGACACCGGGAAAAATGAAAGCGAATCTTACTTGAAGAATGAAAAAACTTAAAAATAATTTTATTATACCGGGGGTAGATTTTATTTTATTCCTCTTATTACAATAACGATCTGGGGCAAAGGCGGTAGTCACGCATGTCCGCCTTCATCAGCCGCCATTAGCCACGCACCTGGTCCTGAAACCGAAACGCGGCCGGCTCACCCGACACAGAAAGACCGTTAGTTAAAAAGATTTTCTTTTAAAAAGTTATACCAAATAAAATTTGTTTTTACAAAAAGCAAAAAAAAGTGTAAATATTATTTTATTTAAACAGACAGATTCACATTTAAAACGAACATGTCCAAACAAGCCGGTTAAGGTAGATCAAGATTCGAAATTATATAAATAAAGCTTTTAATTCTTTCTTTAGAGAAGAAATGTTTACTAAGATATATCTACAGATGGAACTTAAACATTTGAAGTTTTACAGAGTGAAACGAGTTCTGAGACAAAAAATCATATATGAAAAAGAAAAGATTGAAAATTGTGAATTGTTTAAGTACCTTGGCTCCGATTTGGTTTCCGCATTGTCCGGCCTGAATGTGAACGATTTCCCTCATCTTGGTTTGGTTTTGTTAAATTGCTTTTTTTTCCCCAAAAAAAAGTCGGGTGGTGCCAAGCTTGAGTTTCCTGGTCGAAAGCAAGAAGGCAAATGGCTGAGACTTCGCCCAAGCGGTGTAGTCTTATTGGGCGGGGATTACGTCATTGGAGCCAGGTTGGCCAACGTAATTTTTTCCCTTTTTGAAAAACCCAATTTTCAATCAATTTCCAACGGGGAAAAATAAAATTTCAAAGCTGGATATTTTTCACAATGAAAATTCCATGGGGTTTGATTTTGTTTAATAATTCTTTTTAAAAGAATATCTAAATAAATACGGGGTTTGCGATCGTCGACGCGCCAGACCGGCGAAATATTGATCCTCCGGTTTCACCAAAGCTCGACGGAAAACCGATATTCAACTAAACTTTATTTACGTTTTGTTTCCACCCTCTGTGACTTTTGTCTTATTTGACTATTTGTAATATTGAAAACTGATATAACAAGCAGTTAAAATCACATGACAAAATATACTTTTGAAAGAAAAATACACAGACTTTCGAACTGCAGTTTAAACGTTTATTTCCTAATATAACTCAATTTTAAAACGATTTTCCTTTCGGACAATGTGAAAATATTTTTTTTTTAAATCTTTAAACAAGCTCTCTTCTATATATTATATAAATTTCAACCATTTGCTCTTCAATCAACATTCAGCATCTGATTACTGATTTATATAAGCTCAATTCTGCTTTCGGATGTATATACACAATTGTACAGAAGTGCTATTGAACAGTGGCTATCACGTCTCGCCGGCAATTCTAGCTTTTGTGTAATTTACAATAAATTACAGGCAGACCTCGAGAACATCAAGGTTGGGGGACCTCGAGAATCATCAGCTAGGTCATTTCAGACCTCAACGTAATCAGTCTCAGTCCAAACCCACTCATCCTTAAATACATTCTTTCCTATTTACATGCCATTCACTCAGTTAAGGTGATTGAGTATTTGATATTCCTCTTTTCACACATTACATCTATTATTATAACTAACCTAATTGAGGGTCGATGGGGTACTCAATATTCCACCATTGGCCCTCTTACACTGCACCTTCACGCTAATATATGTGTGTAATATAATATTTATACCGTTAAGTAATAATTATTTAGAAATCGTGAGATGCAGCCAAGAGGTGATGTAGGTTAAAAAAACATTTTCTTTATTGTGCTAATGTTTCAATCTTTATTGAGATCACCTTCAGAGCCTGGGATTTATAAACATTGTTTAAATTATACAAATACATACAAGATATGATTATGAATTTATACATTGAAGTACACAATATAGAAATTTTAGATTTAATCAAAGTATTTGTACTTACTCAAACTGTGTTTTCCGTGTAGATGCATCGCTGTCATGTATCACGTTGAGAGTATAATAAATACATTCTGTCTCAAAATTCACAACACGAAATATCTGTGAAGTGTTATATACAGTAACACAGCCGTTTCCTCTAAAAATTGGAACAGGGGACCTAGATACTCAATGTCGTGCTCAAGAACAATTCTCATACTGGGTGGCATTCCTACATATTCTCTATATGATCCCAAGGAATGGCACCCTTCAATTAAGTAGAACACATTGAGCAACATTCTCTACATGCCAGTCAATAAGTCAGGTCCTTCGATGGGCACCTATTGACAGTGCTCTACCGATCTGGCCCACCTATAGTGGACTTTTTGAGTTTAGAACAAAAAGGTCATTCCACACATATCCTAGTTGACATTGATCGACCTCCGTAGTTTAAACTGATGTATTGGATCTTCTTGAGGTCATTTTACATAATAAATAAATCACTATTGGGTTTCACCAAGCTTTCGGCAAATGTTCCGCCATCTTCAGGGCCTAATTTATTGAAAACAAAATTTCCATTAACAGAATTACATAAAACATCATATACACATACATTATAAGAATAAAATTACATACTTTACCCAGTTTTTTAAGACAATTAAATTTATTGCACGTTTGTTGTTTTTTTAAAATGAAGGTGGAATTGAATCTACATACTGAAATAAAAATAAAAATAAAATAGTCTTGCTTAAAATCTAGTGACACTCATCGGTCCATCCTTTGGTCTCACCTCTTTCATAAGTTAATACTCAATCTCAGGTACATGTATTTCTTTATCACAGATACGTTATATNTAAACTATGAAAAGATGTAGATGGGCAAATGCAAATTTTTAGCATCTAAGATATATTGATATTAAGACAAAAAATCGTCTTGTTCTACTTTCCCCCCAAAATATTGTGTAAAAACAACTATTATTTCATTGAGATGTTTTCATTAAACTATTAACTTCTTAAGAAATCCAAAGTAAAACCACTTTCTGTCCTTCAATTGACATTCAGTGTCTAGGAATTATTGTGATTTTAAATTTTTAATATTTCTTCAAATATGTATTATATCCACTCAAACCTGTAATGTTATAGTAATTGTTAGTTGATTGCAATTTAAAAGTAATTTGTAAACAAGAATGTGTATTTTGAGGGTAAAAAAAATTTATTCCTTAACTTCATTATTTAGGCTCTTGTTCCAGACTGAAAGATATGAGCCACACTGTAACAAGGATAAAATCAAATTTCGAAATAAAGTACATAGCAAAAGAACATAAATCAAATATGTTTAGCAAAGAATGAGGCTATTGCATATATTTTAATCCTAACTATTTTATTATTTTCTTAAGAAGTCCAACACTTTCTTTCAATTAAATAAAACTCAGCACCCAGAAAATATGGTATAATTTTAAAATTATGTTACATCTAATAAAATAACAATGATAGGTAATATATTTATCATTAGGAGCTCATTGGTGTGTAGTAAAAAACTAATTATTATGTAAATAATATAATTTTAAATAATAATAATTACCGGGGTAATTCTCGAGTATGTGGAAAACATAAGGTACCTCAGTATTACCTTTGATGGAAAGTTATTATTGTATCCACATATAGAGAAGACTGCTGTCCAATCCAGAAGAATAATTGACATGATGAAATTCTTGAATAATTTCAGATGCCGCGAGGGAAACACTGCTCCAGATATTTAGATCACTATTATGTTCAAAATTAAATTATGGATGCATGAAAGAGTTCTGCAAGAAAAGGCAATTCTCCAAGGACCCTTTAACACAAAGAATAGTCGAGCAATTGAGTAAACTGAGAAATCAGGATCGCAAAATCATATTTGCCTGGATCCCAGGCCACGTTGGGCTACAGGGCAACGAAAATGCAGATCGGGCGGCCGAAGCTGCTAGCCCGCATGACCCGGGTATCCTGATCCGTAAGATCTGAAAAGAAAAATGAGAACTTTAATCTACAATTAATGGCAGGCCCGCTGTTACGAGATGAACGAAAAATTAAGTGCATAAAGAAACGGTGAGGCCAAGGCCCATGGAGAACTTAAAGAAACGAGACAAAACAATATTAACAAGTTTGAGGATAGGCCTCACGCACGGCCATCTCCTGGTTGGGAGAACATGCAAAAGTTGCCCTCTATGTAGAGACCTGGTAAAACGGTAAGACATCTATTAGAATGCAATAGGTTAAGAATATACCAAGAAAGGTGCGACCTACCCTCCAACCAACGAGCAACTCTAAAACATAATAGTGACCACATAAAGAAATTATTTAGATATCTGAGAGCAGTGAACGCATATCAATTAATTTGATCCTCCCCTTAGTAGAACTTTGGATTTGGTATGTATGTGTTTATTGGCAAGGATGTTGCAGTGATTGTTGTGAATAAGAATGGGCCGCTCAACAAAATGTTCAGTACCACGACGGCTCGGATTTTTGGTGGGGAGTGAATGATGGAAGTTTTATCTGTTGTTTTTAACTGTACATAGTGAAGGTGCATAGTGGATCAGCGTATTTATTGGAGTGAATGTATTTATCAGCAAGGATGGAATATATGTTTATATGTTTAAACAGTGTAGGTGTGTATAAATGAGGTCGGGGCGCCGTCGGAATGCGCAGTACCATGATGGCCCGCCAAATGTTAGTTTAGGATTAGTATAGGGTGTATGTTGTTATGAGTGAGGACAGGTTACTGACGGAATATCGAGTACCTCAGTAACCTATCAATACGTGTGAAAGGTGTTCTTTTAATTGAGGGAAATCAACATTTTGTAAAGGGGCAGGTGACGAGTAATGAACAGAGTGGGGTACCAAAATACCCTACTCGAAAATACAAGAATTGTTAATATGTGAGGTGCCGGTAGGTAATGGCCATAGTTGTTGACTGGGGGAAAAAAAACAATTACAACCAGATACAGGTCAACATAGTCCTATTAAGTGTAAATTGTATGTTTTATTGGCTAAGATGGATCAAGCATAATAACAAAATAAATTATTTTACTTCCTTGCATTTAATTTTTTCTTTTTGAGCTTCTTTGGCTGTAACGCAATTCGGCAATGGGAACTTGAGTAATTAAAAGGATTTACTGGGCTGTATAAAATAATACATTTTGACAAAAATACTTTATTGACTGACAATATGTATACAGATTAGAAAAAATTCTATGCATCTTATCGTGTTCGGAAGGAGAACACACTGTAACACCAAGGATAAAATCATCCAGTGAATAGAAACTTTTGTTGCACAAATTGCTTACATCGATACAATTAAAATAAGGTAACTATATAACGTTTTCATCACTATACACATATCTTATACTTTATATATACATATATATTATTAATTTTTTGTAACCATAAACAAATAACAAATTTCTTTATACAGGTGTATTAAAATAAAATGATGGCACCTACGCAACAATAAAATATAATGCGATAAATGTACAAAAATAAACCATTTAGGTCTTTGATATCACTTCATACATACATTATAACACAACAATTGTTACAAAAATGGCATTTTAATGTGGATAGTTTAATAAACTATATGAGTCTGAGTTAATTAGGCCTAATAGGAAATGGATAATGAAAAAATTGTATCACGAAAGAAAGAAGAAATCACTACATCAACCCCTCTAATGATTGAAGTCTAAGTAATAACTTTAACTAATGTAAAATACACTATGTACGGATTCCTAGGTAGTTTAGCAAAATAAAAATATAAAAACAATTTAAATTAATTATAATTTTTATTTAAGGTCTTGGTTGAGATGAAAAAGCTAGTGTCACATGAGGGATTCAAACCCATGACCTTCGGTTCAATATGCTGCTCCTGACACTCGCTTTTTCATCTCAACCAAGGCCTTAGTTAAAAAGGGCAATTAATTTAAATAATTAACACAGTCAATTAAGACTACTAAATACATGTATGTTGTTACGTTCGTAACAGAGTATGTATGCATTATTATTATTTAACCGGGGATGCCTCCTAAATTATAATGCCTCCTAAACGAAAGTTGGCAGTGGGTCAATCAAAATTAAGACGGCCTAGGATAGGCTTAGAGGAAGAGAGGAGTGAGTCAAAGAGAGGACAGTGTGCGTCGAGACGGAAATCCCTACAGTCTGGCCGGATCATAGGAAATCATCAATTCCTTGCTCAACGAAGGCAACAGCGGACCCACTCAACTTCAGAGAAGGAGTTCCACATTTTCCTGGAAGCAGGGATTTTCAACCCTCATATCTGGACACTGGTTCCCAGGAAAGTTTAGTTTTTGAGTTATGTTTATTTAGATTTTAAGATAATTTAGGTTCATTTAGTGTGTAAGTTTGTTAAAATGTTACCGGAAGAGAATTAAGATTGATCTATGTTTAATATTTTAGTTTCCTTTGTATGTTGTTTTTTTTTCTGTTTCCTTATGTAAATATTGTGTTCTTTTTTTTTCTTAGTTAATTTTACTTTTATTGAATTTTCTTGGATTTATTTTTTTTACGGTTCTCTGTTTCCATGTCATATTAAACAGCGGGGCGCCAATTTTAATTTAATATTACATTAAGTAGCCCCGCCCATCTCCATGGAGCGAAGCCGGCAAATTCTCAGCGTAAGAATGGAATAATATAAAAACAATAAAAATATATACTTTATTTATTTTAAACAAATGAAAAAACAAAACAAAAACAACCTTCATTATATAATGGTTTAGTAAACATCAATGCGCGCAATTTGAAAATATTGAAATACAAATTACAGTAGAATTTTTATTATTCGAAATTCACCCATTTTCATTATTATTATTTTTTTTAAAATTGAATTAACATGAGGAGCTTTTCTTTTTCTGGAGACTATCAAAATCAGGACTATTGTTTTGAAAGCACTAATACTTGTAACATTGTGTTAAAAGTAAAACATAATTAAAATATTGGCAAATGTAAATAAATAAACTTTAAACCTCACCAGACTTTATGATGCAGGCAAAGTAGGAGATCATCATAAATATGTTTGTTTCAAATGGACATATCTACACGTTTTTTTTTCCAAAGTTTTTGTAGTGTGGAAAGAGAAAAAAAAAGGAAATTTTTTGCCAATTCGACAATTTTGCAACCAAACAAATCAGATTATTGAGATTCTAATTTATTTATAAATAAAAAAGGTCATAATTTAATTGTAGCCAATGTGAATGTACGGGGCAACATCAATGAGTAAAAAATACTCTTTTTCTTAAATTATTGTACATGTATTTTTTTTAATATTTCACTCCATATAAACCTGAAATAACTCAGACTTTAAATGTATCCTTTCTCAAATTAGATATTCACTTCTGGGAAAAATTATCCTACAACTAATATATCAGAATAATACAATATATACAACAACAAAAATAACTGAAAAACTTTAGTCCTCACTTTTTGCCAAAGAGATATGAGCATGAAATATTTTCAGTTGGGCGTTTGTTTTGAATTTGGCAATTAATTATCTCAAAGGCAACAAATCTACCCTAATAAATTGAGTTATCACTCGAATGATGTTGATTTAGTCAGTCTATGTATTACATAGATAAAAGAGTTTGAATTTTTTTTAGTCAATCCAAACTAAGAGAGAATCTTATTGAATATAGTTCTACAATTAAAAATAATTAACTAATACTATCGTGAAGAATATTTATAAAAAAACGTGTCAATCTAGGTTTCTAAAACTAAGAAAACACTTAAATTTTAGCCAAAGACAAATATATAATGATAAACTAATTGCCTGCTTATTGATCAATTATCATTAATGATAATTAATCAAGGGAAAAGCTTTGATAGTATTAACCCGTTCAGTAGATTTGAGTGAAATATTATATAGAAATTAATTGAGGCACTCATTCATATTGACTTTCTTTTATCTCTCTCCTGTTCACTATGTACATTGTCCATGAGTGAAAACAAATTTACAATGTGTATGTGTACGTGTTTTCGATTTTGTGTGTGAGTGTGTGTGTGTGTGTGTGTTGAGAAGTAGATGTAAAGACTAGATGTGATAGGTCACGAAGGGTTACAGGAAGCGAATTTCCTCATACTAAGACAAGACGTCGGCCTACTTTTCCAACCCTTTTTCTGACTGGAGCCCTTGTTGTTTACACACGCTTCCTGCTCAGCAACAATACGCTCTTCTGCACAACATTTAAAAACAATAGAATCATTTGATAATTAATTATGGTTTATATTACAAGGTCATAAATAAGCTAAGCATGTAAGTTAAAAGTTTAAAATAATATACCAAAAAAGCAATACTATCGTTTTTATAAATCTGCCTATGAATGATTTAAAATTGTAATTTGACCATTAAAATTACTTGTGGAAAATGTTTTAGACTGTTTTTAATTGATATTATAACACAAATTGTTAATGTGTTTTTTGTTGAATAGATATATTTTAAATAATAATTTTATCTATTTTTAATTTATTTAAAAATAATCATAATTACTAGCAGCTTATTTTATCTTTACAACATAAAAATTAGAAACAAAATAAAACTTGTATTGTCAACATATTTAATTGTGTTAATTATTTATATATTTTTTGTTAAAATGAATTGAGGGGAATAACTTGAAGAATACCTTCAAGCTGTCTCTCGGTGATGTACTGCGAGGATGCAGCTGGATCACCATAATGGCTTTCCATCAAATAAGGTAACACTGTCATTGTATGGTAAACATCTCCCCTCAAGGGAGGGATTGGGACTCTTTCAGCCTCTCTTTTTGTGTGCTTTTTAATAACCCACCTAGAACAAATAAAAATGTAAGGTAAAAACAAAATTTTAAGTGAAATTACACTTTCATTTAGCTTACGGGTGATTAAATATTTGTTGTAAACTGAAGCGGTCCTTCGGATCTTTGGCAAGCATACCAGATAAAAGACCCTTGAGCGATTCATCATCCAACTCTTTCGGGATGACGAAATCTCCTTGACCGATGCATTCAAAAAGTCGAAAAATATTATCACCTTCAAATGGATATTTACCAGTTGTTAAATTGTACCTATAAAATTTAAAGTAATTAATACACAAATGAAGTTTAAGATTTACAATAATTATCTTACAAAGTCACTCCACTACTCCAAATATCTACTTTAAAACCAGAAAATTTTTCTAATCCATTGGCTATTTCTGGTGGTTGAAATACTGGAGAGCCTTGGCTAGTGAAACACGTGTCATCTGGTGCAAACCTATCCAAAGCCTAAAAAATTAATCTAGAATAACAAAAGAATCTATACTGTCAGATTTTCACTACAACCACCATTCATCCTTAATCCAAATAAAACTCAGAAAAGTTAATCTCATGTAATATACTAATACAACAGATAAATATAGCTAAGTACTCTTTAAAACAAATTTATAATTTCTTATAACAGTGAAACTTCCCTGTAACAGACACTCTTAGGGATTGAAAATTGTTCTCTATATAGAGGTATCCACTTTGGGGATAACAGTGAACGAAATGTTAAGTATTACAATATGGGTCACATTAGGGATTGCAAAATATCTCGAAACACCGAGGATATTAGACTTTTCTATGGCCAAAGGGTTTTTCAAATTCACTGAGTAAACTTTTGATAAGAGCAAAGTTAAACACTCTTTGAAACATTTCCTCTCTAAGGCTAATTTTTTAACTGCATAGTATTATCCGTAAGTGCTCTAAAAATTAAATCTCATTGCAATTAAAATGTTTTTGGTTTCAAAATCGGCACAATATTGCTTATGCTTTTCCATCCTGTTTTATCAGCCTCGGTCCTTTGCTCCATTAATGGTCTTAAAAGTATGCCATGTTCTAAATTTGTGAGCCAACCTGAAGATGCTTTAAAGCCATTTGCCCTAAATGTTTGCCAATAATAAGGCCTTTTCTCATTTAAGAAGACCAAACTGTGATATTTTAAAAGCCCGAGCAATACAAAACCATTCACATACGTCTTGGTCTAAGGCCAAAATAGACTTTTAGAAAAAAAAAAAAAAAAAAACCGTGGGATGTCATTTCCACATATGTACAATTTATCTAAAAGTTTGTTTTTATTCTTTAGAATTTCACTTGCCTGGTCTTTCCAATGAAAATCATCGCAGCCAAGTCTCGCACAAAGACAAACAAAACAAACAGGAAATGGTATTTCTCAGAAAACATTCATTTTCTGGAGGCTGCTGTCTGCTTTGGGAGAATTGTAATCATAGTAGAAAAAGCTGACTGTGGTAGTGTCCTCTTTATGAAAGATTTTAGTGAGAATAAACAAGTGGAATGACACCAAGAAATCAGAATGTCTGTTCAAGGGAAGTGTTTACTTTCTAGAGGTGTCTGTTAAGGGAAGTTTCACTGTATATTCATTAATCATAACTTCCAGTTTTATAATCTAGAAGGTTTGTGGAAAATTAAAGCCAAGCGTTCTGTTGGGTGTAAAACTTTTTATTATAATGGATTTTTTAGGCACAATGGCTTATCAACACCAGCCCAAACGGGTTACTCACCAATTCTTGCATAATTTTAAATCTTTCAAGTACGGAGACGACATGGTTTTAATTTTACACCAATCTTCTGATTTATAATCATATAATATATTGAATTTTAATCACAACCTTAAAATTTTTATTACATACCTCTGCCACTCCTAAATCTGATATTTTAAGAGTTTCATCTAGTGTGAGCAAAAGATTGCCGGGTTTTATGTCTTTATGAATTATCCCATTACTATGAAGATAATCCAGGCCATTGATTAACTGACAAAAGTACCTAAAATGTTACGTCTGCTAAAAACAATTCAAGAAAATTGATTTAAACATTTTTTTCTTACCAATGGGCTTGCCATAATGGAAATTTCTTCTGTGGTGTACTCTCGAGCATGTCTTGCAACCCTCCAACACAGTATTCCATAATGAGATACATTTTTTCTTTTTCGTTATTGTAAAGTACATCAACAAGTTCTATCACATTTTTGTGTTTCAACATTCTTAATAATTGGATTTCCCTGAAAGCCAAGAAAAATCATCTATTATTAATCTTCACTGTTAAATTAATCACCACACATGTTAAATTAAAAATATAAATATATAACAATCCTTCATGTCCAATGATATATAACATTATGAATATTTGAAAGAAAATATGAAACGCATACACAATAATAATATACTTGTAAGAGCTCCAAATACCACCAATTTGTCAAACGGATAAAAATAGGGCATAAAATATTTTGGCTTAGCACACAAGCTCAAACATTTGCTCTTTGAAAAAATTGTGAACGTTTTTAAAAAAAATGTGAATAGTTCTTTTTATTGGATGCTGGTGGATGAAGAATTTTTTTAAATTATTATTACAAATACTTTAATTGAATCTAAAATTGTTTGTATGATGTAAACAATGTTTATAAATCCCAGGCCCTGAAGATGATCTCAATAAAGATCGAAACGTTGGCATGTTAAAGAAAATGTTTTTCTAAGCCTACGCCACCCACACCAGACTGCATCTCACGATCTCCGAATAATAATTATTTTAACTATGAACGTGTTTTTCAGAAAGATATTTCACTTGAACATCATGTTTTCTTTGTTTTTAGTTTGTGAAAGACTCATGAATTCTCTGGATCATGGTATGGTCTTGAAAAAGCAAATTCAGTTGTTACTGCCAATTTCCATCTATTTTAAGGTCATCATCAGGGCAAAACAATCTTAAATATGTCTACAAATTGACATAAGTTTTTCTTTGAGGACTGACTCAGTCCCAACATGCCAAGGGCTGAAGGATTAGAATTGAGAGTTAAAATAGGTCGAAAGCTTGGGGAGTAACAGCAGAATTTACTTTTTCAATAAGACCATACCATGAACCAGTGAGACATGAACTTGTAGCTTTATCATTTCCGATTATCTTAGTCTACTATTCCAGATGGTTTTGTTTATCTAAAGATGGCAGAATGACTAAACCAGCAAGATTGGGCTGACCAAGATAATCAGTGTTACATTCCACTGAGGAAGAATTGTCAAATTCCATGAGTAAGCATTTCAATTGATGAATTGACGAGTTAGCAAATTATTCTTGTTCGACAAAAGCCTCAACAAGTGATGCCTGACAGGTGTGGCAGTGTAAGGCAATCAAAAAAGAAAGTCAGAATTGTGCTAATTTAACCACCAAAGCAAATCAATTAATTATTAAGCAAGACGGATGAATCACAAAACAGTCATTTTCTGCCTCAAGAAAAAAGTGAATTAAAAACTGTACTCTTAGGAGTTGGCTTATAGTTGATATGATCAAAATGCGACTCATGAGTTCACGGAATTGTATTTACTGTACTTATTTATGAAAGATTACTTTGAACAACAACACTTAAATAAAGTAACCACTTCGATATTACCAGGACTGAGAATATCAATAATAAACATTCTTAATTTTCTCAAGGAATACAGTTGTGGTAGAATAACTGAGCCAAAATGACAGATTAATTGCAAAACAGTGATATCCAGTTTCAGGAAAAGTGTAGATCACAAACTGAAGCCTCATTATTTGGCTCGCTGTCGTTTGTACACAATTTGAATTTAATGTGCTATTTTCTTTACTTATTGTTTATCTTTTCTTCACTCTTACTCTCTAAAATTACATTATAACTATAAAACATATGCTAATTTGTAATTTTAGAGAACAAGAATAAAGAGGGGAGGCGAAAGAAATCAATATCAAGGCAAGAAAATAAAGATTTAAAAAAAAAATACTACAATTCTTAAAAAGCCCTACATGAATGTATGTATATACTCTAATATTACTAATTAAATGAATACTAATTTTCTCTTTCTTGTTGACTTGCATGACTTCCGAACTTTTCTCTGATAGAAAGAATTTTTTTTTTCCACTCATCACTGAATTGGTTTGTCACATAACAATCTGAGAACTGACTAAATAAACAGACCTAACAGGAAGCACCAAAGACGTTAGAGAAGGTTGTGTGGGGTGTAAGAATTTCTGAAACACTACTGTTTGCAAATAATATGTCAAAAGTCATATGTCATTTGGTGGAATCCTGAGTTGTTTTTCTTTTTTCTATCGGCTTATTAGAAACTTTTTCGTTGAAAAATCTATGAACTTAGGTCTGTTCATTAGAATTACTTTTCTTAGTAAAGTAATCGGAATAATGCAGGGTAATAAAATTGGGTCACAGAGAAATGTCTGGTTATTGGATGTGTCTGTTTGGGGAAGTTCGATTGTATTTTACTAAAATATTATGGTACCTGTTGTTTTACAACAATGACTCTTTGGAACTCCCCTTTTTTACCCTAGACAATGCTTATTAGTCAAACACTCGAAAAAGGTCCCCAGCAGAATAATTTGGAACCTTGGAACTCTTAAAAGTAGCTTGGTCATTTCCTGTCATTTTGGTCTGCCTCTACTCCCTGTTTTGGTCTGTAATGGGTTAAATCCATCTAAGACGTACAAAGCCTCAAGCTTCTTTCACATTTTATGATGACTGTATAAAAAAAGACAACTAAACAGAAAAGCAAACTATCTAATGATTATGGCCGATAGCATCTGCCTGCCTCAAATCAAGGATAAGCAGACGCTGAGAATTTTTAAAAAAATTTAGAATTATGTTACAGCACATGTAAGCAACTTAGTCACCTTCATAAATTTTGTAATATAACAATATTACAGTGGAGAAGTAATCCATTTATTACACTCCTACTATAGCACTATTCACTTTCATCACTAGGGAGGAAATTGCGAGGTATTGGTGCTTTAGGTGTCTTAGAGGATTTCTGGGGCTTCGTGTTGACTAGGTGGGATGAGGCTTGAGGACTTTATGGAAGCGTCTGAATGGACTTCCTTCAGATTTTGAGGATAAATGGGATTTAAAGGTATGTGTGGATTGCATGGTTCGATATGAAGTAGGGAGCTTGGGCGATAGTTCAAAAGATTTTTGACTGGAGTGACTTCATTTAGATTGGTTGTAATAATGATATGTATATGAGTTGTGTTTTCCAGTGGACAATGGTTTGAAGAATATTTATTGGATTCTTTGTAGGTTGGAATACTTAGTTAAACCCCAAAGTTCAATTCTGTACTTTTTTTTTTGTGTGTGTTGCAACAGCAGAGGTCATATCAACCTCAGGGTTCCTGTGTTAAAAAAAAAATTAAAAAAAAAACAACATTTGTAAGTGTGTCAGGTACAAATAAATAATTTGAATACAGGGCTACTGGATTTAAACCCAGGATCTTTACCTACACTGATGTGCAGCCTAAACCGTTGTGGACACTGATGCCCTTCCAGATTGGGTGTAGTAACGATATGTAGATGAGTCATTTGTTTTCTAATGAGAATTTTGATCTGTTGACAATGAAGTCTTTTGTGTAGTTTATATAGTCTTTATATAGTTACCATTCTTTTGATTCGAGTGTAGCGGTTCCAAGTAAGTATTTTGTCAGTGTAAAGTCCCAAATATAGGACGACATTGCTGGGAAAGGAACAGAATTGTAGTAGAGAGGTGATACAGCAGAGGGTAAAGGTTATTTCCTCCTACTATTTGGTTTCATTGAGTTTTGAGATGTTCTTGAACCAATCTTCCAAACAAAAGATATGGTCCTGGTGGTTACTGAAGGCCACTGGTTCTGTGTTAGCTGAAAGGATGACAGTAAGACAGTGAGGATAAGCCGACCTCAAGAGGAAGTCTTACTTTTAAATGTTTATTGCATAAAACATCGCCTAACGTAGATTGAAGATGTTTGTGAAAAAATAAAGCTTGAATTTTTAACAAAAATGAGTCAATTTTATACACACTAAGGGAAATTTTATATGGTTGGTTACAAACTGACACATCATGTTTTAAGTTTTCTGTTTTTAAGGATTACTGGGTCGAACAAGTGTAAGAAGTTAGGTCGAACAAGTAGCACAACAAAAATCAACTGTGTTTCATGGGGAGGTAAGTTTATGAGAGTTTCTATAAAGATCTTTTGTTTGTTATATTCTTGGTCATATATGTACATCTAAGAGCAATATTCTAAGAACGACGTTTATACAGACCTCTGTACATTTTGTTCACCGTTGGGTATCCGTCTGAGCTTTTTTTTTTTAAGGATTTTCACCGCCCTCCTGCACAGGGTTTCCGAGTCGAGCATCTCTTTCACTTTCCCGTAGCTGCCCTCGCCGAGCAAATCTCCCATAACATATTTTCCTATCATTTTACACCTTTTTTTCTTCGTTTGGTATATGATTTCGTTCGAGTCCACTTTGTGGAAGAACATGATATCGTTATCGTCGTTCTCATCGTCCGTTATCCAGGTAACACCACCATGCCCTTTCTCGTATAAATCTAAATCACTGGACTTACAATCATTTATTGTCATATTATTGTCCATAACGGTTAAGGTATCATGTCTGCGCTACGTATAAGCCACACGGGTACGACTACGAGATCCGTCTCAAAACACCAATTCCACACTTCATTTCTCTAAACAGCCATTTTAGTTGAGGAGCCTCCCCGTTTCTACAACTCTCAAGTACGACAACTTATTAATTTACAAGGAAAAAATTTACTCAAGTCTCCGATTTAATAATAAAAGAAAAACGTTCAGAATTTGGCGATTTTATTAACTTTGGATTAACATATTTTTCAAGCTGTTGGAAAAGATAATTATTTTTCTGTCGTTGAATATTTCATTTAACTTGAGAAATTTGTCAAAACCCAGTTCGAAATTCTACCAATATTCTGGTCGAATGAATGAACATAATGTTTAATTTTTATAATTATAAACTATTAAATCAAAACAATCCTAACTTTTTTTGCCTTCTATTATATTTGGAATAATTGATCATTTTTTGAGAGTCCAAGAAAGAGGAACAAACAGCCAATCAATTACAGAAAGTTTTAAAATTCTGTCAGGGCACCCCCATAGTTTAAAAGCATCGTTTGTTTATTCTTCAAAGCCGGACAAAAATATGGGAAGATTGTTTACAAAAAATAATGATATAATAAGATTATGCATTGAGTAAACAATTTCGAATATCAACAATATTCATTCCCTCTTAACTTCTGACTCCACACTTTATCAAGATCCCTTTTATTATTTTTAATGGGATTGAACAAGCCTATTAAATATTCAAAAAGTGACCAAACGACTTAGGACTTGAAGGACATAATAATTATTTCTTGCATGAATTATCACGCCACAGTTTGACTAACAAATTGATTATCCCTCGCTTTGAAGTTTTTAAAGTATGTACGATATATTTACATTGATTAAAAAGAAAAACGTTTCGTTTGTAATGTTCATATAATTGCGTATAAGTCTATTAATTATGTTTGAAAGTGTAGATGGAGGGAAAGGATTTGTTTACTTTTCCAACAAGCACGTGCGTTTCAGCTGGAGCTGATCTTCGGGTTTCCCATGTCAGAGATGCTGATATGTTCAAACTAACTCAAAATGTGTTGAAAACGTTAACCAGACAGCCTATCTCTAAAGATTTATCTGCATATGACGTAAGTATCCCCCCATTCCATAATTTATATATTTTTTATTCACTTTTTGACTCGTTTATCACAATTTATCGCGCTATGGTGGTGTCAGTCTTTATTGTTTAGCTGATAATCCATAATGCCATCCTTGCTCGAATCTGTGTCTACTGTTTTTTTTTCCACTTGTATACAATGAGAGTCGGAGGCGGTTTTATGTTGAGAAACGTTCAAAATAGTCGCATATCTATGTTGTTTCCTCCTTTTCAAAATATGACAGAATTGAAACAATTTCAGGATACAATAAAAGCCCTCAATGGATTGCAGTCTAATCTGAGTGTTCTTATAAAAGCTGCCAACGCTGGAAGTAATTCACAAAGTAACAATATTGCGTTAACCCACAAGTATTTAAAGAGGTAATTTTTATATTTTATAATTTTTATAATTTAAGATATCAAATATTTTCAGCACACACACACACTACATAAATTTTTATGTATACACACATATATACGTCCATCCATCATGGGCCTTTTCTGAATGATCTTGGATACTCAAATGCATTAGTATCAGACTAACCAAAGCCAGTTGACCAAGCACTATACAATACTTCGAGTATATGTATGAGAGCCTGGGGATCTGAACCATTCAACAGCTCAATGGTTTGGACCCTTGAGAGAGTGAATGAAACGAGGTGTAATAGACGAATCTCTCCTAAAATCGAACATTCAGCTAGGAAGTGAAGGACTGACTCAGTTGACTGCGAGTTGCAAAGAGAACAGATCCCATTCCTCCCTCTCATCCAAAGAGCAGAGTTCAATGGAGAATCTCACAATGAAGTTTTAGAAGTCAATACAACTCCAATTAAGGCCGATAAAATTTTGTTCTTTTAAATTAAATAAACCACATGAATGTGATAGGTCTTTAAACAACAAGAAATTATCTGAGGATTGAGTACGGCGTATGCATTCCATTCTATGATGCTCTTTTATTGCAGACATCAAAGCTGAAAAGAGATTTGGTCATTTATCAAGGTTTCAAGGGTTGGGGTTGTTAGGGAGAACTTATGGAAGGATTTAGCCAATGTACATACCAGGAAGTCTTCGACCATATGATTTCTAACGCTGTTATTTTTACAAGTCTAGAATCTGAAAGATGTAAGGTTTTAAGAATGAATGAGAAGTGAAGCTGTAAGGTGTGTATGTAAATGGACCTGGCGATGTTTCTAAGTAAATTTTTCAATTAAGTAATGATGTCAAGTAACTTCCTCTTTTTAACTATACCCAATTACAGAGAGCTCTGGGCTGTCCGAGCAGTAAAAACAACAATAAAGAATCATTTTAATGCCGGTTAAAGATCATCATTGGGCTGGATTGTCTAAGAAGCTCTTGCATATCAAGATTGCTCACTGATTGTCTGAACAGAAGGAAGGATAGGCCATACCCGATTGATAGAGAAAAGTTGTTCAGCGTGTCACCCTTACAGGGAGCAAGTAGGCATAGCAACCAATATAAAGGCAATCCTTGAGCATAAGAATAGATTGTTGAGACCCCTCTTCGAATTTTTAATAGAGGTTGGTAGGGATGTTTCCATAAAATATTATATATTATCGATTATATTTAGTGGCCTGATTGACCAAATACTTCTGTCAATTAATTATTCTTTGTATGTAAGTTCTTTGTTGAAATGAAAAAGTTAGTGTCACGAGGGGGATTCGAACCCACGGCCTTCGGCTAAATACACTGCTGCTCTAACCACTTGAGCTATCATGACTTCGATCCATTATATATAATGTATGTATTGTACGTCATATAATGTATATGTGTATGAGTATAGTTGTGTGTCTGTGAATGAATAAGTGAGAGGGCTGATGGCGGAATATCAAGTCTCTTATCGGCCTTCATTGTGCAGTGGGGGCTGATAAGACTCAATTGTCAGCGCCCCTATTCAAAAACATTAATTATAAAAAAAATAAAAACTGTACTTAGGTTCACTAATTTCGTGGTCCGCTTGACCAATTAATATATTACAATTAATTAAGGTTTTTAGTTGAGATAAAAAAGTCAATGGCACGAGCGGGATTCGAACCCACGATCTTGGCTAGATACGCCGCTGCTCTACCCCTTGAGTTATCGTGACCTTGCAGCGTATCTAGCCGAAGATCGTGGGTTCGAATCCCCCTCGTGCCATTGAGTTTTTTTATCTCAACTAAAAACCTTAATTAACTGTACTTAGTGGTGATTTTGGAAAATATATTTAAAACTGGCAAGATCTTTACAAATCAAAGTCAACAACTTTGTTTTAACTTGTCTTTAAATGGTCGGTGTCTTTTGAAACTGCAGATGGTTCAGAAATCCTTCTGCTTGGCCACATACAACACACCTCACCAGAATTGTTGACTCCTGCCAATATAATTTTACTATTTACGTGTTTAACATTGAAATGTTAGCCCCTTCTCAGTTGTACATGCCAGCAAAATGGATTTTTGAAAAATTAAGTGCTACAAATTATCTCCAATTTACCATCTGCTACAATCTGTTAACTTTATTTCAATTGATTTCAAAAATGGACGGCATATTGATGTTGTTATCTGTAGATAGATAGATAAAAATGTTATATTTTTCTTTTTACAACATTTTAGTTAGTAAAATATAGCACACATTGCATTGGTTGAAATTGAATTTGTCTACTATATTTTTATTTATATCATTACCATCATTACATTTTAGAGTAACCTTCAATTGCTTTGAATGATTAGATATTGGAGTTTAGATTGTTCATTATTATGATTACAGTTTTATTCCATTATCAGTAATATTTCTTTTCTTTTATTTTTTTATAGAATTGAATGGGCAAAAAACCTTTTACAGTGTAAGATGAAAATCATTAATCATTAATGGAACATCATAGGTTGACAAAAAAATGAGTAATACTAAATAATTATTGGGTTGGCAAGTAAATAATGATTTTTTACAGTATATATTTTTATTTTTTATTCCTGGCATATTTTTAACTATTCGGTGATGTATTGTCCATTGTTTGCAATTATTTTTTGCATATCATTCAGATAGCATGTTCATTCCTTTTGCATAAAAATGTCCAACTTTTGAGTCCAAGAACGTTTGAACATTTTCAAAACTTTCAAAGTTTTAGCCATTTAAAAATTTGGTAATCACAACGTGAAATGTCCATAGAATATGGCTGGTGTGATAAAATTTTCATAATTGTTTGGTCTTCAAATCAACATGGGGCGCGTGTTGTTGTGGTGAAAAACTACACCTTTTCTGTTTGTTAGCTAGTGCAGACTGTTGTTTGCTTCATTTGAAGGTTTAAATGGGTTAGCTGTCCTGGTGGTAAAAGCTCAAAATGCAAGGGGCTGGACCAAATGCACAGCATACATTTGTTATTTCAGAAAAACTAGGCGGCCATTGACCAGTTGGCAGTAAGCTTTTTGCAGACTGTTGCATGTGGTCCATTTTTCTCCTGTCACCAATCTAAGAAGAAATGGAACGTAAGAGTGACAACATGGGAATGAAGAGCAAATTGAGATGAAATCCACCAAATTCCTTTCACTGAATTCGTTTGGGATCCATGTATCAAACTTTTGAACAAACCTGTCTGGATGTGGTTTCAATGGTTGTATGGGAAACATTTAACATCTCTCCTAGTTCTCGGTCACCAAAAAGAAATTTTCTTCAATTATAGCTTCTGCCTCAATGTCATCAACTTCAGAATGATGTCCACTAGCATCATCTTCAAGAACAAAATTTTTCTTCTCTAAATCATTTACAGCAGGGGTCGGCAACCTGTGGCCCGCGGGCCGCATGCGGCCCTTTGCAACTTTTTGCGCGGCCCGCCAAAGCCCAATATAAGGAAAAATCAACAAACTGAGCGTGAGCGTGCCGAAATGTGGCCGGTGACAAAAATGTGCGCTAACAGAAGCATAGTGGGAAACCTATTTTACTGCACAAGTTTAATCCACACTCCCCATAATAATATTTATACTCGTATATGATATAAAAGCACTATTTAAGTTACATTTGAATGTGCGGCCCGCATAAAAAATTTTATTTTCAAAATGGCCCGCATTGCATTGTCCCCTTTTTGGAATTCATAAATTAAATAGTACCTTAAATGCATTTAATCTACAGACATGATTACCTATTAAATTATTTGACTCATCAAAAGAAGTAAAAAACAGAAACTGAGGAGAAATAAAACCTTCTAATTTAGGGATTAAACAAGCGACAGACAAAAAAAAAGTAAATATTGAATTATTTAATTATAATTGAAAAATATCATTACTTTCTGGCCAAGCCAATATCAACAAGGAATTTGTGTTAATCATCCAGAAAATTCTAAATTATTGAACAGTTTTCAAAATAAACTTTTTTTATAACTACAATTTGTCATTATTGAAACATCAATTGCAGTGCTAAAAAAAAAGAATTAATTAATTAGATAAATAAAATAAAAAGGAGTGGAAGGGAGCAAGGGATTTACAAAAATAATTTTAAATAGGAGTAATACAAATTGCAAATAAAAATTTGTCCAAATATAGTAAGAATTAGGGGTGTAGCAGAGAGTTGTTCAACAGAACTCTTATATAAATTATTTAATTAATAATTAATTATCAATTTACTTACTTGAAAGGCAGTCACAGCTGATGGGAGGAAGTAACACAAATAGCCCAGATTCCATTTCTCAGATTCTGTTTCTCTGCCAGAACTCAACTTCTTCTAAGTGATGGAGATATGTTTGGCTGATATTACAGTTTTTTAATAACTATAATGTTCTGTCATTTGATAAGAGATTTTTGCCATATTTATGCCGAATAGTTTTCACACTCTTCCTGGGTCCTTTTCCCCCTTCAGGGCAAGACGCACACATCATGCTACAATTATATTCCTCGGTGATAGGCCATTCGTGTTTCCTTCTCCAAGGAGGGAAATGGGCTTTTCAAATCTTGTATTGTCCTGAATAATGGAATACAGTACTTTGTTATTAATGTGTAATCATTTTTGTGTGTGTAGAAGTGGTGTTGATTTGGAAAAATTCGAAAGGCAAATACCTGTGATACATGTTTCCGGGACAAAGGGAAAAGGTACAACATGCAACCTTTGCGAATCTGTAATTAGGGCTCATGGCTATAAAACTGGTTTATTCACATCCCCGCATTTAATTAGCGTGAAGGAGAGGATAAGTTTAAATGGGGTACCTTTAACTTATTCTGAATTCACAAACCATTTTTGGTCGGTATACAGTGCATTGGACAACAACAAGGTAAACTAAAAAAAATAATAAATAAATAAATAAAAACTTCTCCAACCATTGTTATTGGTATTGATAAATTGCAGGAAAATGAACATGATATGCCTTCATATTTTAAATTTTTAACTGTCATGGCATTCAACGTTTTTTTCAAAGAAAACGTCGATGTCGCCATTTTTGAAGTTGGCGTTGGTGGAGAGTATGACTGTACAAATATATTCCAGTAGGTAGTTAAAGGGAAACACCTATTAATGTTGCTTTTATATATTATTAAAAAATTTTCAGGCATACTCCCATTGTTGGTATTACTTCACTCGGTCTTGATCATACTTCCATCCTTGGTACCTCACTAGATCAGATTGCATGGCAAAAAGCTGGAATTATTAAAGAAGGATGCAGAGTATTCACAGTAGATGATCATAAACCTTTAGCTCTAAAAGTAATCCAGGAAAGGGCTAAAGAAAGAAATGTACGTATACATATACAGTATAAATATTTCACGAATGAAGTGAAGTTAAATAATTTTTAAATAGGTAAGCTGTGATTAATAGTACATTCTAATTTTGTAATCTGATGAGTATTCCAAATCTTTAAGATAATCATACAGCTCTTATAACAGCTTAAAGTTATAAATATATTTATTTCAATTATCATTGTAGTCTTATACAATATCTTACAGAAATTCAACATTTATAACACTCTTATCATCAATAACTTTAATTAATTTTATTGTTTTACCCTCTTCTAAAATTTACAGTTTACTCATTGAATAACCTTCATTTCAGATTTCACATTTTTATGACCTTATTTGAAAATTTCTCTAGTATTCCATTATTCATCGGCTTCTGGCCGTGGTAGATCATATTTACAAATGACTGTATTATTACAGATAAAACATACACCTTTATGTATTGTTATTTCTTAATATATTAATTCACAGTCTAGGTTGATACTTGTCCCAAAAGTAGACCAGTACAACTGGAATTTAAACCACTTTGGCCCTGCCCACGTTCTCAACGCTTCCTTAGCAGTACAGCTTGCGTTTGCATTTCTAAACATGAAAAACAACATAACTTGTAAGTTAGAGAGTTTAATTTAGCACATAATTTTTTTTCTCTATGCGGTTCTGTGTAATTATTTGATTTCTATGTATTTGTGCTATTTCTTAACTGGTAGAATGACCTGAGTATTGTTTATGTTACACATTTATGTATAATATCAACATACATCATATGTATAATGTCAACTAATTCAAGAGTCAAATTTTGAAGCATTTACCCGTTGTGTGTAAGCGACCCAATGATGATCATCAGACTCTTAACAGATGTATTGTATTGATACTTAATAATTACACAACTGTACTTCATGCAAAACAAGGATTAAATAATTGTACATGACACTTTTATAACAGTTTTGCTTAATTGTAATTAATAGATATATGTAAATGTTGTAGGAATAGTTAGAAAAAACAACCATAAACATTTTTCTTAATACATATATATGCAACTTTCATTGGTTTCGTTCAGTGCAAAATATTAAACTTTTATCTTCTTCAGATTCATGTTTAACAATACAAACCCATTTTGTTTTTATTTCATTCTTCACAAATTGCTTTTATTTGTCTGTACTTTATATGATAAAAAAAGTAGAAATGCATCGCCAAGGTTCCACCAACATTCTGATTTTCAGTTTTCCTCATTCTTCCACAGGTAATGGGCTGCCAGAATTGACTATTGACAAAGCATCAGAAAATGCCATTTCACAATGTGATTTTCCTGGGAGATTTCAAATAGTTCAAAGAGGTCTCCATGTTTACTATCTTGATGGAGCACACACAAAAGAAAGTGTAGAGTTTTGTTCTTCCTGGTACTGTTCGGTTTCACAAAGGTAATAATTTTCTACTTTACATTGCAAAAGATTTATATATATTCTTTGGGGTGGTTGAATTAGTTCCTAGAATCCTAGCTTTTGATAATATAGTCATCACAGCTAGTTCATCCCATCATCCTGGTTTGTATATTATTGCAGGTTTTGTCATCTTCAATGTGTACATACAATTTTATCAATTGTGGCCTCTCTTTGTTTTGTTTTTATAATTGGTTTATGGAATAAGTTTGAGATTTTGATAATCTGTTTCAGTGTACAAAATTACACACAGACAGCCATTGAGGATACAAAATTATAAAATCAGACACATCCAAAGCAGTTTAATAATTCATCCAATTCTTTTTCAGCCAAACAAAAAAGATCTTCATTTTCAATCTTACACATAACAGAGATCCAGCAACTCTGCTTAAGCCTTTTACAAAGTGCAAATTCGACAGAGTTTTCTTTTCCCCTAACAGCATCACTACAAGCCAGAACACATCACCAAGGGGTAAAAGTTACATTTACATTTTTAAATGCATAGCAAACATTTGATTCATTATTGATTGTTTTAGATCTGTTTGATTTAAATGCCTCATTGACCTCGCCTACAGAACGCTTAGAAGCTTACAAGGCATTATGGATTGAGATGGCCAGCTGTGATCCAAATTGTGTCACTGTTTCATCAAGTCTGTCGGAGACGATATCCCTAGTTGAATCTAACAATGAGCCTAGCCAAATACTTGTCTCGGGTTCGTTACACCTAGTTGGATCTGTCCTTACATGTTTCACACTGAATGGACATCAATGATTGAAAAACTATTTATAATTGTAATAAAATATTTTTAATTTTTTTTATATTTGAAAATTTTTTAGCTTAAAAATAAAATGTACTTAAAAGATAAGAAGTTATTTTAATTTTGTTTCTACAATTACTTCCAGTTAGCAGTCCGCTTAATTAAGAACTCACTTTTGTATTTTCGATGCAATACTAATGTACACTTTTTCAGTTCATTATAATTGTTCATCATGAAGTACAATTATATAACATATTTTTTAAATCTAAAACGCTAAATTACAAATAGTCTTGGGTAAAATATTGTTTTAGTCTAGTTTGGAGCTATGTAAAAAGTATATGTTTTTTTAGTGAAATTTATTTTTTAATGATAGAAAGGTGATCTACCTCTGTAGGTTATAGTCTGCCTTAACAGTGATAATCTCATAAACTTTATGACAGGGTGGCTGAGCAGCTCTGGGGACGCACCCTCTGAGCACTCCCCTTTACTCCAGAAATTATCACATCTGCACTTAATTGTTATTATTCAAATCATTTAAGGGGTGTGCATCTGCTGTCAATGACTGCACCCCTAGATGCTCAATCCGTGCCATACCCAGTTGGCTATACTGATCCTGATTTTGAGGAGTAATTTAGAAGATGTGGGAAGGCAAACAGGTTGTCAATAATTGAGGAATTATCTCTAAGAATTTTTGACAGTTGACTGGCCAAGAGGTGTTTTATATCCTGGTCTAATTGAGCACAGTTTGTTGTTGCTTTACTCTGACTAATTCCTGAAACATTTCACAAAGAGCAAGCGATTCTATAGCCATTTGTTATCTGTAAGTGAGCCTACATTGCTCTATTCTCAGACAACTGAAGACTGTCCCTTCCTGTTTTGTCGCAAGTTGAGTTCCAATTTTCAACATTCGGCTTTATTTCCCTTAGTTTATGGTCTTTTTTATTTTTTATAATTTGTGCAATTATATCTGTATATAACAGGTGCCTTCAATGATGGTACATTTTGTGGCAATGTCTGCATTAGTTCCTCTATAGCTACCAAAAGTCTTTAAATCCATGCACCTTTCATATTCTTCTATATCAACTTTTGTGCACTGATTTGAACAAGTTTGAACCAACCCAAGTTTAGCAAGAGAAAAAAGAATGAATGAAAAAGTACGAGGAAATTCTGAAAAATACCCTTCAAGTTAAAATAAAATCATTTTTAAAGTTTGAGAATTTAAGCATGTAATAATTTCATATGATATATTTCATTTACAATTTCTTTTTTTTTCATATCAAAAATGTGAAATTGCATATCTAATTATGCTAAATTAAAATTAAAAGATCAGGGTATGGTACTTTGCCCAAATTCCAACTTTGGTTTCTGAAAATTCTTGATAAATATAAAAAATCTTTAAGGGATTATTTTTAGTTTGGGTAAATTATTGTTAATATTATTAACAATAATAATATAAATTTTTTTTAAGACAGTTAAGGGCCTGCCCTCTGCTCACTACACAATAGGCGAGGTTTTGCCTTCCTTATCACGTTTATACACAAGAACCTTCTTCATGGTTTATGTTCAATACAGAATTTAATCACCCCATTCTTCTGCTGTAATTATTGAGAAATACCCAATGGGCATTCACTAATCGGATATTCCACCCTTCAAATTGATTTCACCACAGTCCAATTAAGTTTCAGATGTAAAAGCCAAACGTAATCCCGTCCACTTCAAAGATCGTTGAAGTACTATTAAATTGTAGAAAATATTTTGTAAAGGATGGCTACTGTGCAACAGCATCAGCAACAGCAGCAATCAACTACCCAGCTTGAGTTCCACCAGGCGATGGCTGATTTTAAAACAATGTTTCCGGAAATGGATGATGATGTGATTGAGGTGGGGGCTTAAGAGATTATTATTATATTGTTATTATGTTCTTTTATATAACATTTTATTCTAATAATACTTTGCACATGAATCAATGTCAGTGTGAAATGCTTCATTTTTAACTTTCACTTTATTTCTTCGGTCACTGTGACCTAAGCTCTATAGTAAATTCTCGTTATCCACGCTTTCATTTATCCGCTGTTGTCCCCTAGTTTTTTCTTCTTTTGTTTTGATATGTGTAGGTGCATACTTATTGATGTATGTAAATTATGGATAATAATTATAACTAATATATAACTTGTATGTATATTGTTCTCCTGTGTGGAATAAACTTTATTTATGTTACTATACATTATATCTTCTTATTGAAAGTACATTATTGATTAGTTCATATATAACATTGACGACAAAGTGTCTGTCTGATCGGGACTTGACATTTAAGGGGTTTCTTATTATCTGCAGGTTTTGTTATCCACTGTGAAATTTACCATGCGTTATTAGCAAGCCTTGAAAAGTGCACTACCGGTAGTTTCTGGATTTTTGCTTTTTTCTTTAAGTGTCAATATCGCCCTAGTGTGTTAAGTTAGTAAGTAGATATCAATGCCACTTCATGATAGAGTCATCAGGTTTCTGTCTCAGTTTTCCATTTTTTATTTATTTATTTTTTTGTTGAGTGATAATCAAATGGTACAAAGGCTTTCATTAATTTAATTATTTTCTTAATTAGTGGCTTTTGGTAATTAGATAGTGGTTTTTGTTTTTCTAGTTGTAATGTTGAGCAATTTATTTTATTGCTTTGCACTTGGTGAATTCCCACATTTTTTTATACTTACGCATGACAGTGAGAAATGTTTGATCTTTAATTTACACTTTTTTTTTTCTGGGGTCACTGGTGACCAGTCTTCAACTGCAACATAAATGATCTTTTGTGGAATTGACCCTTCTTTATTTGCAAGCCTCGAAAATTGCACTACCTTTAAGGTAGTTTAGCACTTTCCAAAGTTCCTCTTTGCTTATTTTTGTAGGTATCAATATCGCCTTTCTGAAGAGGACTGTTTCCTTATCAACAATTTGTAGTCACAAAGGACATATTTTGATGTCTGCCACTTCATGACAAAGTCGACACGTTTCTGTCTTTTTTCAATTTTTTTGAAGTGATGATTAAATGGGCAATGAAAAAAAAAAGTCCAGTATAAAGGCCTATTATTTTTGCGTAATTCTTACCTATTGAGGTAGAGATAGATTTTGGTTTTCTTGGTTGAGATTCATCCAGTTTTTATGCCTATGGATAAATGACTGAGAAATGTTTGATTTTACCTCTATTTTGATAGAATGTGAGATAAAACCAGCCAGACCAACATGACTGTAAAGACCAATCTTATTTTTACGAGAGTTCAACTATGAGGTTATATGAACCCTTGGGGTGCTGGTGTTTTTGAACAAAAGCCCATTTATACGTATGTCAGGTTTGAATTGTGGAACACTGGAATCAAACGAATAATAATAATAAGAAGAAGAATATTAAGAATATTTAAGTATGAGTGTGAATGTATACTTCTAATTTCTATGTTTTGGGGACTGAAAAGTTTTTGATTTTCCCCTAATTTTGATAGGCAGGATACCAAGACTGACCCCTGGCTGGTAGGTGATTCTCACAGATCATTGTGAAAAGTCTCACCCTAACAAATATATTCATAAATTCAAAATTTCACTGAATAATATAGTTTTTTTTCCTTGTAGGCTGTGCTGAGATCCAACCAAGGCGCTGTTGACACAACAATAGACCAGCTTTTGGCCATGAGTTCTGATAATGAAAATGAAAAAATTCGAAACGAAATTGTAGAAACGACGGCATTATCTGACCATGATGAACCAGATGGAGCAGGAGTGTAAGCATTTTCTTTATTTATGACAAATATTTTTAAAAAATTGCATTTTGAATAATTTGCAATTCTTGCTCTTTCCAAGTTTTATGCCAGTAAAATTATCTTTGGTGTTGCTTTCAATTATTAATTTACAAATTAACTGCATCAACTACAATAAATTGAAATTTTTATATTATACTTAAGCCAAATAGGAAATATTTAATTTGTTCATTTCACTTAACCAATTATCCTTAACAAATAATATTTTGTAGCTTTGCAATATTTGGTTTATTTCTCCCACTTACCACTACTGCTTAAAACATTTGTCTGGCAGGGTCTCTGATATTAAAGAAACACTCAGGATGGTTAAAGGCTGGAATCCTCCCCTCTTGATTCCACTCCCACACGACTTCCTGCGTCTCTCACATGACACTAAACAGGTCAGTAATTGCCCTTTTGAACTCTCCCTCACCCTAAAGTAGTCAGTAGTTGTTAAATCAATTCACCCTGACTTTGTTTTTCGACATTCATTTTGTAAATGGTGTAAAATGTGGTTTGCCGCTCTTTGGAATAAAATCAGGACTAGGAGACGGTGGATAAAACGAGAAGAAAGAAGGCTCAAGGCAGAATTCTTTTTTGCCAAAGTGGGTAGATGTTTCTAATAAGATTCTTATGAAATACAAGAATCGAACATTGAAAGGTCAAAACGATTACATTGGCTTCTTTCAATTTGCTAACCGTTAAAAAGAGATTTACAGATAAATTTGAGTTGAATAATATTTTCATCTTGTGTTGTTTTTCTATGCAATCTTAAAATAATCAAAAGAGTCAAACCAACATATTAAAATCAGACTATGACTCAGTTGATAGAACCTAATTTAGTACGTAAAATAGCCTGGGTACTTAAAATTAAAATGTTGTTTTATTGTTTATGAAAGTAATAAAAATTTAATGACACAAGAGTTGCATCACCTGCAGTGATAAGTAAATAAATTGGGCAATCGGCAGAACTTTCATTCAATTTTGGTAGGTAAATAAAAAAATCACAGTCATTCAACTTATTTTTATTCAAAATCATATAAAATGGACAAATATTAAATTTAAATAAAACAATATTTACAGAGAAATTCAAATTTTGGTGGTTTTCGCAAAATAACTATAAAAAATTACAATTGAATAAATGATTTATAAGGTCTTCGTGAGCCGGCGAATGAGCCAGTGAGGAATTTGAATCAAAAGTGAATGAAGTGGGGATAAAGATTGAAAACTATAAAGAGGTTGATGCAGACCATGTGTCCACTGCACCCAGGAGGACATGCTGATGACATATGATGGAAACCTAACAGTACGCAGTCGACATGTTAAACTTGTCTTCAACAAACACAACAAAATTTATTAATTGAATAAAAGATCATTTTTCTGAGTGGCCAGCGTGACTCTAGGCTCTAGACCCCGTGGTCATCAGTTCGATTCTCACCATTGCCCTGGCCCTTTTTTTCGCTCACCCTAACTCCAAAAAACGATTATACATTGCATATGAGATTTACGTTCCTTGACTATATGCAAAGGCCATTACAAAAATGAATAAACATAGTTTTTCTTCTAAATGATGTCTTGTACTTTTTGTATAATTAACAGTCTAAAATTTGTGATAATACTGGTATAATTTAGATGGAAGCTGACATAGAGGACGAACGAATAGCCATGTTACTTCAAAATGAAGAATTCATGACTGAGCTAAGATGGAACAAGGATTTCCTTACAACGCTAGAAAATGGTAATAAAACGGAGATACATATTGATAAAAGGATATTTAATGATATGATTAACTTCACAGATAGCCCTCCTGAGGAACGATTAGCAAGCTTTCCTGGACGCATGGGTGAAGATGATCTGTTTAAAGAAAGACTGAGGAATATGGGAAAAGGTTTGTATTTTCAACTTAAAACAATTTTGTTGTTTAATATCGTCAGCAATATTTCTTCAACTTTACAACATAATACAGTTTTAATTTATTTTACTACTGTTAAAAGTGTACAATTTTAAAAAGAAATCTTTAGTTAGTAAAAAGTAAAGTAAGCAGGTACAGATCGCCAATCCAATATCTATTTATTGGAATATAAATATTTTTAATTGTATACAGATCTTTGTACCTTTTTTATGTGATATGTGTTATTTATTTGAATAAATGTATGTATTAGCATGAATGGAGGGCTAATCCCCAATTACCACAAGGAATATCATACTCTGGGGTAGTGTGAATAAATGTGTGAATGTAATTTACTAGCATGAATGTGGGGGGCCTTATTCCAATTACCCTGACGAATATCGAGTATTCTGGGGTAGAGTGAATGCTTTACCTAATTTTTGTGAATGTGTTTGTTATTTGTGTTTTTATCCACAATTGTTATCCTGAGGTACAGAGAAGTAAGCTCTAAGATAAAGAAAAGAGAGTTGGTCTAATATAAAAATATTTTCTACTAGTGTCAAAGAAGAAATTTTCCCAGTTGGCGAGAGTGTTCACTGGAAGAAAGAAAAGAACACCTACAGCAAAGGCGATTTTGAATCAAGGAACTACACCCTCTAAAGATAATCTTTTGCTTAAAGAAGATTTAGATGGTGAAGGATACTAGAATGAAAAAACTTTATAACTAACTTTGTTATGACTGTTACTAGTCCTCTTATCTATTAATATTGATTTTTACAATAATAAAAAAAATGTTCATAGGTGAAAATAAATAACTAAGCATAAGAAAAGCATTATTTGATATCACTAGTAGTTTTGTAACTGTTAAAAAGTAGTTTGATTTAAAAGGTATTTTTAGTATAATGCTTCAATGTACTAAAATTTGCTAGTTAATACATCAATTTTAAAGTTTGATTTATCATTTAAACAATATTAAAGATTGTGATTTTTCTATCGTGATTGTTGTCACCTCACTATTGTACACACTCAAGTCTCAGTGATAACTAGAATTAAAATTTTTCATATGGCAGTCAATATTGTGATTTCTCCAAATTAGTAGTAAATAGATTGTTGTATTTAAAAATTTCCTAAGAAAATCCATTTTATAGACACAATAATAGGTTCATTACCTGTCAGGAGAAATACATTAAGCCATATCATTTGTACAAATAAAATAACAACCTGTTTTACTTTTATAATTACTTTCATAAGACTGTAAACACGTTTTGTGCAAGCAAACTTTCCAGTTTAGTTACCTTGTTATATGCCAAAGATAAATGTTAACCAAAAAGCATTCCAATTAAATTTAAAAAAATAATATACATAACTATATAACTATCAGTGATTATTAAATTACGGTAATTCTCGTATAGTTATTATATCTTAAGAGTTGCTTTTTTAAAATGTATTTTTGTTAAACAAATGATTAATTATTGATTTTGAGTATTTTTTTCCTTTGTTAATGGGAAACTTGTATTTATTAAATTCTTGTTAAAATAAAATGTTGATTGACTTTTAGTTTATTAAAAAATATATATATATAATTACAACTGTGTAATACAAATATAAAATTTAAATATAATTCATGGGAAAACTGCTTTGAATTTTTTTAACTTTGGATTAAATAACATTGTTATTTTTTAAATGTGATTCACAATGTTAATTCTTGCAATATATTATTAAGCAGAAAAAATTCTTATCAGAGAATCACAATTTTAAAATGCTAAACTATTCACTCTTGAAACATTCAGTTGTATAGAAATAATGTTATTCCTATTATTAGAATAAAAATGGTTTGTTTTATTTATATTTAAATAAATGTTATTGCCTTGTTAAAAAATAAAATTTATTGAACCATTATTTAAAAAGTTTATAAAGGATTATGTTTACATGAATGACAATTTAGTTTTATACATACACATCCCTCTGTCTCCGTTGTCCTATTATGATATCAGACTGTGATTTGTAACTCTTCATTTCCATATCTACTGGACTATACTTGTGACTGATCATCGGATTGCTTGGCGCATGATATTCTGAAGGGATCGCTGAATAATTGTTGATGGTTTTTGTCCTCGGCACGAATACAGGGTATTTACGTGTAGTATGGCAGCACAGGGACCAAATACATTGCAATATTTTGATTACCAAAAAGATTAGAATTGAGAACACAATGGAGAGTGCAATACACAGAATGATATGATGCTTCTCAAGCTTAATAATATCATTCCAAATGTCTTTGGCCCACAATTCAAAATTCTGCGCACTGTCGTTAAACCACTTGGCAACTGAAACCATTATGCGTATTAATGCTTTCAAGAATACACATAGATTGAATTTTAGTCACTATTACTACTTCAAATACAGTCTTGTATCAAAGGCTGATATCATTGTATTGTTAGCAATCATGGATAATGATAAGATAGCGGTCAATTGGTATACAGATAGTTAAGTATGTACTTAAGGATATTGTTTAAATTTAAAACAAAAATTAATCAATTAAAAATCATTCAATTATTTGTAATTTTGCACGGTTATTTAATTTATGAAAATGAAATGACAAAATTTATTTTCTGTTCAGAAAGGGCAGAATAATTTTTGATAGCCGTGCTACTAAAAAAATTTGTTTTCAATAATTGAAAAGGATTGTAGTCGAGAGAAAAAAGTCAGTGTCACGAGCGGGATTCGAACCCACAACCTTCGGCTAGATATGCCGCTACTACTACCACTTGAGGTAGCTCAATCCTGCTTGTGACACTGACTTTTTTTATCTCGACTAAATTCCTTAATTAATTGAAAGATATTAATTGGTCAAGCGGACCACGAAAATTAGTGAATTTAATAATTGAAAAGCATTTCTAGTGTACTAGAACTACTAGTGTGCAACAGTTCTAGTGAGTGAGTAATACCACAAGTAACACAATAACTATTAAGTAATAGAATTAATTTAAAACTTTTTTACGATGAAATGGGGAGGTGTAGTAAGATTTTTTATAATTGTCATAAAATGATCGTGCACCAACATTGACTTAACACATTATCTAATTTGCATATTATATTTATTTTATCTTGAGTTTTTTGGAGACAGGGGTCAGACCTTGGTCTTATCTGTCCACCATCAGCCCTCTCACATTTCACTCTAATAAATACATTAACTCTCAATCCTGTTTCCTCCAACAATTAAAAAAGGGAACTCAAATACTAGCTGCATTGATCTGTGATCACACTAATAAATACAAATATATGTACTTTTTAAATTTTATGATATTTAAATAAATTATTTACAGAAAAAAAAGAGCAGGGTTTTGTGTTAAAAAGGGGAAAACTTAATGATAACACAGTGTTTTGGTGTTGCCTTATCAGCTTTTGGATTTTGTGATTTACCTTCCTTATTCATCAGATTGTAGCTTCCTCTATTCAAATTAAAATTAGCAGTGTAAGGAAAAACAAGTAAATATTGTCTATTTAAAGTAAGTTATAAAGTAAAATTCTGTGTCAACTATTAGCTCTTTTATAATTATTAATTAAAATTTTAATTATACAAATTCAAAAGGCTAGTTTAAACACCAAACTATTGACCTTGGACTATTTATACATTTGCTTTGTTAATTTTTTACTTCTCTAAATTAAGATGACAGAATGAAGTAATTTACATCTGTTTGCTGAAAATTTTGAGTTTTAAAAACAGTGACAAATAATGATAGTTCTACTTTGAAAACGAGCCATCGAATAGTATCATCCACATGATTTTCCTTCTCCGACAGTTTCCTTTTAGACAGCTTCTAGTTAATATTAATTTCAACACTCAAGTTCAAAGATGGTGTAATTGTAGTGAAAAGTTATTTAAGGTAACTAACTGTGCTTTTGATCGATGTGTATTGAGAGTCTGAAGAGTAAATTTCTGTTTTAATAGCATTGCTATCTCGTGTTGGGTATACCAGAAGGATCGGACCAAGAAATGGTGAGGCAAGCTTTCCTGGATTTGGTGAAGCGTTACCATCCTGATAGCAAAAGTCCAGAAGCCGATCCCATAAAATTCCAACAGGTGATTTTTGATTTCATTAAATTTACAATAAATTAATTTGTATTGAGAAAATTATTAGAAATTATTTTCTCATTTTTACTTAGAAATTATGGTCTACCCTATTTTTAGTATGTATATTTATTTCAGATAGAAACAGCATACAGAACCCTCCAAGATCATTATGCTCGTAAAAGATTTAATAAAGACGAATGTGAAGGAGAATATGGCCTTTATTACAAGGAGAAAGATGTCGAAGAACATGATATTCAAGTAAAATATATTTTTGAAAAACATGTTCATAGTTAAAATAATTATTATTTGGAGATCGTGAGATGCGGTCTGGTGTGAAATAGGTTTAGAAAAACATTTTCCTTATCGTGGCACGATCTCCAACATTAACTAACAGTCACTGAACATCAAAGGTTAAAATAATAATTTCATTTAACTTTCAAATATTGATTAGCATACAGCACCACAGCACAGACAGTATTTAAGCTATGGGGGCTATGGATCAGGAACGCCGTCACAACGTCAGCGCCAATTTACACAGTTTAAAGTGAACAAAGCTATGGAAAATGTGACCGAATATAGGATTAAAAAGCTTAATGATAAATATTCACAGGATTTGATAGCAAAAGAAAGTTTGAACAAGAAAAAAATCAAAGATGTTAGAACTGGGTAAGTTATTTTTAATAATGGATGCACATATAAAGATCCAATCAAAGGTGCACTGAATTAGTTAAAGTGTTAGAGATTTCAGGAGGAAATTAAATTATTATTGTTTCCTATAATTTTGGTCTGCTATTCTCGCTGGTTGGTGGTATGACACATTTGCATTTTACTATTTTCAGTGGTGGTTTTGGGTGTTATGAGAATATGGCAATCCTGGCCATGAGTTCTACGAAGTCCATGAGTTCTCTTACTTAAATTGTAGAAGTTTTCAATTAAAATTACTTACAACATTACTAACATTTAGACCCTTCTCACACAGGGATACACAAGTCTCTGAGTAACTGAGATACTTTGCAACGAAGAGACCTGTTGTAATCAGGTGGTTTTAGACTCAGACGTTGTGGATACTAGGGAAGCTGACATGTTTCTGACATGCTTTCAGTCTCTCAATTGCATTCAAACCATTGGTGTATGCAATAAATTAACAAGTGTTCAATTTAAAATTTGTGGCAGATGTGGAAATATTTCCGGTATTACACACTTAAAAGTTGAAAGGAATAACCTACAATTTATAGTATTTTCAGTGTAAGGATGTGCCTACAACTTTCTCGCTTTTCTTGTTCTGTACCAGGAATACTGAATTGATATCACACTACTAGACATTGTATAGGGATACTCTATTATTTACTTCACCAACATTAATTTTCTATTCAAACCGCATGCAACTTGCAACATGGGCTATTCAAGTCGTGTATGAATATGAAGGGCTACTCCAGTTGTACAGTCACCCAGTCTACGGGTTGTCATCCTGCTGGAGACAATAGATGTACATATCTATGAGATCATTAGACTAACCACTGATAACTGCAAAATGTATATGACAGCATGACCAGAAAGGACCAGGAAACACAGGCAACAGACACTATTGGTGCATCCCTGATGTGGTCTTGCAATCAAAACTAATTGGATTAACTTTTATTAGATTAATATTACATGGCATTTTAGGTTTGGTTGATTTTTGTAAGGTTTGGTATGGACCGTTTGGTTGAGGACCTTATTCAGGAATCGATGACCCGCGGTGAATTTGACAATTTGAGCGGTGCTGGAAAACCGTTAAAAGGCTTACACTCATCTCACAATCCTTATGTCGATTTTGTCACGCATAAAATGAACCAGGTTTGCCACACATTTTAATATTATTGTCAGTTATTTTAATTATTTTTTTTTTTTGTTAAAGGTTTTGATTGATAACGGATTCACCCCGCAATGGATTACTCTTCAAAAGGATATTAGAGAAGAGTTGTACAAGTTGAAGGAATCACTTTTTAAAGTTAGAGGAAAAATAGGCCCTGTACCTTTAGATAAAAGTGAAGAAGATTATTGGAATGATGAGGTCAACAAGTATGAAGACACTGTGAAGGTTTTGAATAGTAAAATTGGTGGGTATTATTTTTATTCTAATTTTAAATATTTTAGGGTCAGTAAAAAATTGTGAATTTCAATAGAAAAAATAAATTTATATTATATTTGCTTTAAACGTTAAATCATGGAATTAGCTCAGCCTTGACTGCACTGATCAGCTTTGCATCATCTGGTGTCCCTTTTGATTTGATCCCCATATTTTAAAAACTCCATACTTTTTTTAGGCTGCTCTCACACTGGAACTTATTTTTATTAATCTCTTTTGGCCAACTTCACACAAACTTTTCCAACTTAGGGAATGTAATTGATTGCAACTGTGCTTGCAGGTTTGACAAAAATCACATAAATTATTTATATTTCTTCTTAAAAAAAAAAAAAAAAAAAAAAAAAAAATTCACATTCAACTGTAGTATTTTTTGGGTCTGTTCTTCTCTCACAACTATATTTAGGAGAAAATGAAATGGGCATAATAACCATGCACCCAGCCAGAAAAAGTAATTCTTGGATTCAATAAATTGCTTTTGAAATATCAAAAAAATCCAATCAAGAAATTGCTTTTAAAATACCAAAAAATCATTCCAATCAACAAATTGTCTGTAAAATACCAAAAAACCTTGAAAATCGTTCAAGTCAAAAAATTGCTTTTAAAATACCCAAAAAACATTCCAAATTCATGCCTAACACGAAAACAACCACTACTAAATGACAAATGGCTGTGACAAGTTGGTTCCATTGTGAGAGCTCGTCAGGCAAGTAAATTTTCCTTAGTAGCAGTCAGTTCCAGCGTGGGCCCAATTTTATCGTACTAGTGATTTCTTCCCAGCTTAAACTCACTAATAAATGAAATCAACAACAAATTCAAGAAATTTAGCTTTTTTTAACCCACCCTCTTACCATTTAATATGTCAAAGTTTATGTTGTTTATATAATTACAGATACCTACAATCTAGTTGTACCAATTCTTAATAAGCAAATGTTTCATGTCAAATTGTCTGATGAAGCGCATAAAATATTAACAGAAGGAACTCCTGGGAAAAGATCCTCTGGAAAGAAAGCAGTTCCGTATAAGGAGGAAAAGCAAAATGACAATACTCATGTATTAGATCTTCTAAGTGCAATATTTGAAAAAAAGTGAAATACAAATGTGAATTTTATGTTTTGGGATCATAACTGTATGTATTTGTAATGTGGCTTCATGATGAAAAATTGATCAAATCATAACTTGTGATTGCTAAATTAAAGCTGGATTATAAGATGAACAATATTTGACATTTGATGTAGAGCACATATTAAAAAGTTGTACATAAAACATTTTGTATTTATTTTTATTCTAAAAACAATCCCTTATGTCATATATGTATATACAATTTTTTTTTGTGGGGAATTTTTTGTACACATTTACTTAAATTGAAAATTATTTTAGTTAAATAATAATACTTTTTATGTAAATAGCTTCTAATAATGAGTTTGTAATTATATGTCTAATTTATTGTAATATTTTATATATAATGATTATTTGGAGATGCGGTCTTGTGTGAGGGTGAGAAAAACATTTTCTTTATTGTGCCAATGTTTCGATATTTATTTAAATCATTTTCAGGGCTCAAAGTGTTTTCTGAGTAGATGTGTCACGGTTGTGTCGTGTTGTGAGTGTGCAACACAACTGTGATACATCTACATAGAAAACACACTTTGAGCCTTGAAAATGATCTAAATAAAGATTGAAATGTTGCACAAAAAAGAAATATTTTTCTAAACCTACATCACACAAGATGCATATTTTATGAAATTTAAACTTTACTGCTTCAAATAATGAGAAAAACTTGTCGAAGTAGGTGCATTACAAAATTAAATTTGGAGAGCAAAATAATCATAAAACAATTTGAAAAACAAAAAAGGTTTTATGAAAATTGGAATCTAGGTGCTGTTATTGGTTGCATAACTCTTGAGATACAACCACCAGTGGAAATGCTAATTTAGAAGAAAGGTAAAACAAATATTTTCCTGTTTTATAATTATTATTAAGGTCATTTATGAAAAAAATGTAGCTCTAGAGGGTCGACAGCATTTCATGCTCCTGCATCAAACACTATTCATGTTAAGCCAACACAATAATTCATTAAATATAAATAATGTAAATTCTAGCAATTATGACTGTTTAATTTCCTTTCAGTTTATATTTTCCCCTACAGAAAATAATAAATTGTTTCAATTTTCTTTTGCTTAATAGAATTTTAGGGCATAAATGAATGAAAATACCAGGAGAATAAATCTATTTATATACAATCAGAATATTTAAGCTAAAAATATATCACTCTTGATTGATTTCTATATACAAAAATTTGGAACAATTGTTACATTCAAATGTAAACACAACATTTGGAATATTAAAAACATTGTCAATTTAAAATGCTAATTTATTGCATATAACTGTTTTATAAAATAATAAATTTTCCTTATAATAGGCAATGTCTATAAACTAAATCTTGTACTTTGTACATGATATTTTACACATATTTAAACTTACATCCTTTAAGCTTAAATTGGAGGAGACCAGGTATAACAATTTTATCAATACATTTATGTTGTTGTTATTATTTTTTTAGTTGTAGTAGTGTTGACAAAAAAAGAGACATCAACACTACACCAATTTAGGAACAAAATCATACTATTATCAATAATGTTACGCTCATTTTATGTACACTTATTGCACATAATAATATTTTTTACATTGATGAAAGTCATAGTTATTCTTGTCCATTGGCCATAAATACCCAAACTGAGTACAAACATAAAAAAATATGTATAGCTTTTGAAAAATTTGAATTAAAAATAAATTTAGAATTGATATTTAAATGTAAAAATATTTAGCTGATACAGTAAATAAAGACTAGTTTGCATTCAAATGTAAAACTACTATGTGCAAAGTAAAAGAGATGACTTCAGAAACAGAAAAAAAAAAATTACAGCCACATCGTATCACGTTCTTGCAAGCACACTGCTGTAATTGGCATGACATAAAATAATAAAATAATTATTACTGTCAATGTTTATGATAATCGTCACATAAAAATTAAGTGCAATCATAATTTAACGATTAGCATCTCGAATAATGTGTTTGTTAGCATTTTCATTTTGTTACCGAGTTCATTTCGTCTGCTGGGGCGGTTCCGTACTGAAGTATGGTGCTGTTTCACTGTTGAGAAGTGTGTGGCAGACTTGGCAAACCCTCGATTCCCTTTGATTCGGGCCGCTTGTGACTTTGTGGTTGAGACAGTTGATACAGAAAATTCTACCACAGTGTCGACAGTTTATCTAAAATACAAAAAATACCATTTAAAAGGAAATAAGCCTGTTGAGGGAAAATAATATACTCACTTTTTTCTTAGACACTAGTTTAAAAGGTTGCTCACAACCCCTACATGATAATACATCCTCTTCATGTTCCCACCTCAGCTACGATTCAGAATTAGAGATTAAACTGAGAAATTTTTCTAATGTTCAAAGTACTTACTACATTATTTTGCCCCCTAAGACGCTCCAGTTCTTTTTGTAAACTCTGAGACAGCATGACAAAGTCCTTCTGGACAGCTTCCCCATTCTCGAGGCCTGTTTGTAACGAGGCTAGTCTATTTCTCAATTCGCTCTCGCTCTGTTCTAACTTTTTCTGAAAATGCATAAATTGTTATTGGGCCTATATAGTTTTATACTAGCAATAAAACACAGATGTCATAAAGTGATGTGGCAGTAATGATGCATTCTGTTCAACAAATAAGTATACAAACCAAGACAGAAATTTGAATCATCGAAGGACATTCATCTGACACCACTCTTATTTTGCACGAAATTGCACATATTGGCTTTATTATTTCACTAAATTTTTACAGTTTACCGCGCAAAATTGCATTTTTAATTTTTTTTTAATGTTTATTATTTGTTTTATGCAATAAATAATACAAAATTAAAAATACATAATTTTTATGGGTTAACAGTATTGAGTAAATGAACTGAAGGTAAAATATTTTTTGTAAAGTGCTTTGTCGAAGTTTTCAACTTCAGATGCCTAGAATTTTCCAAAAAATTGTTTTATGTATAAATACGCAAAGGGTAGAACAAAGCATTGGTGTATGTCAAAATAAAACAATTTTTTTGAAAATTCTAGGCATCTGAAGTTGAAAACTTCGACAAAGCACTTTATAATTTATAAGTAAAAATTTATGCGTATATTTCTCACTTATCACTTCTCAGTCTTTAGTTTGGTAACAAAGCAGAACCATGTAAAAAAATAATAAAGCATGAGTTCTTAAAAGCTAAAGTACAAAAGTGATGGCTAAGGGTTACGAGGAACTGAAAACAGATTGCAAAATTGTTTTTAAAGAAAATAGCAGGTTTTGTCTATTTTGAAACATATTCTAGGTAACAGGAGGAGAAAAAACTTAGTAATATATGTGGTGTATGTGTGTGAAATACAATGAAAAATGAATTTATTGTACTTTAGTGTCATTAATTTTTTGTTATTGATGAATTAATTCTATATTAAATTGTTTATTGCCTATTTTTTCTTCTGTGTATAGTTTATGAACTTTCAAACTTATTTTATTAACATTATCTAGTTGCATATTTTTAAATTTAATTATAAAAATTAGTTGTGTTGTATACTTGTACATTTTGAGTTTAAAATTTGAGTATAATCAATTGATGATCACATCATAAACAATGTTTTTAGAAAAGAATAACAACAATAATTAATTTTATAAAATCATAAACAATGTTTACAACAACAATTAATTTTATTTGAAAATAAAAATGTTACTATGTTAAATGGGAGTTTTGAGCTTTATTACATTTTCTTGCACATTTTGAGGTTTTTATTGCAAGTTTTAAAGGTTTTAACTGCAGGGCAATCCAGCCTTCACATATTTATATTATATATCAATTAAATTAATAGTATGTTAACCTCCAACCATAAAAAAAGATAATATTCTAAATTATTACCTTATCTTCTTCAAGTTTAGCAACTTGCATGTTGAGAGATTCATTAAAACCCTCGAGTAAATTTTTGTCGCGGATAGCTTTTTCCAACAAATGGTTTTCTTTTTGTATTTCCCTTTGCTTTCGCTCCAAGTCTTTTCTGTGAAGAAAATATTAAATTGGAAAAATTGATTTGATTAGAGAATAAGACAAAAACAAAAAAAACTTACTGCAATTCTAAAATAGTTATTTCCTGATGTTTTTGCTTATCCTCTGAGGCTTTGTAAAGGCATTCCCATGTCTGAAGATTCTCCTCGCATCTCTCTTGACCAACCCTTGCTTGTATTAATTGTTCTCTTTGTTCCAACCACATTTCTTGTAGTTTCTAAAAATGAATTACTTAGTTTTCACATCATTTTATTTCTGTTTTATTTCAATGTTAAGTACCTCAACATTATCTGGAAGATTAATTTTTTCAATTTGCAACTCGGTAGCTGAAGCATTTCGTTTACCTACAAGATTTTCATTTTCTATTTGTAATCTGTAAAAAATGGATGAACATGAAAATGTAAAACAAAAATAATAAAATAAGATTTATATTGCTTCTAATTAAATATAATAACATTATTTTTTCTCCACTTTGTGTATTGAAAATGTTATAAATAGAACTTGGTCCCTTGCAATTGCGTCCTTTTTTTTTCTTTTTTTTAAGCTACTATGAACATCGTGAGATCAAGTTATTTATCCATATCCAGTCGGACGGCGTGTTTTAATCAAGTTTAGATTCCATGAAATTGCACATTTTGAGATTTTCTGGTATAAATAAAACTGAATTTTTGCATTTTGAAAAAATAAAACAAGAACAACTTATGTATGTACAGGAAAAGGAATTGAACAAAGATTAAAAAAAAACTCAAATCAATAAATTGATCAGTAATAGCAAAAAATAATTCTTAAAGTTCCTCATCAGTTTTGTCAAAAAACCATTATGAACTGTCAACTTCCTCCTGAAGTCACTGGGGAATTTGGCCAAAAGCTGCTTTATTTTACTGCGACAACTTTTTAAAATTTAAAGAATTAATATTCCAGATTGATTACAATGCACAATCTGTAATTAAAGTAAAATCGATTTTGGCCAGTTCATCAATTTTGTCCGACTTGGCTTTTGAAGTCACATATAAGAAATTTGCCGATTGCCATTAAAAAACTCAAGGAGACAAATCTTACTTTAAGCGACCACATAAAAATCATTGGAGAAGGTTAAAAACGAGAAAGAAATTACAATGAAATTAAATATATATATATATATGTGATATAGCGTGTGTCTTCTTCTTTTTTTGTTGGGCCCAACCCTGATTTCGGAAAACCGAAATCAAGGTCCCAGAGGTTTTTACGATCGGACCTGAATACGATAATTTAATTTATCGATCAGGCACCTTTTATATTTCATTTAAACCAAAGTAAATACGACACCAAATGTTTTTTAAATTTGAATCTTTAATTACAATTTAATATTTTCACATAAAATGACAATATATTTAATTAATTATTATTTTTAATTTAAAGAATCCTTTTATACAATAACAAACCTATCTTAAATCTACAAACCTTAATTTTAAAATGTTATTTGATTCTCGGTTGAAAGATTATTATTATTATTATTATTAAAATTTTGACCTTCAAATTAGTAAATACAATTAAAATATTAACAACTTTTAAAATGAAATATTATTTCTTTTACTCTTCTTTATAAAAATATTTATCCTTTCAAAATTAAATTACAATTATTATTTTTTATTTTGACGTCAAAGTAATAAAATTAACTTACTTGAATAGTGTGCACACCAAAATTTTATTTTTTACCAAAAATATCTGTTAACCCACACAAGCCAGAAAGGGATCTGTTCTAGGACTTGAAAAAAATAGCCCTTTCTTGGCCCCTACTCCTATCACTGTTTGAGTGTGTGGAGGGGCAATGGCGGTTCATTTAAATCTGAATGTGACATATATATATATAAATTTGTAATGTTTAGTGACTGATTTGTAATGATTATTTAGAGATCGTGAGATGCGGTCTGGTGAGATCTAGGTTTACAAAAATATTTTCTTAATTATGCCAATGTTTCGATCTTTATTGAGATCATCTTCGGGGCCTGGGATTTATAAACATTGCTTATATTATACAAATACATATAAAATATGACCGAATTTATACAATTAATTAGTCTACCGATATAGAAATTTTAGGTTTAATCAAAATATTTGTACTCACTAAAAGTGTGTTTTCTGTGTAGATGTGTCAAAACAGTCACAACAGTGACACATCTGGCATCTTGGCATGACAAAGAAAATGTTTTTCTAAACCTACATCACACCAGACCGCATCTCACGATCTCTAAGTAATAATAGATAAATTCAAAGGAGTTCGAAGGCCAAAAATTACTAAGTTGAAAAAAAAAAAAAAAAATTGCCCTGTAATGAGTGCAGAAGAGGAGTGTTAATTTTCTAAATTGAATTTTAAGCAGCAGGAGATTATGTTTCATAAAAAAGAAATTAGATATGAGTTGTATCTGAATTTTCTTTCTTAAGTTGTTGTTCATTCAATTGGTGGTCAGACTAATTAAACACATGGAAACAATAACAAAAGTTAGTTTTTGTACATTGTATATATTTTGGGAATCCTTGTCCCTTTTTCAACTTTCTAGGCTTGTGAAAGGTTATCGCTGAAGAGGGGGCAAGGAGTCTCGAAATGTATGCAATGAATAAAAATTAAACGATTGTTATTGTTTCTATGTGCTTAACTAGTCTGACTACCAATTAAATATGTATTATTTCTGTATTATGTATTAACATATAATTTTATAATATTTTAATTCAATTTTTTTGTGAGCATAAAAGTAATTTTGATTTTTCAATATAAATATATTGTGAAATAAAGTGTTTGATTTTTCAAGAAAAGCTTTTTTACTTAAAATCTAAAATGATCAGTTTTTCAAGTTTTTATTGCACGTTTTCAAATTTTTACTGCATAGAATTCTGAGCTTTAATTTTAAACTTATAGGTAAATACCTTTCAAGTTTTTCTTCTGTACTTTTGCGTTCTTCTATTAGGATTTCAAATTGCCTTTTTAGTTTATCGCTGGTGTTGTTAAAAGTTTTTTTCAGCTCGACAAGTGTTCCTTCTATTGTTTTAACTTCATTTTGCAATTCTGTTACCTGTAATATTTTTGTAATAAAATGCTAATCTGTGTTTGCTTTTCAGAAATAGAATGGATAGTCGAAAATATTATTACCTGTGTTTTGTGTTCCTCCTTGCATTCTGCCCACTTTTCTTCCAACTGTTTTCTAAACACCATTTCTTTCTCTAACTCTTCCCTTGTCTTAGACATCACGGCCATCTGCCTTTCTAATTCACTAGTTTTTATTTGGGCTTGGACCAGTTGAGTTTCATAATTGGAACACATCATACACGCTTAAAATACATATTGCTTTTTGTTACAAAAAAATTACCTGTGATATTGAATTACAGCACATATTTTATTCAGATTTAGTCAAAAATATTTTTGAAGAGATTTCAATATTTATAAAACTATAGAATGATAAATATGCATTAAATACAATTTTTATTATGCGTACAGAACTTACTGTACAATTTTAAAGCAAAAAATGTTATTCAAATTTTTTTTAAAATATACATATGAAATTCGGTTTATAAATATCTTTATTTTATTACAATAAAATGTCTTACTTTTAGGAGCTTCAGAAGGTGACCCCTAAAACATTCATTAGTAAAATGTTTATGAGTACATATTTCAAATGCAATTTTTGTAATAATGGTTTCAAACTTACAATGTCAATTAGTTTGTTTACTTTCTCTTTTGCCATCTGTTCCTCCTAAGTGAAAGTTTGTATTGTACAATTATTTGTTTTTTACAAACAGATAATTTTTCTGACTTTAGAAAAAAAAGAACATTACTCACTTTTGCTAGGTACTTCTGTAACTGATCATCTGTCTCTCTCAGTTTGTTTTTAAGAGCTGTGATTTCCTCTTCCAACGGAACGACTACAGATTTGAGCACCTCGGCATCCTCTTTAGCCTAGACGGCAAACATAGCAAATCAAATTAACTCACACAATGCAACAATAGAGACAAATCATGTCGAATAAAATATGAAATCATCCACCTTCCTCATATTTTCCTCCAAGCTGTCTACTTGCGTGTGCCCTAAATCGGTGGCTCCAAGCTGACTTTTGACTTTTCTAGCAAATGTTGTAAACATTGTTCCAGGATTGCCCAAGCTGATATCACTAACCATGCTAGAGCTACTTTGATTTGCTTTTAGATTAGATAAATCTGATTCCAGCTCTTCGATATGATTCTTCAACTGCTGTATTTCCTCCTCATACCTGCTTGATTCTTCTAGAGTAGCTACAAAAGAGAAACAGGCACATAACAAAGTATCATTTTTATCAGTTGAATGTTAATGAGCTATTTGCATTTAGTCTACGAAGGGGTATACTTCCACTTCTATTTAAGCAACATATGGCTAGATAAGAGTAAATAATCTGGAATGAACAATATTAATTTTTCCAACACTTAAATTGTTAAATAAATGTATATGTAAATGTATTATTATTTTTCAAAATAATATTATTGTGTATAAGTTTATTGTATTTGATTTGTAAAAAACACAAGTTCAAAAAGTCAGAAAATTGCAAAAGTGCAAAGGCTGGATAAGTACCCAGGACCTGTAAATAACAAGCTCTACCAATTGCAATACTTTAAATTAATTCTTCTCAAATAAACATATAAAATTAGGTAATAAAAATTAATACCAACATTTAAGAAGTTGTTGAAGTGATGTTAATTCAGCTTGACAGTTGATTCCCTCTAATTCTTTCGCCTCAAGCTCCAAACCAGCCTCAGTGACTTGCATCCTAGTTAAATCTAATTCTTTCCTTAAAAGATTGACCTCATCTGCAAAAAGAAGTAAATTAAAATAAATTGTAAATTGACAATGAATTTATCATATATTATTAGTTTAATAACAAATGATAAAGGAACATCACAAACTGGTGCTGATATAATAAAATACAACAAACTGCAACCTAAAAAAAAAGAAAAAGAAAAAGTATATACACAATGGTATAAAAGTGCAAAAGCTTAAAACGTGGAGTAGGTCATCTGTCGGATGCAGTTAACAGAGATTGCTTATAAATATTTATCTAAATTTTATCCAAGAATATTAAATTGTGAAACTGACATTTTGATTATTGTAGCTGTGTGTAGGATAGAATACAATGATGATAGTAGGCACTTTTTAAAAGTGCAAATAAACATTTGAAGTTATCATATACACAGTAGGCTCCTTCTTAGGACTAATTTGATGTATACGAGGTAGGTGATGAGGAGGGCTGACTTGAACTTCCCAGCTGAATGTAGGATATGTGACACTCTCTAATGTCCTTTCCAAGTACCCATAGAATCACTTGAAGAAAGTGCCTCCAGGTCCTATTCGCCAGGATATAAGGTCACCATCAGATCTCCCCACTACATGTCTTGCCAGACATCGTTGCTGCAAGCGAAAATGGAGTTAATCTTATACCTTGCAGTGGTGTATGGAACTGTGGGCACATTAGATCGAGGGCAGATCTCACAGTGCAAAAATATGGGGTACTGAGGGAAGCTCATGTAGATACCACACAACTTTTTTTTAAAGCAGTGGGTGTAGTAGTGGAAGCAAGAGGATGCATACCAGAGCATATTAAGAAGATGCTCAGGGAACTAGGGATTAATCAACTCCTAAGAACGCTCCTTGCCCTATCCCTAATGATGCACAGTTCGTCACTCCCCATAGCCTGCACTCATATGGACAGAGAGCGCTTTTTAAACAAAAATACCTGATTGCGACGGATCCTGGCTGGGATGACAGCTCTCGAAATGGACCTATGGTGCAGGAGAGAGTATGTGACCTGCTCCAAAGGATGCAAAAACTGATGAACACTGGAAAGAGGTTTTATTTAAGTCCAAACTAGGAAAAAAATGCTATGTAAGTTTACTGCTTTCTATTCCCAATGATAAATGTCCTAAATATTTACCTAGATAATGTCCTACTTTTTGTATAAATATTTGTTCAAGTCAGATCTGATGAATTGGAAGCAAGAATTAAGAGTTATTTTTATTTTTACATAAAACTTCTTTCGCATGCCACACATCCAATTTATTGTGACATAAATCACACCAATTAATTATTATTATTAATAATAATAATAATGGTGTAAAGATGTAATTTGTCGTAGTGCCAATGGATATTTGAGGTTGTATAGACAGTCCATTCATTATGTAAACTGGCAATGAAAACTTTTCTAAATTTGGGCTATTTATTATATAGATAATATAAAATAGTTCAGGTCAGAGTAATACATGTATAATATTATCATATAATGTATCAATATAGAACATAAAATTATGTTCTAAGGGGATTTAGAATTCAAATTTGGAATAGAATTAAGCTGAGGCATGACTGTTTAATCATGCCGGGCACATCTAGCTACCACCTTTCTCTACATGCCAGAAGCAACAAACAAATTAAAATAATTATACATGCATTAGTATGAAATATTTAGCCATAAATCTCTTGATGGTTGTTCATATATGTTGCCATAGTAAAATCTGAACTTTATTTGATAATTATTCAGAAATCGTGAGATGCGGTCTGGTGTGATGTAGGTTTCAGAAAAACATTTTCTTTATCGTACCAATGTTTCGATCTTTATTGAGATCATCTTCAGGGCTCAAAGTGTTTGTCTTCTGTGTAATTGTGCCATTCTTGCGTGTCGTGTTGAGAGTGCACAATTTCTGAATAATTATCGATTAACGGTAACTAATCACCACACATTTATTTGATAAGTTATAATAATTTGAAAAAAAATTTTTTATTATATTAATATAGTTGCATAAGGTTTCTAATAAAAATGGTTTTGATAGAGTGAGTATATCAATTCAATAGTTGAAAAGGATAGATTCTACTCTCTAATGTTTTGTGAATTGAAATATCTTTTTAAACTACTAATGTTGGGGCAACATTGGCCGCAATGGATGAGGCATTGTCACGGAATTTGTGGATGACTGTTAGGTAAAGTCCCGGGTTCATCAACTTCAACATACTTGCTTACCAGTTTCCCAGGGGTTGACATGTCTTTTGCTGTTACAAATCCCCGTTTATAAAAGAAAAAAACACAAAACAATAAGTTTTGATTTGCACCCAATTTATATTGAAAAAATGTTTTTCTCCCACGAGAGTATTTTGACTGAGATATTAATCCTCTGGGTTCCAGTAATTTTGAAAAAAAAAAAGGCCATTTGAACAATATTGGGTTCAAATTCATGATTGCTGGAATTCAAACCCAGGACCCTTAAAATGATGAGTAATCATGAAAACCACTTGACCATTGTGGCCACTTATTCCTTTATATTATATATTTACATTAAATATATTTTTAATTATACTATGAAAATAGAAATGTAAATGAACAAATGTAACCGCATTAACTCTTCTAGTTACCTAGTATATAGTTGTTTTATGTAATAAATGGTTTTATGTGTATTTATTAATGTGGGAGAGTCAATGGTGGATTACTGAGTATATCATTGATCTACACTTTGATTAGTTGTGAAATTGGAGATTGAAGGTGATGAACCTAGTAGAATGAATGATATAGCCATAAGTTTTTTCCTGAGTATTATACTTCACTTTTGTAATGTATCATGTTAAATAAACACCATTTCAAACATTTATTCATGTAATTAAATATGTATATAATAAGTTTTCATTATATTCGCTTGCATATGTATATTATAATATGTAGCTGTCTGCATCCTTGTGGCAAAACTGGATAAGTAAAAACACAACAATGTTTTGAGGTGTCTAAAAAAGCACATGGCATTTAAAAAAAATTGGATTCAATTTAAATAATAATAATCATTAATTAATGTCAGGCCAAAAGATTTATTGGAATATACACTTATTTCATTTGGCCAAAATTCACCTTATCCAGCATTGCTCTGTGGTTGCAGATATAATAAAAAATTCCTATCCTATGCTTCCAAAAGATCCTAGTCTGCCTATCTTCAATGGCTTTACCTATCAGATACCAATGATTGGCTTGTATGTTCTATTAACTCAACCTGATGATGGTGGGAGGGCAAAATGTGTCTGGAAAAAAACAGCAAGGGTCAGACCAAAACGACCTAGCTGTAGGTTCATTACTCCAAAAGAAATCTTAAATATCATCTAAATTTGGGGTAAAACTACAATAGAGTAAATTCAAATCATACAGGAGGGTTTAAAACGCCCAACTATCTGTTAGGTGATGTGGACAAGGGGTCAAACCACTCTACTATATACTTTTCATACAATTATCAGTTAAAAAACTATGTGCTATACCAGGATTCAAACCCAAAATTGTTACAAATACTGTTGTACCAATTGGCACCATAAATACTGATGTGGCAAATACGGGTGGACGCCCTATCTGCTGGTGTGGCAAATATGAGGTCGCCCTAACTGCTGGTGTGGCAAATACGAGTAGGATGCCATAACTGCTGATGTGGCAAATATGAGTTGGATGCCCTAACTACTAGTGTGGGAAATATGAGTTGGACGTCCTAACCAGTGATGTGACAAATACAGGTAGGATGCCTTAACCGCTAGTCTGGCAAATATGAGTAGGGCACCCTAAACACTGGTGTGGCAAACCTGAGTTGGACACTCTAACCACTTGGCCACAGCGGTCTCTAACAAAACTAAGATATGAATAATGTATGATATCTGCTCTTTCTTTTTTGTTCATTTCAGACCATTCTGGCCTGATTTTCTTGTTACACTGGTTAATTTGAGATGTCACCATTTTCAGAAGTAGATGTTAGGAGGAATAATTATAATAATTAATAATATAATTATAATATTATAATTTATTGTTATACTGAAACATGTCTGACAGACCTAAACAGCAAGGACTGACAGAATGATTAAAAACAGACAAACTATTAGTAGAATACCTATTACTCAAGAGAATATATTATAACTTGGTGCAACTATTTTATTTCCAAAACTACTAATATTAAAAAAAGCACATTTAGTCGTAATATTTAATGTAATTTAGTATTTGTTTTGTTTATTTCTACCACCAAAGGTCAGGCATTTTAATTACAATGTAAAAGAGAAAAAACAGTGAAAACCAAAAAAATGTAATAGTTTCAATATTGAAGACTACCTTCTTTCTGCATGAAAAGATCTTTCAGTTTTGCTCTTTGTGCACCGAATTCTTCTAATGCCGTCTGCTTCTCTGATTTAAGTTCCACTATTTGTGCTAACAGCGCCTCGACTGACAGATCTAAATTTAAAAAGCAAAAAGCATAGATTGCAGGCTTTTATACAATAATACATACAGAATGGAAATAGAAGGAAGAAATAAAGAAGAGAAGGTTGGCAAAGAGGACTTTCACTGTGAATACAAGCATGTCGAAAGGTGTAAATGATCAATTTAAATCGTTCAAGATGTAATCTTTTCCCCTTTCCACAATCGTTTTTGTGTAAGAAACACTGGAAAAGCATGCCAAATTCTAATTGTCTCTCTTACCGATGTTGTTGTCGTTAACGCCTTTTTCGTTCGACGTTTCCATTTTTAAAGGAAAAATACAGCATATAGTGGCAAATTAAGAGACACAACTGCAGTTATTGGACAGAAGAAACCGTTTATAGTTAGTTTCATATTTGTAAATGTTGAAGCTAGTTGTAAACAAGCTGACAAAGCCTAGCGATAAAAATCCAATCATTTTATCTCACTTATAAACACAAATCTTCACATTAATATAGTATAAATTCGTTGACAGATAAGTCAACATTCATTTTATCAACATCAATAAATGAAAAAAATAAAGTAAAAACAAACCAGTCTGTTAAAAAACCAGCTGTTTTTACAATCGATTAAAATCGTCTTGTTACATGCTCGGCTGACATAAAAGGAACTACAATTTGAGTGTTCTTTTTTTGCATAGGCCTCCTTGTTTTAAGAACATCTCAACAATTCACACTCCAATTAATTAATTGAATAATTAAATTGCAAATTAAACAGAAAGACAGTAGTGAAACTGAGGGATCACGTTCAAATAATTAACTAAAAATATCTGTCGGGTTTGGATTATATAACAAACATGGTGAAACAATGCTGAAACACAGCGAAGATTTACGGACCAGTGTTTAATATTCAAACAACAAAAGTCATTGTAACTCTGGCTGTATTTTTATTTTTTTAAAAGAACAAAGCCTTCCGCCTTCCTTTGATTTCCATGCAATCATTAAACATCAAACAACACCTAATTTTATATATATTTTTAACTCATAAATCATTACTTATGAAAAACATGCTGTTAATTAATAATCACGCACTTATGCGTGACTTGTGATTAGGTTTCGCGGTTGAAACAGATGTTACCAGGAACAGGAAAATAGTTAACAACATTGTTATAAGAAAATAAAATTGAAATCGCGGGAAAGAACAAAAACCGGTTTTAATTATTTTTCAGTTCTTAAAAATTGTTTATTATTTAATATGAATAAGACAACGAAAGGAAAACTCCAGGTGAGATGACTTTCTGGCTGTAAAAACAATTTTTTTCAGCATTTCTTATCTTTTTTGAAATACCTGACGGAACGTTTCATAGCCAATTTGTTTTTGTGTGATTATCTTATTATTTATAGTTTTTAAGAGCTGACTTACATATAAGAAGTTAATGTGACCTAAAAACATTTATTTTTTAAGTATTTCCTTTCTTTTTAATAGGTATTGTGTGTGGTCTGTTATTGGACAGCACTCATAGAAGTTAGCACGTTTTTACATGATTATCTTACTATTTATGCTTTTAAGAGCTGACTTACAAATGAGTTGTCAGTTGGATCTGAAAAAAAGATTTATTTTATTAAGAATTTTCGTTCTTTTGAATAGGTATATTCTACATGGCTTTCTACTGGACAGAACCCCTTGGAAACTTGCATATTTTTATGTGTATCTTATTATTTATGTTTTTAAGAGCTGACATACAAATGAAAAACATGTTCCCCTCCAAGGTGTGGTTGATCCAGTCTAGAATAAATTACGTTACGTTTGGCATGGAAGCAGATAAAGTTAATTTTGAGGCATTGCTTGCTATATAAATTCAATCTTGGGCATCGGAATTTATGATTTTACAGTGATGACATAACAACTTGATGTGTGGAAATGGTAAATGGTGGAGTATGTTATCCAGTATTTTTAAAAAGATAGTTCCTATTCACAGTTAGTTGTTTTCAACGATTCGGATTTCAAGCTTATAGCTCATCCTCAAGTTGAATGAATTTACAACCACGTCTTTTGGCATGAATTGTAAGAGTACTTTAATACTCTTATTAAATTCTCTTTCTAATGAGACATAATCTTGAAATCCGGATCATTGAAAACAACTAACTGTATGTAGGAACTATCTTTTTAAAAAGACTGAATGTGCGTGTGGACAGTGATTCCGATGTTTTCATAATGGACAGACATGCATCAAAGGCCTGCCTTGTAGCAGCATAACGAATGTGAAAGGGATGACTTATTAGCATTGGGGGATGAAAATGAAAATTGGGATGAAAATTAACTATCAAAGCTATCAGATAGGTTTCAAGTACATTACACAGCAAGAGAAATAAGAACCCGATTCCTGCGTCGATACGTTGTGAAATGTGATTCATGGGTTCCCCATCAATTATCCCTCAGGTCAAGGGAGACCGCATGGCTAGTTGCATTTCAGATTTGAATCAGAAGGGTTTATTCCCAATTTGGTTACTGGGAATGTGAAGTGGGTCCTTCACATACAAAACATTTAAGTAGTTCATTTTTACATCTTGTTCTTGGCCTTTAATAGACAGAAGTTTGGAAAGCTGTCTTGTTTTTAAAAAGTGCTGACTTCCAAGTGGGATGTTAATCTAGCCCAATAAATTGTATAGTAAATCCGTTCCATCATTAATAATTCAATTTTAACCTCTTGTGTTTTGAATATACATTTATTTCCCCAGTTATTGTTTACATACTCTGAAAAGGTGTAGCACACTTCTTCACACTTATTTTATTCTTCAGTTCCATTCAGGACAATTCTATTTTTATAAGGTGTTTTATTAATATTTAAAATTGATGAATCATAGTGCATTGCCATCATTAATAGGTTTTTATTACTGCAAAAAGAAACTATAGCTCAGATTGCTAGGCAAATATGTGATGTGGACCACGATGACCTTTAGGATAAATCACTGTCCTTGAGTGGCTTGCTTGATTCAAAAGCGGAAATTTTGATTTGGAAGATGCAAAATGCTCTGGCACTATTGATTAAATTCAAACTTTTACCTCAAATAACCCATACACAATGACCCGAGACATCACAGAGACACTTAACAATATCATAAAAAACATTGGAGATCTGATAAATATGTTTGTCGGAGCGCTATATGAATTCCTCCTTATATGTTGATTGAGAAGAATTTATTAAACCACATTTCCATTTATGATTTCCTTCTAAAACACAATGTAAATGACCATTTTTAAAAATTGATAACTGGAGTCTTTTCAAGTGGGTTCTTTATAACAGGAAAGGAGAAAGGAAAATCCTCGGAAAAGACAGCGATTCACTGTTCATAACTACAAAAGCTGGATTATGTCCCAAGATGATGTGCATGTGATGGAATGGGAAGGGGGTGCTTTATTATGAGCTTCATCCGCCAAACATGTTAATTCTAGGGTATATTATACACATTGGATCAATTGACCAAAAACGACCAGCGTTGGTTAGTACTAAGGGGATTGTTTTTCTACTAGACACATGTCTTTGCTGTAGTGCCAGATATTGTCATAGCTTGGTTGGGATATGCTACCCTACCCACTCATTATGTCATTGCCCCTTCAGATTTTCTCTTATTCCGGGCTCTGCAAAATTCTATTAAACTCATTCACTTGAGGGCTGCAGAAAACACATTGAGGAGTTCATCGCTAAAAAAAACTTGAGTTCTGTTAGACTGGAATCACAAAATTTCATGGAAATGGCAACAGATATAAGACTGAATTAATTTTTAAATTTAAATTTTATTATTAAAATATTTCGTATTACTGTGTGTATCAAAATGCACAGAATTTTTTCGACTTACCGAAGTGACTTGTTGAACAGTTCGTATTATCAAGAAATTCAAATTATTGTTTCGTTTTAAAAAAAGTCGACTGTAGTTGTTTAATGAATTTATCAATGCAGTGACCATAACATTGTTATTTCTCCATGAGGTCTGCATGGTTGTTGAAATTTGAATACACGGAAATCACTCGAGCCAGCTCTGAAGGTAGTGAAATTCATCTGACAGTTAAAATGTTATGTATAAATGTTTATTAGGTCAGATTGACATCTTGGAAATCAACAGTCTTAAAAAAATCATAATGATAGTAACAATTATTATCAATGAAAAAATAAGTATAATAAGTATTATATTACTTTTTTGGGTTGTTTTGGAAGGAAGTTTGTTTAAAGATTGAATTTTAGTTATTTTGTGATGTTTCAATGCATTTCTTGCACAAGGCACAGGCAGCCAAGTGACACGTCACTTTTTTATTTTTACATAAATTAAGAAAAAATATGTATATTGTTATCTGATGTTGAAACCTTGCAACATAAATAAAATTTCATCTTAACCTCCTACCTTTTAAAATGGTCTAAGAAAAAAATACAATACAAATAATCCACAATAAAGTCAATAAAAAATTGAAATAATAAACAATATTATGCAGGTTAATTGAATGAATTTGTCAATTTTAGGTGATTTTTGGTCCAATGTTTTCTGGCAAAACGTCAGAATTAATTAGAAGAATACAGAGGTACAGTTTTGGAAGATACAAATGCATTGTTATTCGTTACACACATGACAACCGATATTGTGAAGATTCAATAGTAACTCATGACGGTTATGCTATTACTGCCATTAAAACTACAAAGTTAGGCTTGATCAAAAATGAAATAATAAACTATACTGTTATTGGTATAGATGAGGGACAGTTTGTAAGTTTAAAATTCATAATTTTTAAAATGATTAAAAATTCTAATGGCGGATATGCCAGTTTCCAGATGTTGTGGAATTTTGTGAGGAAATGTGCGATGCGGGTAAAAAAATAATCGTTGCAGCATTAGATGGTACGTTCCAAAGAAAACCTTTTGGAAATGCACTTAATCTTATTCCTATTGCTGAAAGCGTAACAAAGCTTAACTCAATTTGTATGAGCTGTTTCAAAGATGCTCCGTTCACAAGACGAGTTACTGATGACACTCAGGTGAGGATAATAAACATACTTATTTATTAACATTAACTCATTAAGAAATTTTATTCAAATGAATTATGTTGGTACTGATTTACAAAGATTTTCCATTGCAAGTATAAAAATAATTGAGATGGGAAAAAATCAACATTCTTTTCAATGATGCAATTTAAAAAATAAAAAAAACACTAAAATTTTCCAGAGTCCATTACAAAATCTAAACTGTTAATAAAAATTCTATAAAGTATAGACAAATAAGTCATTTATGATATTTTAGGTCGAATTGATTGGAGGGATTGATAAATATATGTCAGTTTGTGAAAATTGCTACAATATTCCATCACCTTCTTGGGGTTGCCCTTTTCAAAATCCCCAAAAAGTTACCAAGACTGTACAATTTGAATTGCTTTGAAGCCATTTCTCAAGCAAGTATGTGTATTATAATGAAAATACTTATTTTCATATAATTTTTAATTGCTTTTGTTCAATCGAGTATGTATTTGAGGAGAGTAATATTGTGAGATTTTTTGACAGGAAACTACAATATTTTTATTTGCTAGCAACTAATATTTTTGTTTTAATAATAAAAAATGTAACTCTTTGCATACAAATAAATCCAATTGTTCATCATCTATTTTATTACATTGTATCATGAAATGAGTATCAGGAATGGGTCTGCCAGGACACTAAAATCAGAGATCTTCATCCATTCTTTTCCTGTATATTTTGTTCTTGTTCATCTTCATTTTTTCTCTCTCTTTAGAGCTGCCACAACAGATGTTCCTTCTTTTATATCTCTTTTGTAGGTTATCCCTTTTAAGTCCTTTCCATACATCTTGTTTTTTAATTTTATTGAAATACTGTGGGCTTTTCGGGTCTCATTGTACATCCATTTTTTATTATTATTTTTAAAATTTTAATTTCAAATAAAATAATGCTCTTGGTGGGATTGGATTAGGGGCATATAAGGCAGAGGAAAGTTCGACGAGGACACCACGCAGCACACCAAGCTGCCTAAAACGTGGATCCATGAGACAATGGATTAAAAATAATGCCTCGGTTAAACGGGAATGCCACCCAGGGCAGAGGCACATGAAAAATTCATCAAAGTACCATTGCAGAACTATTAAATCTAGAACTTGTTAAGACTAGAATAATAGGTAGATTGATACTGGACACTGTTCTCTTTGGAGGCATATGGATAGACACAGGAGTGAAACAAGCTTGTGCAGATATTGCCAGCAGAACATGTCCCTGTTAGTGTGAATCTCAGGGCTGAAGAATACACACAGGAGCCCTTAAAAAAGTATTAACACAGTAAAAAGCCTTAATTAAACAAAATGAAGTGCTTGATAATAATGGGGATAAACAATGCAATATTGGTTGCAGTGCCCAGTTTGTAAAGAGGCTGATTCCTTTTATAATTTATGCTAATATGATCTTCTGATCTCAATCTATTTTTAAGAACTGACTTAAACAGTAATTGGGTAATTGAATTACCAAAATTTGCTGGAAAAAATCAACTCTTGTATTGTAATTTTGCATATTTTTACACAGAGTAAAGCAACTCAGACTGTATTCACTATGTGAAATGTGACAAGTGAATGCAAAGCATCACTTTTTATACTGTTTTGTGAAAAAGAAAATACAAATATAGTGAAATGTTTCTTCTATCTTGTGTTATATTTATTGTTTATATGTATTGTTTACTTAACCTTAAAAATAATTTGATATGTGGCTTGATCCAGGTCATAGTTCTGTCACATTTTATCCTATTTAGACAATGTCTAGTTGAACAAAGACTGCGATTATGATAAAGGAAGGCAAACATATTTAATGTTAGAACACTTCAATTTGGTGTGTAAAAAAGTCAGACAAAAGATGGTGTGCTTGACTTTTTCCATCAAATCATTGATAGTCTGATTTTAAATTTTATTGAATTACAATATATTGAAAAAAATATTTAAAAGTTGCATTGTTTTATTTAACAATCAGTGATGAAATTATGTAAACCAATTTCACAATTACAATGTTTTGCATTTATCATTGATGCATATCTTTTTCTACTGATGAATGCTGCAGACTTAGGTTGTCTATTCCTTGTAAAAATACCTTTAGCGCATCTTCCGGGTCGAATGTATTCTGTAATGGTAATTTACTTCAAGTTTAAAAAATAAGCTAAAATAAAAGTTCAATTTTTGTACGCAGTAATATTGTCTTACCTTCTGGTGTATTGAAATCAGCAAAGTTCCAAATCATTTCTCCGATAAAAAATCCTAAGGTCTTCAGACAGTCAAAAGCTTTAAAATGTTCTTCCAGCAAATCGCTCTGATACTCCTCACTCCACATGACTGATGGCAACTGAAGGCGTTCATATATATTTATTAATAAAACAACAAAACCAATAAAATTTTATTCTTACTGAATGAAAGCCTGTTATAGAGCCTCCGCCATATTCAGTCATTAATACAGGTTTCAAATACTTCTCATTCCATTGAGTAAGTTCTGCAATGACTTGGTAAGCCACAATGTCTAACTTACTACCATCTTGATACCAACCGCTGTACCTGTTTAACGAGATGATATCGACATGTTGTACCTATTTTGGGAGTCAAAATTGTCAACGATTAATATACATCTAGACAATAATTACCTTTACTCACAGCCTTTTCATTATTTATTTGCTGGCTTGTTACGAATGTGATTGGCCTTGTTGGATCTATCTGCCTCATAAATTTTACTAACTCTCTAATTATACAAAAAATATATAAATTAAAACAGGTTATTTAAAAACATTTTGAATATACTTACTTAAAATATCCTTCTGAATCAGGGTTATTTGACAGAGGTTCATTGGCCAATGACCACATTATAATGCTAGGATGATGTTTATAATTTGACCAAATCTCCTTAAGCACTTTCTTGTGATTTTTGAACATTTGATTGTCGAAAAGGCTGGAATTTCATTACTCTTGGAAACAATTATTATTTATAATTAAAGAAATGTTTCAACAGGCTCTTACTTCAAACTACAGGCGGGTGTTTCTAAAATCACCATTATACCATTTTTATCTGCAAATTCTAAAAACTCTTTATAATATGGATAATGAGACGTTCTTATAGCATTTGCATGCGACCATTTTAAAAGGTTAATATCCTTTGTGAGTTGGACAAAATCAAATCCTCGTCCTCTCATCTGAAAATTTTTCTGTTGTAAACTATTATTCTAAAATGTCAGCCAGTACTACCTCTGAATCTTGGTGCATTCCAAAACCTCGCAAATAAACATTTTCATCGTTAATTTTTAACGACTGGTTATCCCATTTTAGCTCACGAAAGCCTATCAGTTCTTCCATGTAGTCTAACTCTTCCCCCTTTTTGTTTTTAAGTGTAATCTGCAATTTTTTTTTATTATATATAATTGCAAGTACTTATTTATAGAAGTATTACCGTCAATTTATATCTATATCCAGCAGTTTTATTCATATGAAAAATTGGCCACCATAGTTTTGGATTTAAAATTTGCAATGTGTTATTACAACCTGTTTTAACATCAAACACTTCAGTTTTATCGCATAGTCTGACTGTGCATTCTACTCCACTGATATCCGTTGGCGCCAACAATATTGAGTAGTGTACGTACCATTTTTTCAATTTCCTTTCTAATTTGTAATATACGTCATCTATGTATATTTGGTTTGTTACATATACTTCAACATTTCCATTTAAGCCTGCATAATCAAAATAGTCGAAATTGTGATAATAGTTTTTATACCCTGATGGATACCTACATAAATTTAAAAAATAATAGCCCTTGGTAATAAAATAAAACATTGCTCCTTAATTCTCACCTTGTAGTATCATTCTCAAAAACCAAATAACCTTGGGGTATTGTGTAGTTATTTAAGGTATTGTTTACGGCTATGGTTAAGACACACTTTTCAACATCGTGTGGTAAACTTTTTGTCAGGTCTAATTCAAAAGGCACATGCCCTCCTTCATGTTCCCCAGCCAAATTATTATTGACCCACTAAAATTATTTTGTAATTAATACTTTTTTACTGTCTTTCTTATGAATATATAAACGAAACTAAACGTAAATGTGCCTGATTATTGAAAATATATACCACCATAGTGTAATAATGTGCACCGCCAATTCTGAGAACAATGTGTTTGTTATTGACCCACATCAAAGGAATCATAAAAGTTTTCTGGTACCACACCCATCCGACATAATTTTTCAGCTTACGATCGACAGTTATATCATTGAAACTTGATGGAACTGGCATATCAATGTATTCATCCTGAAATATTAAAGAAAATTATTTCAGGTTTATATTTGGTTAAAATACGTATGTTGTGAGATTTTCCCTTGGGGTTTGGTTGCTTCTTTATATTTTAGTCTGCCTATCCTTGCTGTGACTGAACAGACCCAGCAATGATGAAAAAGACAGATGAGAATGATCAAACTACAGGTCTCATCTTCTGTGGTCACTCCTAAGCAACTTCCCAATTGTGAAATGCCAAATATGTAAGTTATGAATGACAAATTTCTTTTACAATTTGTTATTTACCACTATACAAAATGATCATGAGATTTGGTAATTTCCAAGAAAAATTAGTGTTAAAAATTAAAGAAATTGAGACGATCAGCTGGGTCAACACTAAATTTAAGCGATTGCCCAAAAAGTAGAACCAAATTTACACTGGTGAAATCTTTTTGTAGTTGACTTATACAGGGTGAATTGCTACTCGTGCTACAAACTTCTCCAGTAGATTCTTCACCCTAAAATGAACAAAAAAGTTCATATTGTCCATGGTCCGATTCTCAACCATTTCAGAGTAATTTCGCTTTTTATCGATTTTGAAAGATATCACGTCCTGGCGTCGGAAAATCGTGATATCTTTTAATCTAAACATTTCTCTTAAAATCTATAAGCACCGTTGAAATCCCCGTTAATTTTTAGAGAGAATCAAAATCATAATTCCATTGAAATTTTTTAATTTAATTTAATGCCCATTTAGTATGTAATGCTTAAGAAGTTTACAAACAGCTAGAAGGTCAAGGAAGAAAGACCCAAACGTTTTGCCACCTTCATCTTCTTATTGAAAAATTAACGGGGATTTCAACGGTGCTTATAGATTTTAAGAGAAATGTTTAGATTAAAAGATATCACGATTTTCCGACGCCAGGACGTGATATCTTTCAAAATCGATAAAAAGCGAAATTACTCTGAAATGGTTGAGAATCGGACCATGGTCAATATGAACTTTTTTGTTCATTTTAGGGTCAAGAATCTACTGGTGAAGTTTGTAGCACGAGTAGCAAGTCACTCTCAAACATTAGCAATCCTTGAACCACCATTTTTTCTCTTTTTGTCATCAACATCTTGGTCTCACAACCACTAAATAAGAAAATGACGAGTGCGTTGGAAGCGTTATTAAATCAGGTAGTTTTCCTCAAATTTGCTGCCTTCTGAGACTAAAATTAGAAACTCTGGATTACTTTATACACTTTCCGATTTACACAATTTTCCACTCTTTTTGTAGTTCTGGCTGAAATAAAACACAAAAAATTAGCCCAAACATTTTGCCACCGTCATCTTCTTATTGAAAAATTAACGGGAATTTCAACGGTGCTATTAGATTTTCAGAGAAATGTTTAGATTAAAAGATATCACGATTTTCCGACGCCAGGACGTGATATCTTTCAAAATCGATAAAAAGCGAAATTACTCTGAAATGGTTGAGAATCGGACCATGGACAATATGAACTTTTTTGTTCATTTTAGGGTGAAGAATCTACTGGAGAAGTTTGTAGCACGAGTAGCAATTCACCCTGTATATATGTCAAAAGTATTTCATCTTACATTATTACAGAAATGTGTGATTAGAAGGTCCAATTAAAAAATTCAAATTTATTTATATCAAAAAGTCTTGTTGAAATTGTACAAAAACAAAACCTTAAAACTAAAATGAACAATTTTCAAAATTTAATTGGCAACAAAGTTTACTTACTGCACTAAAATCAAAATTGAACCATTTATCGCTTATACCGCTATTATGTTCATCTAACCTGAACTGCCAAAGGCCGTTCAGAGAAAGTGAAAATCTTGTACTTGAGTTGCTAAGAGCAACCGAAAAAGAAAAGCAACTAATAAATAAAATGAGGAAATACATCTTTAAACTTGCTACAACCAGAGATGTAAAAACCGTATTAAATAAAAGTTTGAAAGAATAGAAATAATGCTATCTAAGAGATAAAATTTATCTTGTGACTGTGGGGTCAAATATTTATGTGAGAATTAGAAAATGTGAGCTTAAGGAATACAAAATTTCTGATAATTAAAAAAATAAAAACAACCTTAACACTTTTTTATCATTCTAAATTCTTAAAAGTTCACTATATACTTTACCCGATTAAAAAATTACTTCATCCTTAAAGGAGTGGTAAGAAATTGGATATCAATAATTTAAACTAATACCATTAAAATTCTACAGCATTTGTTTTTGTACAGCTCGACATAACAAAATTATGTACACCTTTATTACAACCATATATCCATTTTAGCATTTCTCTCAGTAACTTAAAGAACTGTTTTACTGCGGGAGAATCCAGGAATTGTTGTAAGGGTTGTAACTTTGAGGCGGCTGCTGATACATGTGAGGAGGAGGATGAGGAGGGGTCACGTACTGCTGCTGGACTGGAGCAGATGTCGATGCAGGCAGCGATGGATGAAACATATGCTGTTGTTGTTGTTGTTGATGATACAATCCTTGTACAGGGGGTTGCTGCTGTTGCTGTTCCCCGTTATTGTACGTCTGTTGTTGCGGCCCCTTATATCCTCCGGTGTAACTTTTTTCATTCTTAACCCTTGCCTCTCCAGAGTTGTCGAGATCTGCAAATGGCAAGACTAAATATTTATTTTTGGTAAACACAGTTTTTGAAATTAAATTAAATTTAGCCTAAGACTTTTTGCAATTATAATAATCATGGATAAATGGAACCACATCGTTTGCAAAGTTGTTTAAATTGTTGGATATATTGCTTAAATTCTACATCTATCACGTGAAAGTGCAAACAGCAGTAATAAAAAACTGTTAACACCACAACCATAATAATATGAGTTAAATAATCATGAGGAATAATAAAATAACTAACAAAATTTTTAAAAAGTTTAAATAATAATAAGTTAACTAATAGAAAATTATATTACAGAAAAAAACAAACAAAAAACATACGTGATGGACGGCCTCTTTTAGGTAGTTCAGGTTTAAAAGTTTCCGCTAAAAAAAATTTGTACTTCAAAATCAAATAACAAAAATAAAAAGGGGATATTACAAAAATAAAATAAAAAATAACAAGGAATATTTAAAATATTACCTCTTGAAATTTGAGTATCAGGTTGCTGCTGCTCATTTCTCCACTCATCTGTATAAAGACAAAAAAATATGCATTGGTGGTTGCAATTAGAAGACTTTCAAAATCTAATGTCCTTATGAAGATATTGTCTTAAATTATTGTAATTAGTAAAAAAGAAAAAATATTATAAACATAAAAAATATAATATAAGAACATCAAATCAGAAAGTCCTTTTTTCCTAAAAAAAATAAAAATTAAGCACTACCTTAACACTACTAACTACAAAGAACACTTAAGTAACATGCAGATATAAATATGGCAGAACATTTTCTTGTGTAAAAGATATTACAAGAAATTGCTTTATTTTGGAAAAATTATAAGCTAGATTTTGTTGTAGCCCACTCAAAGGCTTTTTTGACCAAAGAAAATATTGTTTTTCTATTTTATTCTATTTACATTAGAAAATGTTTTTCTTGACTTCCTGGAATTGAAAAACTCTATTAAAAGTTATTAAATTGATAAAGGTAAAAAGAAAGTGCATAATTAAGTTTATTTTTTAATTTGACTATTGTTTAGAAATATTCAAACCAAAATTTAACTAAAAGTTGAAAATTTTCTTCTATTTAAAAATTTTATAAACACTTTTTTTACCTTTACTCTTGCTCAAAAAATAAAATAAATTAGTGCATGGAACCAAAGGGTTTGTTTCTTGTATTTTTTTGCACACATAGGTTTGTAATAAAGAATGGAAAAAAACTGTTTCCCAGTTAAATGATTAATAATAAGTGTCATATGTGGACATAGAAAATTGAATAACTGATGAAGGTGGGTCCGATCTTCCTATACTCTGTTTTGATATTCTGTTACAGAATTACTACGTTTCACGATTACTTTTTTAAATCATTATGTGTAGTTAATAATTTTAATGGTCTACAATACAGAAATGAACAAACTGAGAAAATGAGTTATTGTGGTATTTTACCAAAAGATGTTTTTCCCTATCTCAGGAGGGTGATTATTGCTTACACATTGAAAGATAACATTAATAATTGAATTTAACAAAAATAAATAATTTAAGATCTAACTTATTTCATGTGTAGAGATTAGTGACCGTTAATCGATAGTTATTCAGATATCGTGAGATGCGGTCGGGTGTGATGTAGGTTTCAAAAAAACATTTTCTTTATCGTGCCAACGTTTCGATCTTTTATTGAGATCATCTTCAGGGCTCAAAGTGTTTGTCTTCTGTGTATTGTGCCATCCTTGCGTGTCGTGTTGAGAGTGCCCTCTCAACACGACACGCAAGGATGGCACAATTACACAGAAGACAAACACTTATTTCATGTGTTGTATGTCTGAAAATCAACCCCAATGGTTCCTGCCATTCAAATATATTTCCTAGAAGAAAAAGATTATATTACAATCAGCCAACATTAACGGTGGTATTTTTTTATATGAATGTTTAAATTGTCTATAATCTTACTATATAATTTAAGTAATTGTTATTTATTTGTATTGTTTATGAATATTTAGTTTTTTGTTAATCGAACAACAAATAAATTTAATAAGAATGAATCCAACAGCACAACCTTGCAATTATCATTGGAAACAATTGTTTATAAATCACATTTTAAAAATTGTATGCAATTAAAATGATACAGCATGTGACAGGATTACTCTGATGTCTAGAGATTTAATCTCTAATCAGGGATTAGACTCCTTTCCCATTTAGCATATATGATTTAAGACTAATTTCAAGAATTTAATTTTGTTTTTGAATAAACACCCTCAGTGAGGTTTATCTTAGCTCATTTATGATATTTATATATATATCCAGAAAAATATTTATTGGATTCATTAATAATTAACAATTAATTGCTTTTTAATGATTTAGACAATTTACACCACCGCCAATGTGTTAAATTCATTAAATTCCTGAAATAAATTTAGATTGTTAAATTACAAATAATTATATACATAAATTCTGGAATAGTTTTGTATAGACAAAGAAATATTTGTACATAAAATCCAACCCGAAAAATGTAGTGGTTAAGCTGAAAATTAAAAGTTACTTTCTTAGATGTTGAATTAAAAAGTAAATTAATTAAAACGGGAGTTTCATCCTTTTGGAAAATTTTACCTTGGGTGAACTGATTTTTTTCTGTTGTATTTGCATTTTCTTGGGACTGCCCTGTCTGCTGTGCATTTGTTCTTTGCGGGCTATCTCTGTAACATCTTCTAATTAGTTCTTTTCCCCAAGGAAATCTATCGATTTCCCCCCTTCGATTTACAGAATTTATCAGTTAAAACTATTTAATGTTTAATTTTTTGCAAAGTGAATTTTCTTTCTTGGTCTATTCAACATCATTATTGTGCATTATTCCTGCATTTAAGGCAAATTCACCCAAAGTGAAATTAAATTATCAATTACACTTAAGATTATTATTATTATTTTTACTTTAATCCATACTATTTTGTAAATTTCATTGACTTGTTACAAAAGTTCTTGGGTATATGTTTAGTTTTATTTATTTCATTATGAAACTCGGATTCAGAAAATTGAAACGTATTGATTTTAGCAAAATTTACTAAGCGCAAAAGCACAATTGAGAAAATGGATAGAACGAAAATCTTCAACTCAAACTTTCTATTTCTATTTGGCAAGAAGTCTATCTTCAAATTATAATATTAAATAAGGATACAAATCAAAGTGAGAAAATTAACACTTAACAGCATCTTGCTCACATTTAAATAATTTTAAATTGATTAAAAATTAAATCATTTATACCAGAAGTTTTGTAACATAGTAGTATAAAAAAATTGAAAGAGTGCTATGTTCAACTATCCGTATGTCATTATACTGACGGCTACAAATTTAGATCATGCACTACTTTCAGTGTTTATTTGAGAATGTGTACTATATATGGATTTAAATCATGCATTAAACAAATAAAATAAATTAAATCAACAGGCTTAGAGAGAATAAACAAATTTTTGGATTATCGATTATAGCAGTACATATTATTACAATTTGGACTATTTCAGTGCAATATTATGTACAAGCCTGAAAAATATTTAAAAACAAAATCATTGCCAAGCGAAGCTGGCATTCCAAACTTGACCTTTTGTGTCCAACTATGAAATGTATTGAAATAGAGCATATGCACCTATCAAAAATTACATTTTGATTTAACAGTTAAATTAATTATAAATCAACAATTTATTAAATATGTAACAATGTTCAAGTTAAGAAAAAAAGCATGTGGATAGAGGAAAAAGTACTGAATTCAATGCTCATTTTTATCTATGAGCTAATAGATTTTATTGTGCACTAGGCATGAGTCTTTTTTCTTTTAAGTCAAGTTCATCACATCGATATTTAAAAATCTAGTTATAATTCAAGAAAAAATAGCAACATAAAACTTGAAATGACTCAGACTGTTAACCTTTTCGGGACAGATTTTCAATTGCTAAAACGTGTGAAACCCCAGCCTGAATTATTTTGTATGGAATTTCAAAGTATTCACTTTGAATTGCTCTGACTCTATTTACATTGCACCAAGTCCATCCAAAATTTGAAAGTATTCCTCGGATATTATAGTTACAATGGAAGTACGTAAATGTTAGGAGAAAAAAGTTGTATTTATTCGAAAATTTATTTGACTAAAAAAAACTTCAATATGAAAGTTTTTACATATAAAAAAATAACGGAAAAACAAAATAAACACTGATTACTGATTTATTTAGTATATTATAAAACAAACTGAGGCCACTTGACAGACAAGAGGCAACAAATCAGAGGGTAGAGGGTTGGGAAGGGTAGATGAAAGTAGAACATTCCCAAAGAAACATAGATATTGAGACTGAATGGTTTTCTAGAAAAAGGAATGTGTCACAATATTGCAAAATTTTGAGGAGAAGGAGCATGAATCAAATTTTTACAGTCTCGTAAAATAAATCTAGAGCAGAGGGAATGATTCAGTTACTCATGAAGTTTTAATCTGTTTTATCTAAATGAATATTTAAAATGAGACATGTAATTTCAAAAACACACACTCAATTAATTGTGCGCTTGAATTAAAGAGCATGGAAGATTGGAAATTGAGTTCGATGGAAAGTGCGAATGGGATTTAGGCCAGACAAAGTAATTCTTTCCTAACGTAGTCAGCCAATGGTCAAGTCTTCTTTACAAATTAGACTTCCAAATCACTCAGGTATTGAGTGGACATGGTAAAAACAAGAAATCTGAACAGATTTAATATTTTACCCAGACGTTCACCACAAACTTGGGAAGAAATAATATTCCACTGTCCAAAATTTGAGAATCAGATTCCTTCTACTCTGTACTTGCATACTGCAGAACATCCTCTGGCCATTTTCTGACCTAACAATATTTGTGCAAAATAAAGACTTGTAAAAAGAACAAATACACTTTTTAAGAAATAATGATTTTCAAAACTTATTAAAAAAAAAAAAATTAAATAACTAACATTCCTCTGATTAAGATATAATATAAAAATGGAGCATGTATCAATGAACACCCTAGCATTAAGGTTACTCTCGCTGGAAAAGCCCACAGTAAACACATACAGATAAGCTTGTTACCACTGATTGCTAAGCTGTTAGAAGAATTAATGATGGGAAGAATCATGCACCACTTAAACTCAAATCGCCTCCTACAGAGTTGACAGTACGGCTTTAGATCCCAGATGTCAACAGTGGATACAAAAATGACTACTAATTTTATTAAGGAATACTTAAACATACAATGAGAAGAGCTGCTTGTATCTTTGGATGTTTTAATACTGCCTAGTGGCCCGGTATTCTCAGACTTCTAAGAGAAAAAAACTGACTTCGAAATTTTGAGAGAGGCTTCTTTGTAAACAGAAGGAGGAGAAAAACGTGGTTTGCTGATGAGAACGGGAAAGGAAGGATGGGAGATCCTCCACCCTCCAGACTGGGGTGTCTGCTACTTATTGTATACAACCTCAGCTCATTAGCTCCCATGAGTGCCCAACTAGGGCTCTTAAAAGGTAAAAAACACAAGGACGATATAACTTGATAATGGGTCCAGGGGCAGGTTAGTATGGATGTCACTGGTCCCGAAAGGTTAAACTTTTAAAACTGTTAATTGTTCAAGTTAACAGTTTACATGATACATAAAAATAGTTTTTCCTCGCACATTTTCCCTAACAAAGGTCGAGTTTGAAATCTCTGAAAATGATAAGAAAACTTTTTTTAATTATTCAAAATTAATCAATTTCAATCTAAGATCACTTTTTTGCTAGAGCGAATAAAATAATCCTGAAATAAAGTATATATTAATAAGTTATACTAATTCTAAGTAAGCACAAGAGTTGAAATATATTTAACTAAAATATTTGAAAATTCGCATAAAACTTGGCATAATGATTATTTGGAGATCGTGAGATGCGGTCTGGTGTGACGTAGGTTTTAGAAAAACATTTTCTTTATCGTGCCAATGCTTTGATCTTTACAATTAATTAAGGTTTTTAGTTGAGATGAAAAAAAGTTAATGGCACAAGAGGGATTCGAACCCATGATCTTCGGCTAGATACGCCGCTGCTCTATCGTGACCTCCATCCACTTGGACATCAACTCCCCATCTCAACCCCACCTTAAGAGTTTTCCCTCCTTTTTGCCATTTTTCAATGTTTTGATCTTTATTGAGATCATCTTCAGAGCCTGGGATTTACAAACGTTGTTTAAATTATACAAATACATGTAGGATGTGAAAAATGTGAATTTATATAATGTTAGACATTTTAGACTCAATCAAAGTATTTGTACTCACTCAAAGTGTTTGTTTTCTGTGTAGATGTATCATTATTGGGTTTCATGTTGAAAGTGCCAGTGAGATATTTACGTTTTATGTTTATATACGTTGGATTTTGAAGGGGTGGGGAAGGAAGTTGTGACAGAAAACATTTTTATGAGGACAAATACTTTGACTGTCTAAAATTTCTAACATTGTATAAATTCATTTTTTTCACATCTTACATGTATTTGTATAATTTAAACAATGTTTATAAATCCCAGACCCTGAAGATGATCTCAATGAAGATCAAAATGTTAGCCCGATAAAGAAAATGTTTTTCTAAAACCTACGTCACACCAGACCCATCTCACGATCGCCAAATAATCATTAACTAACAATCACTAAACACCACACACTTGGCATTATTTTGATTATTTCAATATAATAAAATCAACTCTTGTTATGGCCTGAAATAAAAGATTAAAACTTGGAAAAATAATTAATTAAACAAATGCATATATACAAGAAAATATTTCCATGAAAATTACAGATAACAATATTGAATTTTTCTATAAATTATAACAAATATGGAGGATTATTTATCAACAAACTGACATGGTCTTAAAATAAATAAATTTGCACAGTATTAATAAGTATTGCATTTTTTTATATTGGCGTTACAATATGATCATGCACATACCATACAAGTATCATATTTTCACCATGTGCCAATTTGTTGAAGGGTATCAATCATGATTTTTTTTAAAATGTTTAATTATAACATTAAATGAACCTGCACAATATACGGTAATTTCATGGAAGTAAAAGCAATTATAATAATGTCACAGTAAAAGGAGTAATAAATAAAACAATTCTTACCCCATTCCTTTCCTTGAATTTTGCTGCACGCCTTGATTTTGAGGAGGTGGAACAGGTTGTGGTGGCAAAGCCTTTGGAAATTTCAATTTGAATATAAAAAAACGATACCACAAATTATTATGAAAAAAAAGGTAATTTTTGAACTCACTTGAAATTGGCTTTGCTCTCCTTCAAACCTTCTCTTTTGTCCTTGTGGTTGCCTTTGGTTCACAACTTGGAGCTGTGCTTGCTGAGAGGCACCAGTCGTTGGAGGCCCAGATACTGCAGTAGAAACATGAAGTTGTCCACTAATATTTGACATACTTTGAGTAGTTGTCCCAATGTGATGCTGGACATGGGGAGGCGGTTGTGTTATAATCATCTGCTGAGGCTGTGGGGCAGCAAACTGAAGAGGGGTTTGCAGAGGCATGAGCAGTTGTTGCCCAATTACATTCCCTCCTTGACCAACAACAGGATGCTGAAGCTGTACCTAAGATTTGTTTTAGAATATCAATCCCCATAACTGAACAATAAAATATTAATTTACTTGGTGCATTTGAAGAGGCTGCTGTACTTGCTGAATCACATGTTGAATCTGCCCTGTTTGAGGATTTACAATCTGAACAATTTGAGGCAGAGATGCTTGTTGGGTGTTTGCTTGAGATGGAGGGGCTCGGATACTTCCAGCTGCTGGCCTCACACCCGCTGGCTGGCCATATTGAACAAGCATCAATTGCTGAGGTTGTCCAGAAACTGGCGTTCCATCTGGCCTGACAAGATTTGGATAGGCTACTACCATCTGGCCATTACTTGTTTGCATATACTTAAAAAAATATTTGAAAAGTTAGACAACTGATGCATACTATATGACAGAATAATGTATGCATACTTGAAGAGGGTATGAAGTATGAGCAATTATTTGAGGTTGCTGGGCAATAACAGAACCAGGTAATACAGGCTGTTGTTGTTGAGAAATTAATGCAGGCTGTTGTAACAGTGCTCCTTGACCACTTACAAACACCTAAAATTCATTAAAAAATCAACTCAATATAGAGTTTCTTCTTCTCAATATATTCTTGTCATAGATCCAAACAATAACAATATTATACTTCAACAAATTGGGTGCCTTGTATAAGTTTGAAATTACTTGTTGTGCTTGAGATTGAAGTTGAAAAGAATGCGGTGGCTGCTGAGCTGGAGACGAGCCCTGAGACGATGGTACTTCCTGAGACACATTCATTCCTGGTTGATGGGCCTGGACTAATCCTCCGATATTAGGTAAACAAGGAGTTGGAGTGTTTTGTTGCCCGTTACTTTGAGAAACATTAACCTAAAATCATTATTAACAGCTACAACCTAATTTTGATATGCAATTAGATATATATTTCCATGGTAGGCATTGGAAAGCACAGGTTTTTCACCTCAAATTTCAATTATTAATGATCTTACTTGAATTTGTTGTTGTTGTGGGATGTGGATAGTTGGTGGTGGAACTGCTATCGTAGGTGGTGGAACTGACACCATTTGACCAACCGTTTGCTGTGTAAAAACTGGTAAAGCAACTGGTGCTAAATTCCCTGTGTTATTGACTATCTCTGAGTGAGGAGGGTTGTTTCCTGTACTTGTGTTGACAACTGCAACAAACCCGGTGAGAGATGTGAGTTATGAGGATGATTTCCAATATGAAAGATCTTACTTTGAGATGGATGTATCTGAAGAGGGATTTGCTGTTGAGGCGGTGGTTGCTGGGGTTGCGGATGTTGCTGTTGTGGTTCGTGGTGCTGGTGTTGGATATTCGCCCACTCCTGCTGTACTGTTTCAATAAGATTGAAGGCTAGTTGTCTGCCAGCTTGCAACACTTCATATTTCGAATGCCTAATTTAAAAATAACTAAATAATAGTGTACTGCATTTCTGTATAATTAAGTGTTAAAATTTTTGTGTTAGAAGTTAAGGAATAATTGATTTCAAACCAGTTAATTTCTATGGTAAGTGGAATTTCTTATGCTGATAAACATTACAATGCTTCTATATTTGAAATATGCTCAGTACTGATTAAATTACTTGTCCATCATGTTAAAATAGCCAAATTTAAACAGCAGCGATGCTGTAACATTTTGACGGCAAGAAAGAAATAATAGCTTTTTCTACCTATTATCTTGTACCTTGAAACTACCATTGTGGATTTACTTAATGATATTATGGTCTCTACCGCTCAACTGATTATTTTTCTATAGAAGAAAAAATAATGGCCGTTTCAAAGGGAAGTAAAAATTGAATCCATTCAAATGATTTTCATTTATGGGAATAAGCCAACTGCACTTTATGGAAACCTGGAACTGGCAGTACTTATTTGCTTTTGATTTAAAGTACTCTTCTATTGAGTATATAAAGTTTTCCTCTTAATGAAATGGTTCATTGCATAGAATGTATGACAGGTAGAAACTCAATATTTTTTAGAAAATTGGAAGTGTGCGGCCAGCTTTATATTAACATTATTCACCAAAGCCAGGTGTTGTCTCTCTAAAACCTATCAGTAATGTTTTTCTTGGTTGGGAAAAATGTAGTCTTAGGCTGCACTCACACTGGAACCAGTGTCTTTCCCGACTGCGACTACAACTTACTCATCCGATTCTCACAATGGAACAGACTCACCAAAGCTGTTTATCTGTCAGTAGTGGTTGTTCCATTTTGGTTGGCATTCATGTTAATGTTTTTTGAACTTTTAGGTTACTTTAGATATTTCAAAAGCAATTTCATGAATTAAAAGAATTACTTTTTCTTTTGTCCATGGCTACACACGAAAAACCCTAACAATCTGCAAAAAGTGCAAATTTGCTTGAAAATGGGTGAATGGTCGAAACACATGTCCACAACTATTGTGCCTCTTTGGTTCATCAGAAATATAGCAAATGGTTGTGGAAAGAGCACAGATCCAAAATAGTTTCAATTTTTATTGCAAACTGGTGCGAAAGGGTCCTCTTGGCCCTCTATAAAAGCATGGACTATAAAAATTCTCGTCCAGGAAAGGATATTATTATGGGACTCAACAGGAAATTAATTACTACTTAGTGAAAACATTTTTTTTTTGTAAGTGCACTTTTCCAAAAATAAATATATTTAAAAAAAAATTTGTATTGAGTTCTGTAAGTTTTGTAAAATGATTATTTAGGCTTCAATGCAATGAAAATTCTATTCTTTTTGGAGTGACGCTGGACACAAAAAATTCCAGCTTGGTGGGATTAGTCCCAGGTCAAAACAAAATGGACGGTTATGCACGGTCGGTTCCAGTGTGAGAGGGTTGGTTACATTCCCTAAGTGAGGAATGTTCGTGCGAAGTTGGGTGTGTAAGGTAGACAATTCCAGTGTGAGAGCAGCCTTACTGAAAGAAAATTTGACCTTGGTCTATCCACACCATCTCAATAAGTAAATTCAATGAATTCCTTCAACGAAACACACTTCCTTGCAATGTTAATTCAACTTGCTGAGAAATAAGCTCAAGTGGAAAACTACTTCGTTTGACTGTCAAGTACATTTTGTAGTATCATCATCAACAGTCTTATAGACAATGTTGCATACAGAAGTCATCCCAAATATTGCAGATTTGTATAATTTCTTTCAAATTGTTCACACCACTTCCGCCTAGTTGAAACATTAAGTTTCATACTCAAATTTACATTCATCAACGACTGAAAATTTTCTTCTCCAATAGTGTCGCAAGTGGATTAAAAATAATAACATAATAGCAAAATTGAAAAACGGCCATTTTCCAAATTTTTAATCACCCGTATATAACATTTTTGCCAGAATAAAAACTTACTCAACACATATATGAAGCGGTTCAATTGATTCTTGCCCCGACGCTTCAATGTAACCAGAACCTTTACCCCTGATCGTTACAATCGCACCAGTTTCATTGGTAATGTACTGAAGGTTGGCCCCTCCCGGTCCGACGACTTTTCCTCGCACATCGAAACTTGGTGGCGCATGTTCCAGTCCGATAAGAACTTTTTCCTGTTAATAAAATAGACATTTTATTTAGTTTGCTACGACGCTGTAAACAAAAGCTCTCCGTTTAAAAATCATTTGATTGGTGATCTGAGCATAAATCTAATATTTTATTTTACATATGGCTCGCAGTAAATTTTTAACAAAGCAGCAAGAGATAGCTAAAAATTGTAAAAACTTGTAATATATGTTTACCAAACAAAAGACTTGTCTTTTTTTTAAATAAGTAATTGTAATTTTTCTTGTAGCTTTTGGAGCCTCTGGACTCACAAAGTCAATATATAATTATGACAATGTATAAATGAATAATGTACAAATATTAAAGTCCAAAATATTTGTGTACATAGCCAACTAAAATTTGTATAGGATTTCCTGCTTACTCTGAACTTTGGAGGATCCATTCGCATTGGTGTTTGATGTTTTTTTAAAGCAAAAGTCTTATAAAACTATAAAAGAATACTCTGAAGATTTATTGGAAGGATCAAAACAAAAACCTCGAAGTCAGAGGTGTACAATTTTGCCGCTCCTTTCTAAATTCAACACTAAAACAAATAAGCTTAGGGCCAAAACAAAAAAAAAATTGGAAATTAAAATTTAGCAAGAATTTAAGCTGACCTCGCGGGATTTTAAGGATAAATAAAGTTTAAAAAAATGGGTAAACAGCGAGTCCAGTGTAAACAGTGAAAAACGGTTCCTTGGGCGCTATGGAAGAAGGGAAAATAACAGAAGCGAACAGTCAACAACTGCCCATACCAAGCTCGCGTCGATGCATCCCATTGAATACTCGATGTTCGCTGACACTAAATCGAATCAACAAATTTAAAAAAAATTGTATATTAAAAATGAAATTTTCAATCCAAAACTAATTAATTTCCGAAATAGGTATGTAAAAAAATAAACGGAATTGTAAAAAAATCTAAAACATTGAACAGAAAAAAAGTGTTCAACAGCTATAACCAACCCAAAGCTATCCGTTTAGTTAGTAGTTTAAATTGTATTTTTCGTGAGATTTAGAATGTAAGGTGTTTAGAATTATTTACCAAAATTTCAAATGTTGTGTAAGTTTTCTTAAAAACTAGTTTTAATTATATATATTTTATCGATAGCTTATCGAAGAAAATTTCAAGGAACCTTTTATTGCCGCCTAAGTTTCAAACAGGCTGTACTCTTTAGGATTCGTTCATTTTCATCCAGAAATGCTATCAGCACATTGCAAAAAAAGGTCTTTTTTATTAATAAAAAAAAGTAATACAAATAACATAAAATACATATACACACCTGTTCTGACATTCTATCTGTGTCTTTCTCCCAACAGACAGAAAGACACAACACACACACACACACACACACACACAAATCGACTAAAGAACGGCGCAAATACTGACCGGACCTGGAAGTATAGCGGAATACGTACACCAACTTTAGATCATCAACATCCCTACCTGTACATGTAGAAACTACTGCAGACAGTGGACCACTTGCTGATGGAGTGCGATGGTGTCCAACAGGCCAGGTTCCCATTGGTGCAACGCATGGGGATGCCTGGACTGTGATGGCCTTAGGAAAAAACTAGTTTTTGAAGGAGTATAAATCAACTTTTTACAGACTCATAATAGAAATATTTGTTCATCTAGAGCAGAGGGATTGTTTCAGTTACTCATGAAGTTTTAATGTGTTTTGCCTAAATGTAAATTTAAAATGAGAAATTTCATGTAATGCTGTAAATTTCATGTAATGCTGTAAAATGCATGATGTATGATAAAAACAAAACAAAAATACAATTAATTGTGTGCTTGAATAAAGAGCATTGAAGGTTGGGAATCTAACCTGCACCGCAGAACATCTCCTGGTCATTTTCCGACTTAACAAAATTTGTGCAAAATAAAGACTTGTAGAAAGAACGATTACACTTTTTGAGGAATATTGATTTTCAAGACTTATTTGAAAAAAAAAGCTTAAACAAACACACAGCACACACACATCATGAAGTTTTATATTAAAGAATACGTAAATTAAATTTAAAACTTGAATTTATTGATATTTGATAATTTAGAAAGAAAAACGCAAAGTAAAATGAATGTCCAACGTGCTCCAAATGTCAGTGCACATAAAAGACGTGAGAGAAAGACAGGGAAAATAATGTTTTTTCAAACAAGTAAGTTCATGTTTATTATTTATTATTACTATTTTGTTGTTGTTTATTGTGTTTATTGTTCGTTAATTGTTTTCAATAAATGATCATCAGTTCGACATGGAGACCGACAATGGAACGGCGATAAAAACCCTCCAGTGCATTGGAAATCGCGTACAAATGATTGCGACATACCAGAAATTGAATATCCCATGAACTTGAACAATATTTGTGCAGTATCAAATATAGGGGAAGCCGTCAATCAGATGAGAGATTCTAAACAATACCATAGTCACCAAAGTTATCAACCACAGACCTCCTCACCTGAACTGACACTAGACAATTCTAGTTCCAACAACGTAAGAAAAATGTCAGGAAGTCGTCTGTCACAAGATCTTTCTGACAATGATAATTGCAAAGAATATATGACACCGGTTAAAAAAATTAAATCTACCACAACATCTGAAAGTCTATCACAAATTGATGTACTATTCTATGATATCCTTGAAGTCATTGATTATTAAGTGATTAAAAATTGTGCTTTTTATTAATTTTTCTGTTCTAGTCTACTTCGATTACAAATGACAGTGATGAGCTTAATGGCGTGAACAATTTTGATTTTTTTAATCTTGGCCAATTAAATGAAAATTCTATCAACTCAAGACCTTCATTGGTGCAAACTTCTGAAAGGACCTTAACAAGTGTGCACGAGCGTAAACACTTTTCAAATTTACCGACCGTTCAACTTTCACCACTTTTGTTCAATGCTCAACATGACATGGAAAAAATTGCTGAAAAATACCCTTCCCGTGCTTCCAATTTTTCAAATGATGGATTTGTAAGTAATATAAATAGTAAACCCGATTCTAAAGGAACTGGGATAAGTACATCGAATGTTCAGCAAAATAGATTTTATGGGTATAAAGAGCCATTTTCCACTTTAGAAGTTCCGAATCAATTAAGCCAAGATTTTCTCCCTGATATAATGTCAAAATTGCCAATTTCGGATTACAGGCCATGTTCTGAGCAACCTAATTTTGAATTCTTTCAAGATTTTATACATAAACCAAGTTTTGATTCTAAAAATTTCAAAATTTCTGACACCATGACCTCAAGAAATTTTTCTCAAGTGCTCAATGAAAGGAATTCTAGTAGCACAATTGATTCAGACAGGGAAACCCCTTCTAATGTCACTTCACACTCAAATCCATCTTTCATGAAGGAATTTTGTTCTTTAAAAAATCAAGTCTCGTCTTCATCAAAAAATACAAGTGGAAATAATTTTTTTTTAACGGAATCATATTCCGGTAACAAACGAAATAACGAAAACACTAGCTTCTTCAAGACTCCTACAGTATCATCAAATAAAACAACCAGTTATGATGAGCTTTTCAACAATGCAGTAATCACAAGACAGCTTCCTCGGCTTGAGACTCCACTCTATCAAATGAGATCAGAGTATTTATTTATAAATGCAATGCATATAAACATTATAACAAGAAAATATGTTTGAAAGTGTTCTTTCTATTTTAAAGATCTGCAACACCAAGATCAAAGACTTCTTCAGTTAAGTCTAAATCAAATACAAAAACATCAAAAGTTGGAAGCAGTAGTGAAGGAAGTTTTGTTGTAGTTGGTAAAGTTTATTTTAACTTCAACATAGATACAGTTAGTTTATAAATTAAACAAACTGTTTTATACAAATGCTACATGTATGTTTTTTCTCTCCAATTTTAGCTGTTACAGAAGGGCGTGGTTGTGCAATGGGGGAAATAGGGATTGCTTCGATTGATTTAAAAAACCCTGTGCTAACATTGTGCCAGTTAAGCGACTGTCAGACATACTCAAAAACATTGACAAAACTTCATATATACAATCCAGCTGAGGTAGTGACTAAACCTAATTTGGTACCGGTGAATTTTGTTGTTTATTGTATCATTGTCATACAGCTAGTTATTCCTGACACTTTCGATGGTGCGAACAATGCATCAGATTTGTTCAAGAGGCTATCAACCTATTTCAGCACTACCCGATTAGTTAAAGTCAAAAGACAATATTTTTCTGGTGACTTGGGCATTGAAACACTAAGATCATTATGCCTTGCTGAGTATTCATCGGTAGAACTAATTACCATTCGAAAGTAATTTAATAATATTAATTTTAAATTTAGATTCATTTAAGATTAATTTAAATTAATTATATTTTAGGTTTTATGCTCTAGCAGCACTATCGGCATTGATAAAATATGTTGAATATGAACACAACCTCTTTTTCTCTAACAATTCAATTAAAATTGTTTATGAATGTGCTTCTGGGACAGTTTCAATAGGTAATTCATTTTAATTTTATTTTTATAAAACATTTTGTTCAGATAAAAAACAACTATAGGTAAAATAATTTTAAAACTTCTATGTTATGAAATAATAGCTTTAATATAAATTGTTTCATGCCTTTTATACATAGTAAGAAGTAGTTGAATAGAATAGGAGATGAAGAAGGGTTAAAGTTTTTGTTTTAGTACTTTTTCAGAAAACTAAGCGCATAAAAATGTGCTAACATAAAGTTGTTTGCAAAACCTAATTTTTATTTGATTAAATTCAGTCTTAATTTAAATTAGCGAGAATGGGCAGACCATGAGGATCAAATATAAGTTGTATAAGATAAGTTATCGGTTCATCGACTCAAATGCCTCACCACAACTTTTACATTAATCCATAATCATTACATAACATTTATGCCTGTTTTTCTGATTTCTTTAAGATCTTGAAACAGCAAAGAGACTAGAGCTTGTTATTACTCAAACAGAAACGGTTTACCCTGAGAAGTATAGTTTATTGGGAACATTAAACAATACGGTGACATTAGGAGGAAAAAGAAGGTTGAGATCAGAAATTTTACAGCCATTTTCTTCTCTTGAAATCATCGAAGGCCGGCTAAATGTTGTGTGTTATCTTGTTAATGATAGACCATTTCTTAGTTCTCTTCAAGTAATTATTGATTAAACATTCAAAGATAACTATGAAAATAATTTTATTTATAATTATAATTTTATTAGGCCGTACTTGAAAAATTTTCCAATGTTGAACGCCTATTATGGCTCTGTAATAAACAACCAAATTTTAAACAAGAAGAAAAAACTAGTGAAATACTCACGGGTTATATTTTAAATTTGAAGAACACATTGGAAAACATTCCAATGTTGAGAGATTTGTTGAGCGATGGCCAGGAAAAATTTTTCATCAAAATGCGTGATGTGTGTACTTGAAATATACATTGCATCTGTTGATTTATTACCTCGATTTTATTTGAAGATGCTTTGTGACAAACGACTTGATAAAATGAAATCTCTGGTACAAAATACTATTCATCAAGACGCAAAACCTGCAAAGGGATACCAAGCTAGTGAGATGAATCGGTGCTTTTCAATAAAAGACAATATCAACGGTTTACTGGATGTAGCAAGATCAACATATTCTAAACTTATTAATGAGGTTCAAGGTAGTATTGTATAAATTAAAAACTGTGAATTCCCACTAATACACTAATTTAAAGCTATTATTGATGAATTGGCATCCAAATATCATCTCCCTCTAAAGATGTGTCAAACAGCCGATTTTGGATTCCATGCACAGCTAAATATCCCAAAGCAAGATGTTGTAGTAAACTTGGATATACCAGAAATATTCACTGATGTAAGAGAGAAAAAAAATCACAAATCAACATTATTTGCCCACTACATTTTCTCCATACTTTATTTAAGTGTATAGTTTTATTTTATTTATAACAAATTGTGATTAATTTAGTATGTTAATTTGTTTACATGTACAAATATTTAATCACTGTTAATACTCTTTTAAGGTGAAGAGAAAGGGTCAAACACTTCATCTTTCGACAGATGAAATCTTTAGTTACAATGTTAGAATGAGGAGAGTGGTTCAAGAAATTCAAATTATTAGCAATATGTATGCATTTCGTGTGCTTAACACGATGAATGTTGTAAACAGTTTCTGTCCTAGTGTTTTAAACCAACTGGTCGAAGACTTAAGGCCGATGGTTGGATGTCTGTATATTCTCTGTGAGAACATAGCAGAGCTTGATGTTGTATGTTGTTTGGCGAAAATAAGCTCTTCAAATGATTATACACGACCAATTTTTGGAGATGTTATTGATGTCAAAGGCGGGAGACATCCAATCCTTGATTTTCATCAACCGAATAAACCAATTCCTAATGATATAGTAATGTCTAACATTGAATTTATTAATGTTGTAAACAAAGAAAAACTGATTATTTTATAGTTTGTCTCGCCGAACAACAATTTCAACATAATCACTGCACCAAACATGGGCGGTAAAACTGTATACGTCTTACAAGTTGCAATGCTACAAATAATTGCCCAAGTATGAAAATAAGACATATTACAGTTTAAAATTATTAATTATTTTTTTGCATTGAATTTTAGATAGGATGCTTTGTACCTGCAGATAGTGCATGTTTCAGATTAACAAATCATATCTATGTTCGTAAAGGTGGCTGGGATAGTATCGAATGCCGGGCTTCTACTTTTACAGTTGAGGTAAGTTGAATGATATTAAAAAAATTAATGTGTGAAAAGGAAAGTCCTTTTGTAAAAAAAATTAAACAATTAAACAAGGAGTGGGCCTCTTTTCAGCCTGCACACCATGACCAGAATTGGTTTATTGTGCATCTCTATTCCAGAGCCTCTCATTAAGCTTAAGACTTTTTACCAGATCCCAAAACTTTTTCAATGACTCCTGTGTGTATCAGGCCCATTCAGGTCCAAGTACCTCTTCCCAGAGTAGGAATCTCAGTCTACATAAGCCTTCGCAAATGTTCCGCTGTCTCTTCTTTTTCCTGGCACTATCTGTACAGGCTTTTTTCCATTCCCATTGAACAGAGGATTCCATTGGATTTTAATCCACATTTTTGCCAGTTAGGTATGCGACAAAAGTGTTCAGAGCCAATAGGGGTCCTCATCGAATTTTCTTCAGCCAATCTTTGACGCCCATCTGCCCTGTATGTCTTAGTACCCAGATAAGGGTAATTGTATTGTTTTCCAGAATCCCTGACAGGGATCTAGTACAATCACAAACAACTCTATTCTTTATTACCGATATGGTAATTGTCCTCAGAGCCACCCGGCCTTTTTATCTCCCTGGCGCAGATTCAATGGTCACAGTCTCTGCTTGAAAGACAAGTGGTTATATTAATTCTAGTTCTTGATTTATTTCCATAAATACCAGCTCCTGACTCATGTCCGGTTTTGGAACCCATATACCTGGCATTAACTGGATCCCTTTCTCTCAGACTGCTTTACCAAATATTTAAATTTGAGATTTTTTTCTCAAATCTTAATTTAGAGGTCATGGCATTCTCAGAGCCCTGTCTGCCTGAAGCTTAGTTGCTCTTTGTTATCCTCTCCACAGATAAAAATATATAGTTACACTTTTTGTAACAAGTAATGATTTTCAGATTAAGGAGTTGGCTTATGTAATAAATACATTGTCTGATTCAAGCTTGATTGTTATAGATGAACTTTGTACAGGTAAATTACTTTCTTGGGAGATGATGTACCAGTAGCTTCATCTTTCTGATCTATTTTTTTTCAAGCACAATAAAAGATTAATTGTTTTCTAATTTATAGGGACTAACTTTGAAGGAGGAACTGCAATATCGTGGGGAATTTGTGAAGAGCTTCTCAAAAGACCAGTTTTTACGTTTTTAACAACACATTTTCATTATCTGACAAACTTAGAACGAGTTTTTATGAATGTTACTAAGTAAAGAAATAAAGAATAATTTATTTGAAAATATAATTTATTAAGAGAAATAGTATTTAGAGAATACATTTATTTTCATGATACATATAAATAATGTATTTTTATCAAACATTAATTTAAATGCATATTTATTTAATCACTAAAAATATGAACTATGTCAGATTGTTTAATATTACCATTTATTATCTGTTTTTATTTTGTACACATTAAATACAAAAATGCATATTAATGGTCTATAATAATCAAACTTCTGACATTAAATGTTTATAAATTGAGCTTTTCTTTTCTAAAATGAGGTTTTAGTAGTAAGGAGTTGTGCGTACATTTTCCTTTTTATAATATTGAGCTATATTTTTTATTATCTAGTTATCATTTGGAAGCTATAGATCCAGGAGAGAACAGCCCACTTATATTCACATTCCGACTTCAAAAAGGAGTAACAAACATTACAAACTATGGCTTGAAAGTCATGCTAACGACGTCTTTGCCAAAAACCTTCAAAGAAAATGCTTTAAAAACTGTTGAGAATATATGCCGAAAAAGGGCTATGACTCTTGCTGTTTCTAAGCCTGTAAGTGATAATACAATTTGGCCAGATATTATATTATATTAAATGTTATAACGAGATTAAAATTTTTAGATTTCACCTGACACATTGAGAACTATCGTTATTATAGATAAATTAGAAGAGTTCATACAGGATCTATATGCACTGAGTAAATCTGACCATTTCACTCTGGGTAATGTAGAGAAACTTCAATTGAAGGTGAAAGAAGAAATAGTACAGCTTTCAAAAGACGACCCAACAAAAAATGAATGACGAATAAGTAGCAATATTGTAGATAGATCAATTTAAAACTAATGGTATGTCTTTGACTTAAAAATTAAAATTAAGTTTTTCAACAACTTTTACTGTAACGATTATAGTTTCAAACAATTGTTCATTCCATGTAAAATTAATACACAAATAATTTGTTATGTAAAAATTAACAATAAAATAACATAATAAGTAGAATTATTAATTTAATTCATCGATAAGTTCTTTAAAATCTGTCACAAACCATTCAGATTTTTGTTTAACTTCTTCTCTCACGACATTTCCTCCATAACCTTAAACAAAATGTAATTAAGACATAAGATTATAATTATTATTAAATAATCTTATTAATTAATAATATTATTAATTAATATTTGTGTAATAATGAAATATGTAAGCTTTCCCTTAATACAATTATTGTTGGTGACTATACTTCATTTTTGATCTTTTAATTGTAATTGTTGTTTGTTAATTTTATATAAACTAAGTATATAATAAAGTATTGTATTCTTGCAAATAAAAAAAATTAATTTTTGGTTAAAAATATTACATAAAAATTTAAGTTGTAAACTTCAAAAAGTCATAATGTATGTGTTTCACAAAATACAATTCTTTCGCTAATAATAAAACCTGTTTAATTGTTTCATAAATATAATTACCGATAAATGCGTCTGCAGGAGGGCAGGCTTCAGCATCAGTTGCACCATCACCTATCATAACAAGATTTGTGTAGGCATATTTATTTTTTAAGTAGTTGATTACTTTTGCTTTTCCGCCGTTACTGCTTGTTGGTTCATTTTCATCAAATCCGGCAAATTCGCCTGAATAACAATTTTTTTGAGTCCATAAAATAAATATGTCTTAATATTAGTTTTACCATTGAAGAAAAATTTCATTTTATTTGCGAAAACATTCTCTAGAGGAATATTCAACTGAAGAGCAACTGGGCTTATAATGCTTCTGAAACCGCCGGAGATGAGATAAACGGGAACACCTTTTCTATGAAGGACATTAACTAAGCTTCTGTAATAATTGAGTAAAATTTAAAAAAATTGTTCATAATTTTCATAAACATTTATCTAACTTCAAATTTGGAGAGAGTGTCGGTGGGTGTGTTCTAATAAAGTCTTGAATTGTACTCATACTTGGCCTTATAATGTTCAGTCTCATTGAAAGGGAGTCCCTAAAACTCATTGATCCGCCCATAGCTTTCTTTGTCCTGAAATACACATAAATGTAGAGACACCAGTACTAACATAATTGGTTGTTGTTACTGACAGTTCTTTGACTTCAGTACTTTTCCCACAAAACTTGGCCAGTTCATCTATACCCTCTTCTCTGATCACGGTCGAGTCAACGTCAAAACAAACTGCGTCAGCCCTTTGCCACACTGTTTTCATGCTTTCACTCATATTTTCCAATATATTAAGTCAACTATTATATTTACCTGCAATCAAAATTTAAAACCATTGAAGTTTCCGAACTAAAAAATGGAGAGAAAAATTATAATAATTAATAATTAAAAGCAACTATGACCTTAATATTTTGCATAAAATGGCTGACAGAAAGTTATTATTTTTGCCTATATCTGGTAATGTCCAACAAATTGCTGTCTCCCTTAGACAATCTGACTAAACAATATAATATTTTTTCCCCAAAATATCTCTTAATAGGATAACCCATGCTTTTAAATGAGTGGAACATATAACTGTGGGTAAGAAAAAAAATAAATGCGTGAGTAGATAATCAAATAATAATCAATTACATTCAATCGTTTGAGAAGTGGGGTAAGTTTAATGGGATGTCAGTATTATCATATTATTGATTAGCTCTTAAATTTTTTCTGTTTAAATCTCCATTACTTACCCATTTATTTAACTGTTTCGATTCATAAGTATTTAGTACAATTATGCTGTTTAAATATAAAATGAAGTAATGAAAGAAACATAATGTTACTGTAGTACACATAAAACAATTCCAATCAAACCTAGTGATGCTGATTGACAGAACACTAAATTTCTTAGTTATTATATATACAACTTAACAAAGAAAATCCATATTGGAACAGTGTAAACTGGTCTAAAAACCAAAGTGTGTTTATTACTGCAGTTTGGCCTTTCTGATCATTTTGATCTGCATATCCTCATGGTTTTGCTCTGTGTTGAGTTGTTGCATCTTCTTGCCATCTTAAAAGACATAAAGACCCAGCATGGAAGTTGACAAGCTGAAACGCACCTGACAGACCCAAATGATCAGAAGCAATCAAATTACAGGTTCACCTCCATGCAGAACTCATGTGGAAATATCACATTCATTACTAAAAAAATCACACATGCGTTTTGTTGTTAGTCAGAAGCTGAGCTAGTCTGACATATTAAAATGATCAGAAACAACCTAACCACAGGTTCAATATAATAAGAAAATAAGTCGTGTGCTATATTTTGTATGATGTAATATTCATGTAGTATCTATATGAAGGTAGCACTTTGAGACGTTTCCCTTGTTTAGTACTCAAGCCCGTCATACTTTTAAAACTCAACTATTGTTTTCTCAAACTTACAATGTCATCTGTGGGGTGATGAACCTATAATTTGGTTGTTATTAATCATTTTGGTCTATTTATTCTTGTTGGGTTTGTCTGTCAGACACATTATGGCATTTCGCTATCTTCAGTGTTGGGTCTGTGAATGTTTGAAAATGGCAAGAAGCTAAAGCTTATCTGAGATATCAAAATGATCGGAAACAGGTTCAGAATATATAAAACATTGTGTGCTATATTTTGGATGATGCAATATTCATGAAGGATCTATTTGAAAATAGTGCTTTATGACGATGATTCTTTTGTTTAGAACTAAAACCCATCTTACTTTTAAAATTCAATAATTTTTTTCTCAAACTTACAATGCTGTCTGTGGGTTGATGAACCTTTAATTTGGTTGTTATCAATTATTTTGGCCTGTGTATCCTTGTTGGGTTGGTCTGACAGACCAAAATAATCAGGAATGACCAAATCAAATGCAATTGTGCACTTAAGAAAATAATCAAGTACTGTTGAATTTTTTTCAGTTCATAGAACTTCGCAGAGGACCACAGTTTGTCCAGAAAATTTACAGATCTTCAAATAGAAGCCAGCTGTTCTATATTAAGGGTGACTTACTACTTAAGTACTAATAATTTAAATATGGAGTTACTTACAAAATTCAATACCAGATTTCAAAGGTGTTTGTTGTAGAACCTTTTTGGTCTGTAATAAAAAAAACCCTCCGATAATAATTATGCAATAAACGTTCAAGGATAAAAAGAGTTACATGTAAAACCGTCGAGGTCAACTCAAAACTCATTGAATGACAGTTGTTGACAACTTACCAAGAAGCAGTTGTTACAAGCAATTAATGTCCAGTTCTTTTATTAAACCAAACCGGTGCATTAAAATCGTATTTTTGAAACACACTTCTTAAGCATTTTTAATTTATACATTAAACGTCAACTGGGGGTACAATCAATGGATTGATAAAGATTTCGAGTATATTTTGAAAGGATAAAAAAAACTTGCTATCAATTGCATAACGAACCGGGTGCGATTAACATCGGTTCGTTATTCAACTTGAGACCATACCAGGCACCTTTACAGAATTGACGGACAAACGACCGTGAAATACTTCCAATCTAAAAAACGGGCTTTACTCCATCTGACGCTCATGTTTACGACAAAGCAAAATCACAAATTGAATTGATAAAGTTTTTTACTGGCTTCCAGCTGTAAAGTTCACTGAGGCTTTATAGGTATATAAAAAGAGGGCGTGGTGTCTTGTTACCTGGGCCGCCTTTTATAATGCCATTCGAATTTGGTTTACTCCACTATATCATGTTGACGTAGATACTCATTAGACCACTTTTCCTTGTAAATAAATGCGCAAATCGGACTTATTTAATATTTCTCATAGAAATGGACAAATTTAACGCACCACTCAATCTCAAGTTTAAAATTAAATCCATTAGCTTTATACATCAGTTACATCTAATTAGGACTTATTGTAGTCAAAATAAACCGTAAATAATGCATTTTTTACTTCATTCTCCATTACCATCCTCCACAACAACATTAAATACCATTTGTAAAAAAGTTAATCTCCACTAAATTTTCCACAAAAAACTCTCCATCTACCCCAGCCAATTGGTCCATTACAAGTCCACTATAATCCAATCTGATGGCTAAAGCAAAGATGGTCCCAGAACGGTAGAGGAGCAAAGTTGGGAGAACAACAAAGGTTGTTAACTCCCCTTGAGGATATACTGCCTCAATGATTTTTGTAAATATGTATAAAAAAAATTACATAATGTTAATACATAAATGATAAGAAAAAATAATAAACAATTATTTGAAAACTCAAATATATGTACTTGGTGTTGTAGAATGTTCCAAACACAAAATAAACCACAATATGAATTTAAAATATAAATTTTTAACAATAATAACAGAGCTAACTTAAGATTTTATTATTTTGTCTGTATGAGATTAATTTATTTATATAAAAAATTATTGTATAAATTGTTGATTTGAGAAGTGTTCAAACATTTTATATGTTGCTACTTATTCTGCAAAATATAAAAACCAAAGTTTACTCTTCATACACTATTCTCCCGTTTATGTAAAGGCAAATAGGTTTGTTTCCATTATAATACGTATATATAAAATAAATGCGTAAAGTAATAATATAAATGTGTGCCGTGTAATATTTCAGTAGTGAAAACATTAGTTTAATTTTAAATAACTGTTTTTATAACACAAGTTTGTTTTAATGGTTTTGATGTTTCTCAGAAAAACCATAATCTACAGATTAAGATGACCCTTCTAAAAGTAATTAAATTCTGACTTCAATGACTGTTTTCAGTAATTTCATAAGCTGGAATAATATGGGATACATTAAGATGAAAAACCATTTAAAACTAAAATCATTGTACAGACAAGCCAAAAGGAAACTTTTTTAGAGTGAATGGCTGCTATTTTTTTTTTTTTTTAGTATGAGTTTTCATTCATATTCATAGGCTCATTTGCACATACATGTGTGTGTGTGTGTGTGTGTGTGTGTGTGTTTGTTTGTTTGTTTGACAATAAATGTTTTGACATTTTTCATCATCAGCAGGTAGTCTGTACATACATCACCATTTTACAGTCTTTACCACAACATTTAACAATAATAACTTGTACATTGCTAATTCTTACTACAATTTTTTTCTAATTTGTTAATAGAATATCATGTTAAAGATGCTCAGATAAGTAGAATAGTACTGGGCAGACCTATTTGAAAATTGAGGCAATCAATCCAATAAGTGGTCATTTAGTCCACTTGAGTACACAACTTTTAGAAATTATTTTACTCCTGACAGGAAAATAAAAAATGTATCAAAAGAATATTAAAATAAGCAATCAAGGCATTATATTGCCATCTCACTTAATTCAGAGTAAACACAAATGAGGATAAAAGGCAACTTGTTGTCATTTTCAGCATTCTTCTTGTCTGTTCAATTGAAATGGCGACATCAGTTTTATTAACGTTTTTCATTATCTTGCATTCTAACTTATTTACTTGTCATAATATCAATCCTTTAATCATTCGAGAATATTTCAAAATTAAGTCTATCAATAGGATAACGGTCTTATCTTGTGTAAACGTCAGTAAGTAGAAAATTTTAAATAGTAAGAAATTCAGGTATTAATATATATTTATACAATTATAGTAGAAGGAACAAAAGTATGGAAGTATTTGCAGCCAGAGGGGTTTATGTTGTCTTTCAATCCAAATACCCTCATTGAAAGTAATTTGCAAAGAGAAGGTGCTGTCATTGATTTATCTTGTCCAGATCAAAAATCTATTATTATGAAGGTAAACAAAAATGAAAAGTTAAAAAAAAGAAAGAAATATGGATGCAATATTTAATCTAAGCATATTTGAATCAATCAACAAATAAAAACATTATTTCTGACATGCAAATAGCATTTCTCTACATTTTAATGGAAACAGCATTTTTTAAACATGAGTGCATTTTCATCATTGATGTGCAAATTCAACTTCAAACAAATGACTTTATTTTCATATCTGTTAAAGAAAATATATTATTTCTGATAATCTAAACCTCATGAAAGCCATGGATCATGGTTCATCATTTATACAATTATGGATGATAATGAGAATCATTTTTGAATTTCAGGAAGCAATATATGATTCTTTAATAGATCTGTGGGGTCTATATTCTCATTCCATGCTATTTTATACATTTCCCACCACCTCTCTATGATTTCTCCTGTCACCTGCTAGCCAACCAATATGAACTCAATCCCCGACCTTATAGATTTCTTCATCCTAAAAAACTTCAGTTCAATATCCACCCTCCATGATATTTTTTCCAGCAATAGTCTTATTCTCCTAACTTTATCCTTTCATCTGATCCCAAAACAAATTCCAGAAACCATAATTAATGGCACTATAGATTGGGATGCCTTCTGCACCCATCTCAAAAAGTTCATTGACCTCAATATCTCCTTACAAACCCCCAGAAGAACTCGACAAGTCTGTGAATTCCTTTTCTCCTGCCATTTGTCAAGCAGTCTCAAGTGCACACCTTGCCAGTTCTTCCAAGACCCCCATAACTGTCCCTAAAACGGCAATCATAACCTCAAAAGATTATCCAGTATTGTAAAATCGAATTGCAAATCTACCACAACAATACCTTCAATTCCTATCTATCAAACTCCTCCATTAGATTTACACCTCCAATCCTGATTCCAATAATACTTTTAATGAAAATGAAATCCACAATTACCTCACATCTGCCCTACCCATGTCCTTCCACCCAAGCAGTTACTCCTTCAGAGGTAAAATTTAAGGAGAATCAGATCTGAATCACAAGCCCTTGGCTTTGACCTCATCAAATCCTGAATCCTTTGTGAATTTTCCATCATACTCACATATCTCTACAAAAGTATATTTTGCACCACTCACTTCTCTTTGCTCTGGAAATACCAATAAATATCACCCTTTTCCTAAAGCTTGGCAAACCCATCCATAAAGCTTATTCCTACTGCCCAATCAGCTTACTTCCTCTCTTCTCAAAAATATTTTCTCTTCAAATTTCTCGATTCATCCATACACTAAACTCCCTTAATCTTCTCCCAGATCACCAGTTCAGCTTTTCCTCAACATTCCACAATTAATTATTAGAAAAACAGAATCATTTTCAGACATATCCAATTTACAACTATTACATTTTTTCCTTAATCTTTTGGAATGAAATATAACAAAATTGTCCAATATGAATAGAAGAATTTACATTCTAATATTTCCAAAAATATATGTCATAAAACAAAACATTGTAAAAAAATTGAAAATAATTTGAGCACATTATTTATAATTCAATTTACTTTTATGGCACTAAGAATGTTTTTAGTAATTTGTTATTTATATCTTCTTGTTATTTATTTGTTGTATTATGTTTGTCCAAGATTTATTTTCTGTTTTCCAAGTTGTCTAAGAAGAGGATGTTCGATACAGGAAGAGAATGGCTGATGTTTTATGAAGTTGAAATTAACGCTACTAAGGATTGGAGTTATTGGTTGACATTTTTAGAAAAGCGTTTTATCTTGCCTGGATCTTCAGTTGTAATAGTTCAAATCACAGGGTCCTCAATTAGATATTTTGACATTTACAAAATCACCGATAGTCAACCCCTGAAGGTCAAATTGGTAGGTGAAGGATCTGTACAAAATGTAACATTTTTCAAACGAATTGCTGAGAGATCAGATTTCGAGGGTGTAAAACTTCGAACGGCAACAGCAGTGGGTAGTTAATAATTGGTTTAAAAAATTATTAAGGCACTATGTTTTTTTCAATCTTAATTTGACTAGATATTACGCCCTGAGGTTTACAAAGGGCTCGAAAATTTAGAAAATCCTGAAATTGACACATGGCCGAAAATGCACTATCCTCTAATTGTGAATTTAGCAAAACAGCTTAATTTTGAGTATGTACTTATAGCATTTATATAACAATTTGTAAAATAAAAGTACAAAATTGACATCAACTCTTCAGGTTTACTTTAGAAGTTGTAAATGATTACGGATGGTTGAGAAATGGAAATTTTAGTGGCCTAATGGGATTATTACAAAGGGGCGAAGTTGATTTTGGAGCAACAGGATTTTTTATAAATCCAGACAGAATAACTGCTGTTGACTTCACTGGTGATACGTATTCACTTAAGTTAATATTTTTCAAATAGTTAATAGTTTGAAGCAGAATTTAAACAATTTGTATGTTTTATAGGTCAATGATTATTTTTAAACAACCGGCACTATCGACAGTGAGCAATATTTTTCTTTTGCCATTTTCAAGACTTGTATGGATAGCCTGTGGAGTGCTCAGCATCCTAGTGATTGCCTTACTCACATTACAAGTAATAATATCATATCGTTTTAATTCAAATTTCTTCACAACTAGAGTTACTTTTTATGATGTTGTAACATTGGTATTTGGATTTATTTGTCAACAAGGTAATAGCAAATTAAAATCAAACAAACCAAAGCGTTTTGTAGAGTGATGGATTGACAGTTGACTCATTTCTAGGTACATACTTGACTCCGATCTCATCATCAGCGAGAATAATCATTTTTATATTTTCCCTGTCAGCATTATTTTTCTATACCTCTTATTCTGCAAATATTGTGGCATTGCTACAGTCGACATCACCAGTACTCAAGAATATTACAGATTTAACTAACAGCCATCTTATGCTGAAAATCCAAGATCTTGAATATAACAGAATTTTTATGAAGGTAATTTAAAAAAGTTGTTAATTCTATTTTGAAGTAGGGTAATTCTAAGTTGAACTTGGTTAAATACTTTAGGATTCAGTGGATCCAAATGTTAAAGCACTTTACGACAAGAAAATAAAACCTTTTGGATCAAAGGCTTATTGTTTACCAAGAGAAGGTGTACGGTTGCTTCGTACAGGCACAGTTGCTTTTCAAGTATGTATTCAATTTTCAAAATACTTTATGTAGACTTGAAAAAAGCCATATTTTGTGTAGCTCCTTCCGTGGTTTTCGGTTAATCAAAATTCAAAATATTTTTCTCTTCAGGTTGAGGTAAATCTAGGATATAAGATAATCAGCGAAACATTTGGTGAAAGCGAAAAATGCGGTTTAGGTGAGATCAGGATGATATTTATTCCAAGTTTGGCAGTGCCAGTTGTCAAGAAGTCTGGATATAGAGATATTTTTAAACAAATGTAATAATAATCCATTTCATTTACACAAGCACACACATTTACACAATTATAAAATGTTTTAATGATAATTTCAGGCTTATATGGCAGAGAGAATGTGGAATAATGAAGAGATTAGCTAAAATTTGGGTACCCGACAGGCCAAATTGTGAAGGAAAAGGGACGAGTTTCTTAAGAGTAGGAATGGTGGATTTTTTACCAGCACTTCTAGCATTAATTTACGGAATGGGAATATGCATAACTGTTTTCTTCCTTGAAATCGCTTATCATTACAGGTTCGATTTACTTAAAAATATATTGCACAATGTGTTATAACATGATATTTAAACTGAAAATTGCTTTAAAATAAATTTCAGAAATAAATGTGGGATACCTTTTCCTCGTAAAATAAAACAAGAATTCATGCCATAATTTTTTTGCATTTTGAAAGTACATATAACACCGAAACACGTTCAAGGTTGATTGAAAACATATACTTAAAAATAAATAAATAAAAAATAAAATTATTAGCCAAGTAAAAGAACATAAACATTTATCTATAAATACATTAATTAGTGCAATTTATATTGTATTTTATTTTTTATTGTGTAGTAAATTAGCAATACAATTCTAAACACTTTCTAGTTATGTATTGTTGATAAATCTATAGTAAAATAAATTATCATAAAAAATGAATAAACATTTAAAATACAATGCCTGTTTTTATTGTTTTTTCACCTCTTCTTAAAACATAAACAATTTGAAGTATTAAGTACAAAGAAATGAATTCACTAAAATTCTTGTGAATGAGCAATTTAATCTGTCTAAACGGATAAATAACCTAGAATTACAATAAGTAAAATACATTCTGTCATACAGGAGGGCTTAATTTCCAACTACCCATTGGGTTCGTGGATGAGGGGTCAACCCAGGACTGCTAATGTGGCAAATACGAGGCAGACGCCCTAACTATTTGACCACTGAGGTCCAGTGAATCAGTATTTATAACCCCTATACAATATAATAATAAAACAGAAAAAGAGCCTAGACAATATTACAATATTATAACTACATATAGTTAGGAATAATAAAACGTGCTAATTTTACAACAAAGGAAAAGGAATATTTGTATGTTGTAAAATTCAGCGGAAATAAAGTTGAACTTGGATTGCCTGTGATCATCCTGGAAATCAAAGTTGTTAGATAATTTATTTAAGCTGAATGGTTGCGATGTCTATTAATGAATAAGTGCCCTCTATGTCAATCTGTTAGAAAGAAATGCAAATATTTATTTTGGCTTTATTGAAGAATAAAAAAAGACTGGTTTATTAGCAATTTACGAATCTATTGATTTTTATGTCCAATAATCTTGATAGTGTAATATTTAAAAATTTTTATGCATAATTCATTAATAAATATTATATACATATTTTAAAGTCTTAATATTTTTTTCAAATGGAATCAGAAGTAGTTTCTTTCTAATTAAACTGTCAAACTACTTTTCTTGTTTTGTGCTAATATTTAACTGTTTATTAATGAATATTATGGGAAAAAGGATAAGTAAACATTCAATACTTGGACATTTATCACCATAAGAATTAATTAGTTGCCTAATTTTGTAACAAATATAATAATTAATAACCAATTAAACTGTAATTGTTAATTTGCAGTACTTGATTATTGTATTATGTCAAAGTTATTTTTGCTTTCTTGGTCAGACATCAGAACTGGCAACGGTGAAAATATTAATTATTCAACAGAGAGGGCTAACATTTGTTTTTATTTGATGCAAGAAAGAAATGGATGGATAGCATGTCCGGAAAAGAGAATCAGAAATCATCTGGACTGTCCTGTAGTCAGCAAGAAACAGTTGATTAAAATGGTTCTTAAATTTATCCTCCTCAGTATAATTCTTACATTATTGTTTCTACAATATTTAGAAGCGAGTTACGCTTCACTTTTAAGCAGCTATTTCCAAAATAAGAATATTCGTGAAGTAACTATATTAACATGCTGGAGTATATGTGAGATGTTTATTTATGGAATTGTAATCTGATTGGTATAATTGGTATAAAATGATAATTTTTCAGCTTCTAAAGCAGCCGTTTTTAAAGCGCTATCACTACAAGGATTTTTTGTATCATATTCAATTAAATCTATCAAAGATAATTCAATTAGAATAGGAGCTGTCTTAGATTTGACTTGCGACGAATGGATCATTAAATCATTTATGGAACATGTATGCTTTTTGTCATAAACATTATTTCATGGCTAATATATGATCGTAAAGTTCCTTAATATTTCAGATCGAAAATATGAGGCTGTTCGGTGTACACACTGAATGGCTGCTATTAGATAAAAATGAAAATGATATTCTGGAGTTTACAAAAGGAGTAAAATACATTGAACAGGCTTACATTCTACCGGGAAGCTTTGTGACATTAGCTCAGGAGTCACAGTCACATATAAATTACTACGATATTTACAAGATTGCTATTGGTCAGCCTTTGAAATTCAATCTTTTAGGCTCTGGACCTGTCAATGAATCTTGTAATTTATCATCGAGAGAAAATCGTTCAGATTTTAAGGGTGTAGTAATGGAAGCAGGCTCTGTGGTCTGTATCCTAAGCGTTTTTTGCATATTGTGTTTTATTTGATGTTCTCTATTTGATCATAATTTTATAGATAATGTATCCTAAAGAATTTAAAGGATTTGAGAGATTCCATTCGCCAAGTTTTGATGTATTAGCCAAACTTCATTATGAGATCTTAAAAAATTTAGGACAGCAACTAAATTTTCAGTAAATACAGAAACAATTTTTATTTACATAAATAAACAATGTGAAAAACCCATTTGTTATCTGGAGCAGATAAAACATTTTACAATTTTCTGAAAATATGTTTTTTTCCCTTAGAATGAATAATTGAGTAAATTATTCTTCTTTACTGTTATTTAGACTTAATTTGGTAATTGATGAGGATTATGGCTGGGCTGGAAGGAATGGAACATCATTTGGTGGGTTGGTGGGTCGTTTGCAAAGAGAAGAAATTCAATTAGGAACAGCGTTCACCATGCGGGAAGAGAGGAGAGAAGCCGTCGACTTTACCACAGACACTTTGGAATTTAAGCAAGTGTAATTTAAATTTGACTATTGAATTTTATAAAATAAAATAATTTTTTTATTCAACAGAAATGCCATATTTTTTAAGAAACCTGCATTGTCAACAGTTAGCAACATCTTTCTCCTGTCTTTCTCTAAACTTGTGTGGTTGTGTTGTGGCTCATTGTGTATTTTGTCAATTTTGCTTTTGTTAGCAGTATTAGCTGTGACAAAACTGTTTGCTGTTGTATCACCATTCTCAAGACCTGCTTCTTTTGCTGACATAATTACATTAATTTTAGGACTTGTGTGTCAACAGGGTAAGAACCAATAATAATTTTAAATTAATATGATAAACAATAATATAACGCAGGGTCGGAATTGGCACCGATTTCTTTGGCCACGAGAATTACAACATTCGTCTTTTCCCTATCTGCTATATTTTTATACACGTCGTATTCTGCAAATATAGTAGCTCTGCTTCAAGCTACCACAACTGGCATGGAATCATTAGATGACTTGACAAATAGCCCGTTGACTCTTAAATTGCAAGATCGGCTATATGTCCGAGAGCTATTTAAGGTAACAAAAATATAAAATTGATCAAAATCAAATTAATAAAAACTATCCATTTCAGATAGTAAATGATACATCTGTTCATAATTTATATACAAAAAAAGTTATGTCACAAGGTGACAATGCATACTGCATACCCAAAGAAGGAATTGCATTCATGAGAACAGGGGAATATGCATTTTTGGTAAACTATTAGATTATAATATCAAATATAAATTCATACAAATTATATTTAAATAATTAATCACATAGTGTTATTATTCTAAATATCTTAGAAGTTTGATAAATTTCAGGCTGAATTAATCCAAGGGTACAAGATAATTAGCGATACATTCCACGAGGATGAAAAGTGTGATCTTGGAGAGTTGAGTTTATTCTTTATACCAAGACTTTCGATTCCAGTAATTAAAAAATCAGGCTACAGAGAAATATTTACTCAGAAGTGTGTATTAAATTGGCATATACCCTCAATATAATAATGGTTGCATTACCTATTTTATTTTCTATTTGAATAAGACTCAGTTGGCAAAGGGAAGTTGGGATATTTCAAAGACAAGAACTTATATGGTTTCCACACAGACCATCTTGTGATCGGAGCAGAAGAGGATATAAACCCGTTGGTACTATCGATTTTTTACCAGTGGTATTGTCACTTTTCTACGGAACGCTTATAGCCATTGGCATTTTTGCATTTGAAATCATTTTCTGGCACAGGTAATACAGAAATATAAATTCTAACATTTCTATGAAATTATATTACCATTTGTTTTAAATTTCAGAAAACGTTTTTATTGCTATGAGAATGAAAAAGAGAAGATTTAAAGAACAAACGAAATTGTTCTAATGTAGATGATTAGTGAAATTCACATGCTTAAAGCCAAAATTGCTTCTAAATAAGGTCATCCTTTGAAAAATTACTCTTACAATTTAATAAATGGCTAAGTTAAAATTGAAAATTGTAACCTTTCAATATGTGGTTATTTCATTTGTGAAATATTTGTAGATAGTAAAACAATAAAAACATACCAGTAAAATTTATTGCATGAAATGTACATTCAAATTTTCTACTGTTGTTTTGTAATCACTTCAAATTGAGAAACATAGCTGTTTAAAATATAAAATAATACTTAAAATTTGTCTTACCGTTAGAGATTGGTCTGCCTATCATTGCTGATATGCCTCAGATGATCAGAAACGGACAAACTCAACAAGAAATATCACAGTGCAATAAATTGTTTACTTCAAAACTATTTAATATTTACATAGTATTATCAAATTTCCATTTGAATAGCAATGGTGGTATAAATGGTTTATTAGGGTAAGTTGTCATTATTTGACAGAAGTTCAGTCTTCCCATTTTATTCTGATCTGACTATTCTCGTTGAATGTTGGATGGACTGGATTATTACACACAAGTCCATGAAATCTCGGTGGAATAAAAATAGTAGTAATGATAACAATAAAACTTTACACAACAGAAATTCTCTGAAAGTTAATTGATGAAATATGTCTGAAAAAATGGACTAGTTTGATTAGGGATGGAAAAAATGCTGGCAAATCTCTAACAATTTAAACAGACAACAAATTTACTTATGGTTAATTTAATAATTTAACCATTTATTATAAAATTTCAACATCATCGAGGTAAAATTTCTTTCCTATTCATTCTAAATGTGGGACTGAAAGTTTTGATGAAGGCTGACTGAAGGGACTTTGACTTCTATCTTTTATCGATTAACAATTATAAATTTATGTTTATTTATATTTCTATTGTAAAATCAACTCCACAGTGGTTTGGAAGAGAGAGTGTAGGAGCTTATGTAGTAAAGACGAAACACGCTCATTTCTCAACTTGTTTTAACGCTTCGATGACATAATACATTTCATACTTTATTGACCTAACTTATTTTCATCTTTTCAATGGCCCAGAGTATATATAGAACAGTGCAGAAGCATGTATCACAGAATAAGAGATGTACTACATCAAACTACATTTCCTTTTATACGCCTTGTTGCTGTTTTCTTCTGTTTTAGTGAGTATATAAATGATTTCATTACATTTTTCATTAATTTTAATTGCATAGCAGATGAGTAATTTTATATATGTAAGAATTCAAATATATTTATTATTTAACAATTCTGTAGTCATTTTTTACAGGGTTATGATTTTATTTATAATTTAACTTTTTAACAATAACATTTATATTACAATGATTTTTTTAATGTATAAGAAATGTCCTGGTTACATCTCATCAATCCTTCACATCGAACAGGACTGAATTAAACAATGAACATAACTGAAATGATTCTTTTTTAATGATTTAACTGAATAACATTATGATTAAAACTATAATGAAGAATAAAGTAAAATGGATTAACAAATTAAATTTTTATCATATCTATGTCCAAATCAATGGATGTGTCTCTGAATTGCTTTTCCCCTGTATTTGTTTATTTAATTGTTACTGTGTAAAAACAAAGTTTAAGAAAAATAAAAACCTATAAATTATGTATGATGCAAATTAAAGCATTTTTCACTTGGCATCACCTTGACCATGAATATTTTCTGTTAAAGAAAATTAAATAACAAAAATATTATTTTTAGAACTAATGCACTTTCATTTCAGGCAGCTGAATTTCTCCTATCTGAACCGTCTGAAGGGGCAAAAGTACTCAAAAGAAAAGTGAGGTGCGGGCCAGTCAAATTCCGCATCAAGAAAAAGAATTAAGTTAATTATTTCCTTTCTTAATAATGTGTCTTATGTGTGTTTTCGATTATATTTAAGTTTAAAAAAAATGCCCCAAAAACTTTAATTCATTCCAATAAATATTATAGGAAATGGGGAAGCACAATAAAAATATGGAATATTCAAATGTATATTAACAAAAAATCTTATTTTAAGTGTTATAAATTTTGTAGTTGAAACATTGTACTATGTTGTCCAACAATGTACACTTCATTTGGACTCAATGTTTATACAAATGTAAATATGTATACATTAAATAATTTAATACACGACATCTGTTATGCATAAATTTTGTTCCTCCTGGAGTTTTAAAAGCGATTTGTCATTCCCCAAGGAAGAAACAGTACAAATTAGCCAGCTATTAGTGGAGCTTGTCATCGCCCTTAGACCTACAGCAGTTTTAATAAAGCCTCAATCATATTTATGAATATTATAACAATACAGTAATATTTTAAAGGCTTAATTTAATTTTAAAAAGCCACATTTAGACTGAATGCTACAAAATATACTTTATAAATGAGTAAAACATTTAAACATTTGTTATGCTACTTTATAATTTTTCTTTTGCAAAACTTTTGATTTCAGAAATGGAATATTTATGTCCAGCATGAACAGGTACTTAAGTGATTTGTTGAAGAACTCAGTAATTTAATGCATATAGTGGTAACTAAGACTTGTAGATAGATTTACAAAGCAATAATCTACAAATTATAAGAAAATATGCCAACATATAATACATTATAATTAATGTTGAGTTTTAATTAAGTTAAATATTATTATTAGGCTCAAATTAACATTTATTTATATTAAATATACATTTTTGTTTAATAGGTAAAATATTACAGTACATCATTATGCAATTAATGAAATAGCAAGTGGTATAATACATAACATACAATACATATAGAATAAGCAACATTTAATTACATAAATGCTTACATATGAACACATATTAAAAAGAGATAGGCTATGTTATTTAGGACAATAAAATTGCAATTTCACATTTATGACTAGCATTATTTCATTAGATTAAAGAAAAACATGAAAATAATTTAAACTGAAGATATTTGTATAACTGTATATAAAATTAAAACAAAACTCTTAATGCAATAAAAGAAATTTTGTTTCAGAAAACGAACTTCAATACATAAACAAAAATGATTAATGAAAAATTGACATGATTACTGTGAAAAATGTCAGATAGAAAATTGAAAAAAAAAAGAAAAGAAAAAAAGCAATGACTTTTTGAATTATGTACGACAAGATTTACATAATGACTATCATCTTGTACTACTGTTTAATGCTGTGCTTGTTGTCATTGTTGAACTGCGTAACTGGGATTGTTTCCCCCCGCATAGTTTTTCCCAAAGGAGCTTCCTCACTCGTTTCTTCCATACGAATATCAAAAATATAAAAACACCCTGTAAGGTGTTTGTGATGTCTGTTATGTACCAGAGATACTGTGGTACGTCCTTTCCGAACATAAAGGATATGAGCTCAGAAATCCAGTTGATACCCATGACTAAGAAGAGTTTCAAATACAAATTAAACCTGAAATTTAGAAAAACCAAAATAAATTAAATTCATAAATATTTTATTATTTTTATTAATTTAATTTTTTTTATAATCTAGGCTGTTGTTTAAAAAACAAAATAAAACACCAATTATCTTTTATCCCATTTAGTCGTTATGCATTTTGGGTTATGTCCCTCGTCCCCCTTCAAAGCTATTATTTGAGTTAAATAAAATTCTTTAATTTTATTTCCTTTCCTTAGTTCTATTTTGCTCAAATAACAGCTGAATGACATAAAATTGTCTTCAGTGACTGTTTGGCATAAAAAATAATTGGTATTTTGTTTAAAAAAAACATGATTATAAATATTTTTATAATTAAAAACAAATTAACTATGTCGTTTTTTTCTCTTAAAGGTAAGAATCTTATGTTAAGTTAAATTTTATTGAGATTAACCGAACCTTTCACTCTCATTGCCATCATGCCTTCTGCTATCACCACGATGGAATGATTGTGCTGTTTCTCTCCTGTGTCTCCAAATGCGATAGGCGGTTATTGAAAAAAGAATTAAATTACTAAACAAGATAACAGCCATTGGCCCGTAGAAATAGGTCCATGTTGCTGTACGACCTGGAAAAAAAGTTATACATGTAACGTCAATATGTACTACGATTTCACATGATTTATAACAGAGTCTTATGCCGTTAAAAAGAATGAATATACAAATTTAAAAATTGTAATATACAATGTAAATTGAAAATTTGCAATAATAAATTGAAACTGCAACTCATGTTAGTATCCAATTGGTAAAAAGGCACTTAACTAATTGCTGCTCTAGGTCTTTATGTCTATTTACGAAACTGGATCAAGATATTGTCTTGAAAATCATCAGGGCAAAACAATCTTAAATATGTCTATACATCGACGTATTTAAGCTTTTTACAGGCGATCTCAAATTTCATTGAAGACCGACACAGCCCTAACATTGCCAAGGGCTGTGACTTTATGTCTATTTTTTAAAAAATTTACTCATGCTGACCCGGCTCTGGGTCACTATTGGGTCGGTCTTCACTCACGGGTTCGTTGAACTACTCAAACGCGTTTTGGCGCCACCTTCAGTGAGGATAGTTTCTCAAAATTTCAGCTTCAAATCCTCACAAACACGCGACTGAAGACGGACCCTATAAATGACCCAGTGCCGGTTCACCGACTCGCCGACCAACACCTAGCATCAAGAAATTTTCTGTATATTTCGCCAAATGAAAATACAAAATGATAAAATCAAAGCCAATGCCAGAAGTAGGTTTTGGCTAATTTTCTAGAAAAATGCTGATTGCAGTCAATAATGACTTAAGTCTTGACATAAACACACCATGGTGATCGTGAGTAGTAGAATGACTTAATTTTTAAACTATTGTAACGAACACAAAATATTTCGTAATTCAAACAAGGCTTCTTTGTTTCAAAGCTGAAGCCGCAATTTCAGTTAAAATTTGTCTTTTTGTATTCAAAAGTTCAAGAGAATGTTAATAGCGACAAATCGCAAAATTTTGCATTTTGGCGCATTCTGTTTAATTTGTATTGGCCATTTATAACTTTTGGGGAAAAATGCCTGACTTGAAATTATAAAGATAAACTCTTGGGTTGTAGGATAGATCACACAGTTACTGTGTCAGCCCCGAGTGTACTAGAACTATGCACGCATGACTCCATCGATCACGAATGGAGGTTGGTTTCGAGTCCGACTATATCAAGGGCCTATAGTCAAACAAGGTTATTTAATGATATTTAGGCTTTCATGTCCCAATTTTCAATACCGAAATTCCAAGGCTGACTCCCTGAATGTCAGCCGTATAGATTTTCTACATACGCCCGTTGTTCAGTCGAGATATGCGGGGATAAAAGATCTATTCATTTCAAGTGGGCCTAGTTTAAAAATTTAGAAATTAACCCTTTCATAGCAAGAGTTTCATTAGTTTCTTGAATTAGTAGCAAGTCTTCCTTTACTAGAAACAAGCAATAACATAAACACTGTTTGTACAAAGTACAATTTTGTTAGAGTTCAATAGCGATTTGTAGTTAAAGATGCTCAACTAGGGAGGTCATTTGTTTGAAAAATTTGTCCCTCCATGTGTCCCTAAATTCATGGCATATCATAATTATTGTTCCATGTCTTCCTTAACAATCTCTTTTGAAACTTCGGATAATACAGAAATGCTAAGGTCTGTACACACGCATGTCCTTAACAAATGAAACTTCAACTAGGCAATATCTTAATTTTAGGTCATTGGGTGTGTGAGAACTTGAAATAAAATTGAACTTTTGGAAATTTTTGTTAATATTGTTTATGATCTTTGTTTAACTTTTAATTGGCATTAGTGGTCCAAATCTTTTGAAACAAGGGATAATACAGAATTTCTTCCTCCTAGCCAAACTCAAACTCAAAGCAATAGTGGAGTGCATAAATATTCATAAAAACAATGAACCAGTTAGAGATGTAGATGTATTGGTCGGGGTGTATCCCCCGTTCTCTGCCTAAAGTACACCGGTGAGTCCTATTTTTCATCAAGGAACTTGATTAGTAGGCCCGGTTTCAGTGGTTGAATCTCTTCTATGGTCACATTGCACATCCCAAAGTACTTCTTCCTGCGGGCAAGTGTAGCACCACAGTTTGTTAGTAGGTGTGTTGGTGTCTCCTCTGCCTCTTTGCAGAATCTGCATGTGCCGTCTTGAATTATTCCAATCTTCTTTAGGTGTCCATTTAGCTTGCAGTGTCCTGTTAAGAATCCTGTTAGGATTCGCAGTTTTTTCCTGCTTCCTTTGACACATTCTTAACTTTTTTCTTTCCGAAATTTATTAGGAGATTCTTGGATTGTTTGTGTCCAATGAATGAATTCCATTGTTCCTTCATTTTCTTTTTGTCCGTCTGTCTGAGGTACTCATTGATAGTATGGGTTCCTATGCCATAGATGGGATGAACAAATTAAGTTCACACTATAAAATTTTAATCAAAATCAATTAAAAGCAAAGTGTTCAAGGCAATTCTCATAGTAAAAACATATCAAAAGGTAAAACTTCCAAAATGTAACGACGTCAACTGACGAAATACTCCATTTTCACTTAACTAAGCTCAATAAACAAATAACACTTGTATTATTTGCAAAAAGTGTTAAGGTACTAGGGTGAAAGAAATTTTCAAAAATTCTAAGACGTTAAGACGTTAAATTATCCATAGCTATACTTTCCGTGAATCTGGCCTCAATCATATGTGCCTTATTTATTTAAGCTTAAAAACTTTTGTTGTCACAATAAAGTGACAATACAACCTAAATAATTTGTATTTTTATTAGATTGTAGCAAAAGTTTGAACTTTTTAAGTAATGTCTAATAACTATAGATATTCCATAAAATAGCGGCAGTTATTCAATCCAAACTCCAGGCATATTTTACATATTCGTTTTAGTATGTTTGGCGGAAATATGTAGGAATGCTAGTCCGAACGAAGCCATTAGATGCCGTATGGAAGGGTGAAGTTCGCATCCAAGTTTGTTCATTTATAAGCCAGTCGTAAAATGTTTTTATGAGTATCCTTTCAATTTGAGCCGATAATGTTGTACTTCCAAAGCTCAAATAGTACGAGAAACCTAACTTTATACATTTTTATTAAAAATCTTCAATTGACAAGTCATCTTTTAACATGCAAATTGAAGAAGGAACCTTTACTTATTAAAAAATATATTACCGCTGTATAATATAACAAATTATGTAAGGTAATGATACATATTTACAAACAGTGACAAAATAACAACCTTTGTTGCTCTCCCAATTTTTATAAATGTCTAATAAGGGTTTTAAATATATGAGTTGGGTATAATCCTTATGTTTATTAACAAAAAACCTGCACGAATTTGAATTTTAATTCCCGTTAATGTCAATTCTCTATCTATATAAAACATTATATAGATTATTTTCATTGTCTTTATTCAATAAATACGCATAACCAGCACCAGATGCTAAATCAGAAATGAAAAATGTTTGAAATGACATTGAGCGTCTGTGAGACGGCGATGAATCGCTGACAGCAGTTTTATCAACGTGTGTGGTGATTAGTTTTATCAACATTGATCCTGCGACATATTTGTAGTCAGACGCGTTACGGCTTGTGCCATTCGTTCACTTAAATAAGGCAGACCAATGTAGATCCAGCAGTAAATTTACAATCATGAATATTTTTTCCATAGTAAGTTCGCCCAATTTCTTAAAATATTCGTTCGATGAAAAGCCTGACAGAAATAAAGCAAGTGCAGGCGGACCTGAGGTGATAAACATGACATAACATATACGAAAATATGTAAATGTAAAAATGTAAAAAATCTTTTCATTTTTGAAAACTTTTGTGTGCTGTTACATTTACTTGAGCTATAACCCGTAATTTCTGCTGTGCCAACTATTTCATATTCCCTGTTTTAATTTGTCAGTATTTTTGTCTATGACGAAATCAATAACGATAAACCTCAGTTTTGATTTATATTAAGAACGCATATACAAGGAACAAAAAAAAATGTATTTAATAATTTAAAATAAAAATATACTTTTTTATCCTGTGTGTAAAAGGAGAGAGGTCTCGAGAGCAGAAATTTCGATTTTTAGGTCTCGAAGTTCTTGGGCCTTTGAAATGTAAGGTTATTTATCCGTTTCGTATTTATAAAAGCTGGTCTTTCTCGTTAATTAATTTTAAAAAAATCCACTTTTTCGAAACGACAAATCAACATGTTGGAAAAAAGTTTGGGTTTTGTGAATATCCAATTAGTTTGGGAATCTTATATGAGAGGCGAAATGATAATAAAATTGTAACAGGAGCATTTAGCAACAGAGTATGTATGTTTGTATTGAAACTGATCTGTTTTAACTTCGTTCTACATTAATTACATTAATTCAAAAGTTATCGTATTTAGACGTCCCTCAACACTTGGAGAAAAGGCTCTAAAACTGATACATACCCACACATTCAAAATTAACCTATCGTTAATTTGGCGGGTTTCAGGGTACTCGATATTATGCTGAAGGCCCACCCTCATTCTCGCTAATAAATACAGCCATACTGATTATAACCTTTAATACCATATGTACCCTAAAAATTGGGGAGCCACTGGAGTATTAATATTACGTTCGTGCCTCCCTCCTGTCACTTTAAAAACACGTAACTAACTTAGTGGGTATGTGGGGTATCGATATTCCGCCACAACCCCCACACATACTCAACTGTCACGCTAATAAATACATTCATTCAAGAACACAAAACACTCGCAGAAAAAATCCTAATCTAGAGTGGTGGGTCTGTTGGGTACTCTATATTCTGCCACAACCCACCCACAAATACTCAACAGTCACGCTAATAAATACATTCATTTAAGGTAGGAAAACCATGTGTGGAAAAGCATCAAATGCCATCATACGCATACGCTTCAGGAATTCGATCAACTTTTTGCTATGAACACGCCAGTTTCTTTTTATAGTCGCAAAATTTCAATATTTTTGAAAATAGAATAGCAAAGTGCAGAAAATAAGAAGAAAAGATGAAATTTTAATTACCCTTAAAGAAACATCTGTCCTTTCCCATGTTCGGTTTGAAAATTGATGATGACGGGATGGAATCGGAGTAATCGACGCCAACTGTCACAGCCAATATGATCAGAGGCATTCCCCAGGCGTAGAAAGAGTACGCAAGAAGTTTCTTCCTGTCGCGTTCAGAAGCCGTACCTCTTAGCTTTATACCGCTGAAACAAAAAGTCCATTCATTTTTTATATATATTGCGTAAACAACTAGAACGAGAGAAGTTTGGTCGTTGTTTCCGATCAACTTCAGTGGAGGTAGTCTCTGAAATGATGAACTACTTTTCTTACTGACCAAAACTGCAACAGGATGACCAAAAGGATCGGAAACGATCACACTACAAGCTCATGAACTCCCGCAGGCAATACTTTGTAAGAATATTTAAGAATTAATTTGTATTAGTTCATATTTAATTTTGTATGTTGACATTCGCTTTTTCTTGTGCATGGGAAATGATGCGCAACAAAATTTATTTTTAAATGGGTAATTATGACAAGATACAATTAATCTAATGGACGGTGAGCTTCGGGAGAACGCTTGGCTTTCAAGTAATTAGTTTAGTTAGTACTTTATGGCACGAAAAGAGCTGGATAAGGGTTTATTTATTGACAAGAGCTTAAGTAAACTGTAATAAATATTTTTGTTTCACATTAATGTTTTCCATTAGAAAACTAAGCTTATGACTGGACAAATAATACAAAAAAATATTTAAAATTCACACCTTAAAAATTAAAATCGTCTCACCTGAACGCCCAGTAAATATCGATGCACATGACGTTCAACCAGAAGAAGGTGGCCAAAAAGAAGAACTGTACAGCAAAGCCTGAAAAAAATGTATATATAAATATAGAAAAGACTAAAGAAAGAAGAAATGTGGGAGAATTTGACAGAAGCCAGTGTCTAAAATTCATTTATGCACTCTGGTATTTCTAAGGAGAAAGTACGTAAGATTTCGAAAATTCATTAAATGTGAAATTTATTTATTTTTCTTTTTGTTTTGTATAAACTAAAATCTTACAAGCATCATGTCTGCACAACAATCAAGATAAACGTAGAAAAAACACTTAAGTTTTTTCACAAAATGTAAGTGCCGATATTCTTAAGGACGCCATTTTTGTGAAATGCGACGATTTTTCTTTAATTTTTATAAATGTTTATTATTTAAACTATTATCAAAATTGAAGACAAGATGGAATAAAAAATAATAATAAACAAATTTTCTTTTATCAGTAGAATTAGAACCGAATGTATTATCCAAGTTCTGTATTTATTAATGAAAGCGTGTGTACTTATTAGTTTTTAATGTTTTTTTCAAATAATAATAAAAACCTATTTCCGAATCTTACAGTGTGGACTAAAGGTTTGGAAATTATGTTGTTCTCTTATCCATTGGATATTTGGCTTGGTCTGTAATTTCTATATTTTGCTGCTTGAGTAATAGCAATTTATCCTCGAATCGAATCTTCCTGTTCGTTTTCCTTGAAGTAAAAATATTACTCGTTAAAATCGTTGATTTAAACAGTCTGAAAAACAGGTTTTTTGGCTATATTTGTCAAGACTTTATGTTCGTTTGTCCTGAATACACCTTTAATGATGGGCTAATGTTTTGTTAATTAAATTTGCCCCCTATCATAAATGATGTTTTAACGGTTAAAACTCACCTGAGATAATACAAAGGGGTACGCCAGGGTCAAAAGGGTGTTTCTGAACGACGAAAGACAACACAAAAGCAATCAGGCTCGCGGTGACATACCGTATGACAAGCGAACTGTTAAGGCGAGGAGGAATGACAATCACGTATACCAAAAGAGTTGCGAGAAGAAATATTGCAGATATCATGTAAGAAATGTTGTAGTAATCGTACTTAGTTTCATCCACTTGTTCGTTCAAACAAAATACTGGATAAACATTTACAGCCGATCCGTTTTCATTCTCGAAAGACTCGAAACAGTATTCATTTTCTATGACTTGGCCGCCACGCCGTTCGACGCCGTCTTCGGTGACCGTCAGGGTCTCGTTTTGTTTCATGACGTATTTCCACCTGCACTGTATAAATTTAACGAGGAAAGAGTGATTCGTGTTCGTTAAGCATTGCGGACTTGATTCCCAAGGCCAGGACGAGTTGACGCATTTTAGACCTTTGCTTAAGAATCCCTGACCGAACGGACAACACTTGTTGACGAAGACGTGGGAAGAACCGACTACCACAAAGGAGAGCCAGCCGAGAACCACACACTTTGGTATCATTTGTAAGACTACGGAGCTGACTGCTGACAGCTTCAAGCCCCCACCCCGAGTTTTCGCCCGCAATCTTCTTCCTTTTCCATTGTTTTAATCCTTAATCATAACTTATAAATAACATATTATTAAGTAATTAAATTGTTTGCTAAATTTTCAAAATTTATAATCCTAAAAGTACAGGCAGCCGCGCACTAGAAAGAAAAAATAAATCTGTTGAAGTTAAATTGGAAATAATGTTTGCATTTGTGCACATATAGTGTACTCGATAAAAAATAAATAATGAACAAGAAGAAAAACATAAAAATTACAAGGTATCATGTTGACTTAGAAAGAATCTTGGTCTTTATGTAATAAAACAGATACAAACATAAAGAAATGCATAGGTCATTTTTTACATATTTTTCCTATTTTGTCTTCTTAGCGGCTAAAATTCAGCATACTGCTCTTTCTGAGAATGATGATCTATGTAAATGGTAAGATTTGGAGAACATTGTGACGCTATTATTATTATTTTTTAATTTAAAACTTTTTGGTTTTGTAATAATTGGCTGTTATAATTATTAGAAATATTTATATTATATAATTTTGGCATCAAAATAATTTATTATGACATTTTATTTTATAAAGCAATTTTTTTAGATCAACCCCGGAAGTTGGTGTTTAAAAGAATTGGATGTTCAGGGCCGCTGAAATTAGAACTAGGGGACCGACTGCACACGACTGCGACTGCGGACAACTTAGTCGTACAAACTAAGACTGGTCAGCAAGACTGTTTCATTAAGTGGCAGATGTGCTGTGGTTAGCTCAAATTTTGAATAATTCCATATTTGTACAATTTTAAATATTTTCAAAAGATGAAAAGGTTATTTTGCTTGGTAGAAAGCAGCAATTTATTTACGAAGCGAAGACAATTCGCTTACTATTCCTCACTGCAACTCACTGGAATTTGTAGATCATTATAAATACCTAGGCCTTAATTAAAATCTTAGATTTAACGTTCATACGACAAATTTGACAAAAACGACAATAAAATTGGACATGAGGCCAATTCGATCGAGTAGCAGGTGTGAACTAAAGAAACAGTCACACGATTAAGTCCTTGCTAGTGAGAGAGGGCTTACAATCTCTAATTTGGGAAAGTTTTTGCGAATACGGAATATAAAACTCGATGTAAAAAAGGTCTACTATTGAATTTATATACTCACTTTATCGAAATGAAATTTATTGTCAACGTCCAATAGTTTTGACAGATCATTACGTTATTATTATCATCGATTATAATTTTTTTGATTAGTTCTTTATGTGCCTTTTTATGTTTATATGAACTGGAACTCGTAAGAACGTTTTTCATTCCCTTTTCGACGTTATTCGAACGACGATAAACATTCTATTTTTGCTGTTGGAAATCTGCTTGCCAAAGGTCTATCACACTTGAACACTTTTCATAGTGTTTCACTAAATAAAATACAGCATCTCGTGTTGTGTAGGTCAATAGGTCAAAACTTTTAAGGTCATTTTCTAATAAAATCAATGTTTCACAATGTAAAGAAGTGCGTTAAAATGTTTTTTACATTTCGATTGGATTTTAGAAAGAAAACAACTCTTCCGCCAAATTGGTACATCATCCCATTTATCACATATTGTTGTTACTTCTGGATTTAATTAAACTTATCTTTCCAGATGGTGCTTTCGCACCAAATGAACAACAGTATCGTTTTGTTTTCGTTTTTTAAAAAGAACATAACAATTTTAATGACATGGAGTAACCAAAAGAATATTATTTTTATAGTTTATCAAGTGTAAGAATTGTAAAGAATTCGTTTCAATTGGCAAAGATTATTTCATTTTATAAGGGAACTTATCAGGTCCTCTTCTAAACTCACGCAATTTTCATTACAAGTTTTTTATTCAATAACGACAATTTGCTTTGGAACAATAATAATCAAAAGGTTTTTTTTTTGTGTTCGCGATAGTAAAAAAACATTGAAATATCGTCCTAGATACTGACCCCTAAAATGCTATCGTTAGTCTGATAACTTTGTCCTTGATATTCACTATCAATATAAAGTTCGTTATAAACAAAAACTCAAGTGATTTCATGCTTTAATACTTTGCATTAAAAAAAAAGAGTTTTTTCTTAAATTTCAGCCAAAATTTAATTGATTTTGTTATCATCCAAACCTTTATTTTCAGTTTATAAAGAATGTAACAAACAAACGAAAGAATCCTGCGAACTGGAAAAAACGCAAGATAAAAGTAATTCACCTACCAACTTCCGTAAATAAATCATAATGATAAAATAAAATGTTTATGGAGTTTTTGTTGATTTCATCCTGATTTCGCTCACTTATAATTACATAAAAACCCATAATTGTAAAAATAGGCCCAAAGAAGAGTTATGAAGATTTAGAACGGTTGTAATACCTAACACCGGGCATTGGGCATAAAAAGATATCCCACAGCTGATTCAGCCTAAAAATGCTATTTTGGTTTTCCATTAAAATTCGCAACTATAAAGAGGGCTAAGGAATTCCTCCCTGAAATTGGACATAAGGAGATAATCCCCGACTGATCCAGCCCAAAACTGGCTCTCTAAAGGGTTGTTTAAACGAATCCGAAATGTTTGTTTTTTGGCCTACTTTTCTGAAATCGTCTTAAGATTGAAGCCGAGATAATCGAGATAATTCAAGATTTTCTTTTTGTGATTTGGACGTTTGAAACGTGTCATGGCTCGCATGGTAAAGAAAAAATTCCGACAGAATCTTGGAACAGGAAAAACCCGCAATTTGAAAGTGATTGTTTCTGATGAAGACGATGCAATTTGCCATGTTCTCAGACGGTAATAATTAAAAAAAAAATTCAAATTACATTACGAATTAGAAATCCGTTCCTCGAGGTAAGACTGCCCATGTGACTGACTTCTTCATCATGATGGAAAATCCAGCAAAAAATGTTCATTTTTGATTTAATATTAAAATTCATATTTAATAATGGCTTTAAAGGTCCTTAAAATGAATCAGAAATGTTTGTTTCTTGCCTACTTTTCTGGAAGTGTCTTTAGTTTGAAGTTCGTCAAAATGGAGAAGAGAAATGCAGCTTTCGAACGGTTGTAAAATCGTGGGCGTTAAAAAAAATCCAGAAAATTCCCGACATTGGACATAAGAAGATAATCTCTGGCTGATCCAGGTCAAAAATGACTTTATATTAAAATTCTCCCCTCTAAAGGGTGGTTCAAACGAATCCGAAATATTTTTTTTGCCTACTTTTCGGAAAACGTCTTAAGTTTGAAGTATGTCAAAATCGAGATAATCCAAAATTCCGTTTTTGAGTTTTGAAATTTTAAAAATTGTATTATAATGACAGTAAACGCAAGAAAAAATGAAAATGTCAAACTGGAGAAGAGAAATGCAGCGTTCGAACGGTTTTAATGCGTGGATGTTAGAATCGAGAGTAATTTGAAAATTTTTAAGTGGAATTCTTGATATTGGGCATAAGAAGATAATTCCCGGCTGCTCCAGCCCAAAAATGAGTTGCTATTAAAATTCAAAACTCTAAAGGGTGATTAAAACGAATCCGAATGTT